GATGAAAACATGCTTCTCAATCAGTTATACTGTGTATGTATGTAACGATAAGTCCATGGTACAAGCAGGTACTATGGCTTACATTTAAAAATATAACATGCTTTCACCAGGCGCCCACACAACTCGACTAACCGACGTCCCTTTCCCGCAATCGGGGAAGAAATTTTCGGCGGTTTTGAATCGCTGTCATAACTGGCACACAGATGATGGCATGGCTCGTTTGCGTTCGCCTTACTCTCTTGAGATGCTGTCCCTTCCTAATCCCGTCGTCTTTCTCTTGCTTCTTCTCCTAGATTTTTTTTTATTTTTAAACGTTTCTCCCTCAGTTTTTTTTATGTTGTTGTTTATACTATTCTCCGGACTTCTTCCCTCCTGTCGTGACAAGCTATAAATCGACGCGGAAAATGTGTAAATATTATTATACCTTGAAAAAGACGGGGCTCTCCCGACGCAAACGTCGGCTGAATGAACAGTTATCTTGATGATATGTGGGGTTTAACGTTCCAAAACCACCATATTATTATGAGAGACACCGTAGTGAAGGGCTCCAGAAATTTCGACCACCTGGGGTTCTTTAACGTGCGCCCAAATCTGAGAACGCGGGCCTACGGCATTTTCACCTCCATCGAAAGTGCAGCCGCCGAAGCCGGGATTCGGTCCCGCGACCTGCGGGTCAGCAGCCGAGTACCTTAGCCACTAGACCACCGCGGTGGGGCAACAGTTGTTATCTGAAAGCGCATTAACATCCATATATATATATATATATATATATATATATATATATATATATATATATATATATATATATATATATATATATATATATATATATATATATATATATATATATATATATATATATATATATTTCTCATATTTTGTATACGGACACGTGTCGGTTTAATCATGCATGCTTATCTATATACTGATAAAATTCTTGCACACTTTTCATTTCTACCTTCCCACAGGTGCCCCACAGCCAGGCATAAGGGCCAGCACGCTTGGCCTTATAGCGGGCTTCCTGGTGAAAGCAGCTGAGGATTGCATTACTTGCGACGACTGCATCGGCAAAATCAAGGCTCCCAGCTCATCTGGACCAGCTACTGCTGTGATATTTAATTTAGACAGGGGAGGGCTTTCATACCCAACGATCTCATTTCTTTCCTTTGTGAGCACTCTAGAAAGGGCCGCGGAAGCATTTGCGCCATTGGCCATTTCCAAAAAGAGGCCGATGGCACTTTTTGTGCAAACTGTGCTACCTGCAGTGGCCTTGAACCCTCTTTTCAGCCATAAAGGCGCTACTAGCGAGCACCGAGAAGCCATGGCGCGGCTAGTGTTGCAAAAATTTAGCCGTCCTTTCTTCTCAAACTACGTGCGGGACAAAACAGCCAAAGAAGGAAAGAGAAAGAGAATAGCCGAAAAGCCAAAATCTCGCAAGATTTTAAAAGTTTAGTTGCATGCCTCCATTGTATCATGTACGCGCCCAGAACCTTGCTAGCACATTTTATTGAACTATGACCCAAATGCACGCAGCTCTGTACGCGTACATATGTTTTTCTTTATTGCAGACACAAGCCGTCACTGTGTGCCAGCAAGTAGGATATTCTTCGAAAGTGCAGAAACTTTGTTTGAAACATCAGCTTTAACTGGCATATTGTGGCACGCATAAGTAAAGCGACAAATGTGTTTTGTTTCATTTTGAAGTGCTGTAACATTGCTCGAATCACACGCATACACTCGCCAAATTCTTTTAGCAGAAACCTTGATATCACTTTGAGGGATCTGCTTTTCATTGACAAACGAGTATAATGGCACATTTTCAGCATGTGTACGCGCCCCAACTGCGGGTGTCGCCCTTGGGCGCTATCAATCAAACATAACCACTAGTACAACAAAGGCGGTACTATTCCGCCCTAAAAATAAGTCTGTTAATGAAAACATACATTTCAAGTATGGCGATACTATTATTGAGTTAGTAAATTGTATAAAAATTCTTGGAGTTACATTTTCGAGCAATATGCTTTGAAACGATCGCATTTACAGTGTGCTGGGTCAGTTATCTCGCGTAGAGGGCACGGTGTACAGTGGCAAAACTGTTCTACTATACAAGGTAAAATTCTTACTTTATAAATGACTGTTCTGTTGGCATCTTGCTTATTGTTTCTTGGTATGAAGGACTACGACTAACACGCGCTTACAAAAACTGTACCTGATGCAAAAGACGTATATTAGAATAATTTTTTACTGGTCGTATGATGCTCGCAGAAGTGAATTGTTTCAACAGGCTGGAATACCACCCCTACATCGTCTCTACGATTTTAAGTTAGCATTGGTGGTCAGGCGTCAATTTCAAGAAAGTCGACATTATTTGTACGACCTCTCGAAACTGCAGCCAAATAATTTGTTCGAAACATGACATAAAGAAACATGGAAAATAAAAACTTCGAGAACAAACTACTCCACAGATAGGTTGTTCTACACAGTTTCTACGTTAATTGATAAATATGTGAAAGCTGGCATAGATTTCTTACTCTGTACCCGAACTCAATTGCACGATATACACATGTATAGTTTTCAAGATTTCTTTGCAGTTGCTACATTGTTATCATGGTTGCTATTTTTATTTTTAGAATTTGAACTTGATATTTTTGTAATTGTTGCTTAGATAACATTGCTAACTGTTTGCCAGTGCTGTCGTGCTAAAGGCGTCTGTGGGCCTATGTCAAGCTGCCTCTTTCGAAGAGCAGCTTTTACCTGCCGCTGTCCTTCATCAAACTATTGATGAAAAATAAAACATTATTATATTATTATTATTATATTATTATTATTATTATTATTATTATTATTATTATTATATTATTATTATTATTATTATTATTATTATTATTATTAACTATGCTCGACAAGATGATGATAATGATGACGATAAAAACTTTATTGGGGTCGCAATGTGTTGCCCTCGATAGGCACATCACTGCCTTTACCATATCGTCTCATCGCACGGACATATAAAATCATAGAAACGCGCATCGGCCAGCGCTCCCCGTTCCAGCAGACAAACTCCCGTAGCGAAATTTGACGCACAATTTTTGTTGTGTAGGTCACAGTAAGAGTTAAAGCTTCAATTCCTGTGTCTCTCCTTGATATGCGTCCGTGGGCGTATGTGCATTATTCTCTTCTATCAATTGACTACAAGTGTAACACCTGTCCAGGGCGAGTGTCCAAGGTAAGTGCTCAACAGGGGCACTGCGTTTCACCTGACGCGTCCTAAACAACCTAAAATCAGTTTGATATTCTATTACCAATGAGTACATATTAGTCAAAAGCTTTATGAATACTAAATTGAAGTTTTTTTTAGGCTGGAATGGGCAAAAACAACCATGCAGCAAGACATTTCTACGCAAATATACAGCTTTGAAGTCAATCAACCAGTATAGCCTAACTACTACAAATGTAACACATAGCACACGTTAGTCCTTTTCAGCAAAAAACAATCCACACGTATAGGCAGTTTGTCCACAGAAGCAGACGCATGGTATCAGTCCGTCGCCCTCCTGCCGGCCGCACAGTAGCAGACGAACAGGTTATAGGGCCCACCTACGCGAGCTGACGAGAGCGGGGACACGCGCCCATGGAACCCGCTATCTGAAACAGATAGTAGTCTGTCTTGGACATGCTGTTCACGCTGCGTGTATCCATTCCAGGTGAACGCTGCCGACATATCTGTAAACCACGTGGGAACGACACGAAAGGCCAGGCAAGGTATCCTGGTAACGCGCAGCTGTCTTGCTCCAGTAGCTCCAGCAGGCGGTGTGTTCCGATGGCGGATTTGAGATTGCACGCAGAGTCATCTCGTCGCGAAGTCTCGCTCACGACCCGCCATGTACATAGAATGGTTTCCTCAGCTAGAACAAGAGTTTCTATAAGTCGGGAACTCGGCGCTAGTGTCCATGTTCGACGGGACTAGAGTGTACTAGAATGGTAGTACACTCTAGCGGGACCACGCAAAAATGTGACGTAAAACGCCGCGTGCGAGAGGGCGCTGTATTAACGGCCAGCACAGCCGAAGGCACAAAAAAAAAAAAAAAAACATCGTATGTAGCGCATGCTCGCGTGCCAAGCAAACAGCCAACACAAACTCGTGACGTAGGTTTGTTTACATTCCCGCCACACGGAAGAAGGAAATGTACCTTTACTTCCTTTAGTGTTCCCGACACGTTGATGGCAGATTGGGCTCCGCATCTCGATATAGTCACATGGCGCGAACTTTGAAATCGATTTTAAACATGTCGACCCTAGACCACATTTGCCCTTAATATTTCGTAATTTTGCGTGTCTCCATATGACTTTATATATATCGCTCATTATTTCGTCTCCTAAATTTTGTGTCAGTGCTCCTTTAACTGGTCAGTTGCGAGAGAAACACTTCGCGGTTAACTTGCAAACGAGCACTTGCGAGGGCCAACAAACCTACTGCAAGCGCGTTAACTTGGCGTGTGCATCACAATATATGAAATCAACGTCAACAAAAGCTTTTACCCTTCTAGTAGGCAACAGGGACACGCACGTTCTAGTCGCTGAGCGTACGTACAGTTAAATATGATGCGCGCTGAGAGTTTCCGTAACAGGTCTCGAAGGCTCCGCTTGAGTGCTCTGCAAGCGAAGACAAGTACGTCATGATAACCGTTATTAAACCGCAGTAGTCCTTTCGAAGGACTGATATCCCACATTTATTTAAGTAAGACATTTCTTTACCATATTATATGAATCGTACATTTTAAGAGCACAAATATTTCAACAGAAGCAAAATTTTCAAACCGGCCGCGACGTGGTGCTACAGAAACACCTAATTCAGTTTAGAAGTTTGTGTTTGTACGTCCCACGGAAGAAAGAAATGGTACGTCCGCCGTCCGCACGCGTCGGCAACAACGCCGCCCACTTGTTAGTCCAGCTCGTCCAACAAGTCGCAGTTGTGCATATCTTGCGCTCTGTGTGTTATCGGTGGGACTTGGAAGCGTTGTCGTCTAAACTTCGGCTGGCGAAAAACACAGAAAATTTCTCAGTCGGGAAGTCCGCAGAGCATGACGACGCACTGGATTGTGCATCCACTGCGCAGCTGGCTGGGCTTGATGTCGATCACGAATCTTGGTGCCGGCGTTCGGTGCCTCTTGGAAGAGGACTTCCTGCGGCAAAGGCTCTTCACCAAGCTCAAGTGCGGGGGTGAGCTTCGACTCCCCTATTTCTCAACTATCGGTGGCTCCCATTCCGCTCCATGTTACTCTGCCTTGCGTCCTTCGAAAGATAATTTACGCGTGTTTTTGACCAAGCTGTAACGAGTTGGGTCGCGAGTCGCTGAAAGTTGGGCTTCTCCTGAACCTTTATTTTGTGAGCGGTGAAGTGAGAGTTACAGGAGCTTCGCGTTCGATTTGGTTTTGTAGGTCGACGCTGCTTACAAACCATTGTGTTCGTTTCACTTTTGATCGAGCTGCTTGCACCATGCGTTTCTTTATACGCTATGTGACTATTGTCTCTGCTGCAAAGACGGTCCGCTCGTGTGTATGATTTTGTCGCCGTCTGAGCCACTCCTGCTGAACTCATTCCTCGTTGGCGTACAGGATAGAACTGACCTACTTCACTGAGCTGCAGTTTTGCTACAGGGTATCCCGTCTTAATACAGTTCGTGAAAAAAGATTCAGACAGGATGAAACTTCAATTGATAGGCCTGGAAAAAAGACTCGGACTGGGTTTAATGGCCCGTCCCGTTTTGATGTGCATATGTCATCTCGGACATATCTGTGACATATCTGTGTGTGTGTGTGAATTTGTGTTCGCAAGCGCAATAATTCACGATTGGTCATCCATATGTATCTCCTCCAGAGATTGAGCGGTGCCCCGAAATGGAAAGGACGTTCGCCTTCTGGTCGCTGTACAACGGCGTTCTGGTTCTACACTGCAGCATCTTCCTCGAACAGCCAGCGTAGGTGTGCTTCATACTAAATAGCACCCAGTATAAATACAAAAACTTTTTCGTTCGTGTTGGTAAAATTGCGCCCTTCCATGCTACCAAAAGTTGTTCCATTCTTCCCACGAGAGGGCGTGCTTGCTAACTCAGAAACTCAGATAATTTCAACTGGAAAAAGGCCGAACAAAAAATTCCAAAGCGCACTGCCGCGGGTTTAGATGGGATTCCCGTTAGCCTCATTAACGAACTAGGACATAACACTAAAGAAGCATTGTTAAAAGCAGTAGAAAAAAGCTTAAAGGACGGACAAATACCGGACAGTTGGCGACAAAGTAGAATGAACTTAATCTATAAAGGCAAGGGAGAAAAGGACAAGATTCGCTCGTATAGACCACTAACCATTACATCGGTACTATACAGGTTGGCAATGCAAGCAGTAAAAATGAAAATAGAAACATGGGCCGAACATAACGATATTTTGGGAGAACTTCAGAACGGATTTCGAGTCGACAGGCGGTTAGACGATAACCTGTTTGTTCTCACTCAGTGTATAGAAATATCTAAAATAGAGAATAGGCCCTTGTACGTGGCTTTTCTAGACATCACTGGGGCATACGACAACGTTAATCAGGAAATTTTGTGGGATATATTGAAAGGAATGGGCATGGGCGACGACTGTATACAGCTTTTGAGGGAGATATACCGAGAAAATACAGTTTGCATAGAGTGGGAAGGAATGTGTAGCAAAGAGAACGTTGAGGTTAGCAGGGGTCTGAGACAGGGATGTCCTTTGTCCCCACTGTTATTCATGCTGTACATGGTGAGTATGGAAAAAGCGCTAGAAGGTAGCAACATTGGTTTTAATCTGTCACACAAACAGGGTGGCATGATGATTGAGCAGAAGCTTCCAGGTTTATTTTATGCGGACGATATCGTCTTATTTGCGGACAGTCGAGATGATATACAGCAGCTGGCGAATATATGCGGAAGGGAAGGTGAAGCTCTTGGACTAGGATTCAGTGTAACGAAGTGTGGTTTGATGGTATTTAATGATCCCTGTGATCAGACGGTGTCCATACAAGGCCAAGAAATACCGAGGGTAAGTGAATACAAGTACCTTGGAGTATGGGTAAATGAGAGTGATAGATACATGGAGGTACAGGAAAAAGCCTCGGCAGCAAAAGGAAAGAGGAATGCGGCAATAATGAAGCACAGAGCGTTGTGGGGATACAATAGGTATGAGGTGCTTCGAGGTCTGTGGAAGGGTGTAATGGTTCCAGGGCTTACTTTTGGGAACTCAGTGGTGTGCATGAGGGCAGAGGTGCAATCGGGAATGGATGTAAATCAAAGGACTGTGGGACGCCTCGCGTTGGGTGCTCACGGGAAGACGACAAACGAGGCTGTAAAGGGCGATATGGGGTGGGCAGGTTTTGAGGCGAGGGAAGCGCAGAGCAAAATAAGGTTCGAAGAAAGGCTAAGAAATATGAAGGAGAGTAGATGGGCAGAGAAGGTGTTCCGTTATTTGTATAGGAAGAGCGTGGACACACAGTGGAGAAAAAGAACTAGAAGACTCACTAGTAAATATACGGCTGGTATTGTGAGCCATATGTCAACAAAGAGCGTTAAGGGAAAAGTCAGGGAGGCGGAGATGATTTACTGGATGGCAGCTATGGAGAAAAAACCGGCTTTGAGTAACTACCGAAAGGGCAAAAATGAAATAAGGAGGGAGGCATTTTACGATAATTCAAGGGGAAGCGCTTTACTGTTTGAAGCGAGATCGGGTTGCCTTAGAACGCGTAGTTATAAAGCAAGATTCAGTAAAGAAGAAGAACAGTGCACATGCTGCGGGAAAGATAAGGAAACGGCGGAGCATGTTCTGATTGAATGTGGAGATATCCACCCAGGTGTACGTTTGGGCACGAGCCTACAGGAAGCCTTGGGTTTTAGGGACAACAATGGAAAGCTGAACACACCCGCGATTGAAATAAGTAAGAGACGGTTAGAGTATTGGTGGCAGAAAATTAGAGAGAAAGGACAAAAATAAATATTGGAAAATATGGACAGTGTGCCGTAAATGGCAGAGAACTTAAGCTGAAAATTTACCTTTTTTCCATTAAGATAGAATTTATCGAAGTAGAGGCATTAGGCCAACATAAAAAAAAGGGAAAAAAGGTTTTTTTTTTTTTTGTCGAGCCTGGTGGCATACTTGTCACCACCCCGTTATAAAGGGGACGCTCATAGCATCCATCCATCCATCCATCCTTCCATCCAAACAAATAGAAGGAGTTACTGTATATACTACCACAGTGTTCTTGCAACTCTACCCAGAAAGTGCACAAGTAAATGCAGGTAGCATGTGTACAGTCGGCATGAAAAATTCTGAACCACAAGATAAAAGCAAAAAGCTGAATATATATACCCATTGGCAGCGCTGAATTTCGATTGTCGGCCTGTTATAAACGCTCTGACAGTGTGCACTTTTGCCGAATGCAGTCACATATTGTTGAGAAATTTAGTTTTCTCAGACCCAGTTGTTAAACATTCAACACCGACTGTACATGACGTGAACACGCCTACCATACATACATGAATGCATAACAATTAAGCATATTCATTTACATTCTCGGGTGATCCTCGCCTAGCAAACAGTATCCTTGGTGCTCACAAGTGCATCATCTAGAAATTGATCTGTGTGAACATTCAATGTGTTTTTATTGACAAGTGCGATGTTTTTGCAGCGTCTACTCCGCGACCCTGTGCTGCCTGGCGGTGTACCTCGTCTACTTCGGCAACGAAATGTTCATTCATGGATCCATATGCATGGCGGGAAAAGCGGTCCTGTTTCCTGTCTTGCTCAGTGGTATGGACGAGCTTTGATTTATTCAAACACTTCTCGCCGTCGTTGTTTGTTTTTCGGTGCTAGTGTTCGCGAATATGGGAGGGTGGAAACTCGAAAGATATGCAAATGTATTCTATAGTTGCTACATCATCATCAGCAGCCTGACTACGCCTACTGCAGGGAAAAGGCCTCTGACCTTGCTTTTTCTATGATCTGCCAACCAACCCGGTCTTGTGCTTCTGCTGCAACGTTATACCTGCGAACTTCTTATTCTCATTGGCCCAGCTAATGTTCTGTCTCCCCTTCGTGTGTTTGCCTTCTCTGGGAATCTAGTCAGTTACCCTTAATGGCCTGTGGTTATCCCAGTGGTTATCCTGCATACGTGTTTCATGCCCTGTCCATGTCCATTTCTTGTTCTTTATTTCAACTATGATATCGCTAATCCTGGTTTGTTCCCTGACCCACTCTGCTCTCCTCTTGTCTGTTAAGATTACACCTACCATTTTTCTTTCCATTGCTCGCTGCGTCGTCCTCAATTTAACCTGAACCCTCCTTGTAAGCCTCCAGGTTTCTGCTCTCTAGGTAAGTACCGGCAAGATGCACCTGTTATACACCTTCCTCTTGAAGATTAGTGGCAGATTACAATTCACGATTTGAAGATGCCTGCCGAATGTGATCCACCCCATCTTTATTCTTCTAATTATTTCACTCTCATAGTTCGGCTCCGTCATTACTACCTATCCTAAGTAGACATATTCCTTTTATACTTCCAGCGTCTCTCCACCTATCGCAAAGTGCTGTTTTCGGCCGAAACTGTTGCATATTACATTAGTTTTGTACATATTAATTTTCATACCTACTCTTCTGCTTTCCATGTCCAGCTCAGTAATCATGAGCTGTAATTCGTCCCCCGAGTTACTCATGAAGGCAATGTCTTCAGCGAATTGCTAGTTGCTAAGATATTCTCCATTAACTCTTATCCCCAATTCTTCCCAACCTAGGGCCCCAATAACCTCCTGTAAACATGCTGTGAATAGCATTGGAGAGATTGTGTTGGCCTGCCTTACACCCTTCTTTATTGGGATTCTGTTGCTTTATGGGGAACTTTGGTGGCTGTAGATCCACGGTAGATTTCTTCCACTATGTTTATGTAAGTTCCACCCACAGCTGTCCCTGTCCTGACGAGAGCGAATTCGCGTATAGGCGCCTACATCCAATTGCATTTGCTTGTTTCTGTGACATCAAACACCCTTCGCGCATTTCAGCTAGTTAGGTCATTTTCTTACTGAACACGAAAACTAGAAGCATGGACACAATAAACGTCTTTTCAGAGTCACTGGTTACCAACTAACTTATCTCTCTATAGCTGCTATTTTACAACTGCTTTTCATAGACAGACATATTTTTAAATCGCTGGTTTTTGGTTGAAAACTCCTGCTTCTTTTCAAATCTTAGCAAAAATTATCACATTGAGCTTCTAAGGGGGTCCTAAAACACTTAGCACGGTCAGAAAACGCTGACGATCGGTTGTCGAGGCTCTTAAGAATGCTCGAGCCAAACATTAAAGTGCAGCACATAGCCTGTAACTTGCAATCAATTCTCAAAGTCTGCTAAAAATTGCTCCCCCTTCTCCCTTTATATAATGCGACGATCTCGAATGACCGAGCTGTATACCCAAATTCATGGCCAATGGCTAATTTGAGCATCGATGACTGCATAGTGACTGTGCCCGCCTTGAGAGGCCGCCACGTTCCCGCGCCATCGTTTGTGATCTCACTGAAGGTTAACCGCGTGTTCAAAGGAAAACAATGCTCAAGGTCATGAGGTGCCACATATTTCTACATTTCCTCGTGCTTGACGGGGCGGTCGATTCGTGAGGCAACAAACTTTTTCAGTGAAGCCATTCGATGGTTACATGAAAAAGTGTTGTAGAGTTCCTTTAATTATTAGTATGCGCAGCATTGCCGGCCAAAAGTACCAAGTGTCACAACTGAAATTAGCTACTTACTGCTGTTGTGTACAGAAGCTTAACAGGTGTGCCGCAATTCTGGGTGGAGAAGGAGGGATGCTTTCATTCTTAGTTTGCAACTGGTTACATGGAAGGGAGTTGTACTAGAGATACCCGAGTGCTATGTAATGGAATAACAGCAGGACAGCAGAGCAGATAAAAGAAAGCAAGCAGGTCGTGGTGGTGTAGCAACAGGTGGGGTTAGCCTGGCTTAAATGGCCGTCAATTGTTCCGCCCGAGCATTTCCTGAATAATAGGGGTCAGTCACCAAATGTCACATGGCTCAGCGTCTCGCAGGAAAGCCACATGAATTCATTGCAAGCTCTTGCTTGTTGCTGTGGGCACTTCAGGAAAAATGGCATCTTCAAATTTTGACCGTATGCTTGTTGACATTGAGAGAAGAAAAAAAAATCAGCTGAGCTTATCTCGTAAATCTATTTATCAAGAGTTAAAGGTATGCTTGCATCGGTTTCGCAAAAGCTATGCGCATGGTGTTTCACTAAACGTATCGCCTGGTCACGCGGTACCACAGCGGTAAGGCTCTGAGCGAGGGCAACTGCGGCCATTGATGCAGAGGATCACATGGCGTGGCGCCACGCCTTCCCCACTTTTTGTTTTGCTTCCACGTTTTTGTTTTTACCTTGTTTGCTCTTCGGGGTGGGGGAACCCTCTCCCCAGTGTCTTCTGTCGTCGCCCCTAGTTTTATGTTATAATGAATACGCATAACTGTAACATCTTAAAGAAGCAATGACATAACGCATGTCGAGTTTTTAGCGCCAAAGCTCCTAGAGCTGTGGGACTGTCCATGCATGTCTCTTTGTGACCGATTCGTAACCACCTAGTTGTATGACTCACTCAGCAGGTGGTGCTAGTGTGAGTGACAGACAGACGGTCAGAAGCACAGGCGGACAGTCGGAACAGATGGAAGCACGGACAGACAGACAGACAGACAGAAGCACAAACGGACGGATAAAGCATGCACAGACAGACAGACGGGTGGACTCATAGATGGTTTGACAGATGGACAAAAGCTTCGCCCCACTCATCATCATTCACTCCGTGGATATGCTGTGACTTTTCATGTCAACACGTAGTTATTGAACCCTTGCAACGGAGAGATGGAATAATATAATGTAATATCGATTAGTATGACCAGTATCGAACCCACTTTAAAACAGGTGCAAAGCCCGCCAATTTTTAGCACTGCAAGGCGATCACCTCCCGCGGTCCGGCCCTATCTGATCACGTGGCCGCACGAAATGGTGACACAAATTTCAGTTTAAATTTTATATGCTCGGTGTGCACGTGTATAGACATGTTTTCACCACCCCACTTTTGTCGCCCCTGTCATCAGCGTCCAAAAGCGACGATGAAAACAGTGAGAAACATGAAGTACCGACAATTCGCGGCGTGGTGAATCATTTTTGATTCGATCCTTTTCAGAGCAGTGATTCCGAAATCGACACCCGACCGAGCATCGATGAGGCAGCTGGAGATGATCTCGAGTTCGAGATTTGGTGTCACTGCTCCTTTAACTAAATTTTTGCTGTGCTAGTCCATTCATCATCTCTTAGTGCGAATTCGATGCAGAATTAAGAAAGCACACTGGTGCACATGCAGGACAACTCTAGGCGGTAGTGAATCTGATTGCTCTTGACCGATGCATTAGCATTCTTTCTTTGTCCAGCGTCGAACCCACGCTATCGTAAGCGTGCGAAATGGGAGGGGGGGGGGAAACAGGGAGGTGCCCTTTTCCCCCTCTTGTCAGCTAGGAGGGGGTAAGGTTTTTGCACCGTCTATTATTTTAGTGCATACTGTAACAGCACGCATTCTCTACTTGAGTGATCCATCTCTTATTTTTTTTTAAGACGATAGTCTTACTCTGGAATAGTTGTACGCGGAAAGTTTGGTTTGTATGCCTTCCTGGCACACCACTGGGCCAGCCGGCCAAAGTTTAAGCAAACGCTGAACGCCCAGCCATCTGGAACTGGTGACTGCGTGCATAATTGTGAACATTGTCGATCAAAAAGCAAATATTACGCATATTTGAGGCACAACATCAATACGTAAGTATGAGGTCTTGTGCTACTTTACTAAAAAATACATAATACATAATTTCAAAGACCCTAGTGTTTCATATGCTGCACTGAAAATGCGACACTATACACAAAAAACAGCGGGGTAAAAGCCTATCGTCTTTTGATGACATTTGCAGCAACGCATACAGATACGCCGCCAATTTCTTTTTCTCTTTGCGTTCTGTTTATTTGAACGCAGCCACGTTGGTGTGGATGCTGGTGGCCCGCCAGTACATCTGGGTGCGCCGCCGTCACGATGCCACTGACACAGAGGAGAACGAACAGTTGGAGGAGCGGCTGTCTCTGCAGAACATGCGTAGGCTGCGGAAGAGCCCGGCAGGCCTCCACCACATCCTGACTGACCGCCTACGCTTTCGTCCGGGAGCCGCCGGTTGCCGGCGGCTGCCGCCCGAGGGTGCGCCTCAACACTCCCTCTTCCGATGAATGAACGCGTGCGACTGTACTGCCACATGCACTCGTCGTGACCACTGACCGTTGCGACTGACGAAGCTCGCCACGTCCTAGGTGAAGCTTGTGGGCATAGGCGTGCACAGGGTTTCTAGGTGATGCGCTTCTCGCAATGATCATGGCTTTCCTGAAGTAAGATGAAAAGTAAACAGACCTTGAATTGCAACATCCGGGGCCTTCGACCACTATTGCAGTGAGAGGCCTGTGATGAGTAAGCGTACGGGAAAGATTATGCTCCCCCTCCCTCGTGCGCACGCCTATACCTCTGGGCGAACCAACGACATTGAAAAAAAATAAGGCAAAATCTGTTCTCGTGTTCTATAGTAATAACATGCGTTTCCATGTTACTGGTTTCCTTGAGAAATCCCAAAATCTTGACATTTCGTTGAGAGTTTTAGTCGGGTACAACAATTCATGTAGGAGATCAAGTGGCATCACTTGATCTCCTGTAGCAGGGCACCACCTGAATATAACATGTTTCTGAGAATAAATTCATAGAGAGGGCAAGTGCTAGCTTCATTTTTGCCTGTAAGGCATAGCTAGAGCTTCCAAGCCAACATTTTTTAAAGCTTACCTTATTGGCATGTTCGTGCTCAATATGAGTACTGTTTGTACTCTAAATGGCGCCAACAAGGTGGAGTAGCACCCATGTGGAAAAAAATAGGTGAAATAAGCTCACTCGGTTAGCAGTACTTTCTTTAACATCTGTTGGTGACATTCTTCAGGTTTGGGGTCACTTTAGCCATGGCCAGCTTGTTCTAGAACAACGGAGTACTAGGGCAGTAGTCGACGATTGGGACTGTGATGGGAGAACACAAGAGAGGCGCTCGTTACAGTCACTTTCTCTCGCCGTGAACCTTCCTCGGAGAGGTGCCAACTTGCCCGGCTAGCTTCTTTACTGCTAGCTGTTAGACATGTGGCAAGTCGTTACGCTTAGAAAGCGTTCCAGTAATACTCATCATCGTCATGACCAGACTCGCCGTGCATTTAATGAGCAGACCACTAGTCGAGCAGACGTTACCACGTTTGCTAAATTGATCACAAGGCAAGCTTATGCAGATGCATGTACAGTTCAGTACGAAAAAAAAGGAAATTTATATTTAGAGGTGAATCAGCCGCTGCAGTTTCCTCAACTTTTTTGAAATCATAGTGCTCATATGTAGTCATTATGATATATAATTTACGTTACTTTTGCGCCGTGTGTATGCAGCTCTGGATCACCTTGAAAGAATGGACGATCAAGTCATTTGAAGGACTGCGTGGCATATACGAAGATTAAAAGAAAAAATCTAAAGTAACCGCTTGTGAGTGTGCTTGTTCTGTGACGACTTGCCGTCGTGAACAAGCGTTATTAATCTCGCCTGTTCCTTTTTTTTTCTGTGTATGAATATTTGAGGAGGATGTGACGCCTATTCAGTCTAGTCAGAAAGAGGCAGCATGCCATAGCTGAGCAACAGTTGTGTATGTAAAATGAGACGTAAAATGTATGTATGCATGTGTTTTTACAAGATTGTATCAACAATATTTGTCATTGCGAGTATGTGAACGGCCAGTCGAGTTTCCTTGCAAACGGGTGTAAGTGAATTGACCAGGGTCGGTGCCAAGAGGCGGGCACGATGAGCTCCTGACCCGTCTAAATTCTCCCCTCCATTACCCTCAACAGCAAACTTATAGGTTCAGTTTGACTGCCGTTGTGTTAGATCGTATGTTTGTGTGGTAGGCTTATACATACATACAAAATGCAAATATTGTGTGTGAGATGGGGCGAACCCCCAAAGCATCCCCCTGGCGACACCACCGTCTCACACAGATGACACCACAAAGTTCCTTTGTCCATTCCACACGTCACAGCGTACGCCGTCATGTGATTGGTTGGCGGAGAGCTCGTGCTGCTGCCGTCAGACCATCTTGATTCAAGCTACAGCTATATACATCGCGTGCTTTAGCGTAACAACTCTGCAAAATGGAAGCTCGTTTGTGTCCTTTATCACCCAGCTGGGCTTCATTTTCAGTGATCGAACGTAAGTCGCTTTCACGAATATTGAATATCTCAGCTGCCCAACCTTATAATCAAGGTGAGGCGCACACTATGAAGGATTAGCATCAGTCATAATAGCTGCATGCGAGCACAGTAGTCATTTTTTATGTGCGGCATCAGCAGAATGTACGTGCAACACTGGGTTGGATCTTTAATCATGTGATAGAGGGTATTAAGCATTTGCATCTGTTTTAGTGTAATGTGTCATCATTCACGGGTGTAGAGGATAATGTTACGCATGTGTGACGTAGAAGCCAGCTGTTGTGTTGGTGATGCCATAGGTGGTACAGAGCCCGTAAAGTTATTAGCCGGTAATTCGCAAAATCACAGTAAACTGAATATGAATGGTGCAAGGACACGCTCAAACTGCCTTTCTCTGCTCATGATTTGGTACTGCCATGAGACATCTTGCGAACTGGACTTTTGTTTCTCATGTTGGAAGTGAATACCTGTCTTTTAACCCTGAGTGTTTTTTTGCCTAATCGGTGATGGTTAAAGTATAGCAAAGTAAACCTTAATATTGAAGTGATGTGTGAACATGGTGAAGTGACTTTTTTCGAAAGTGTATACCTGGTCAACGTGTAACCTATGTTAGTACAGCCACCGAATATCTCAAGTGCTATGGGTACACAGAAAATTATTCCTCGCAATAAAGTTCTCCTTTGAGTGTCAAGTAGATGTCTGTCCTTTAGGTGTGTGGCATCTGGCGTCAATGTTGAGGTGAATGGACATAATTCCCTGGCGATTCTGAGTGTGGGGGGAGAGGGCGCATCTTCGTAAACGGTGTAGTTTTTGGTCTACCCGCGTATCTGCCGTGCGTGCGGTTTCAGACAGTCAATAAATGTTTGTTACAACTTAACAAAACTGGCGACGAAAATGGGATAGGCTCCAAGCACTTTGCCAACACAACGAGCACTACCGGGAGCAACCTGCAGCTCGACACTAGGTGGGGACTGTGCACGGAAAGGGCGATTGCGGACAATGGCTCAGACTGCTTAGTCACAACCATTGGTCGCGGCACCATTGCCGTTCGAGGCAACTTGGAAATCTTAGATCAACTATGTCGAAAGGCTAGAGGCATTCTTCGAAGCCAATGATGCGACTTCGGATTCGAAAAAATGGTTGATCCTAATCTCCGACCTGAACCCCGAGACCTACACTGGTCTGCAGAGCTTGTTGGCACCGAGCAAGCCGATGGATAAAACGTTTGATACCATTGTTCGTGCCATGACGCAACACCTCAGTCCTGAGCCATCGGAGATCTATGAAACTTTCAGATTTCGGACCCGGGTGCAAAATAGCGGAGAAATTGTGGTCGACTACCTAGCAAACTGCGAAACATCGTCGACTACTGTGGGTCCAGAGACACTCTAGAAAGGAATCTTCGAGGCCGTTTCGTCATCAGACTCCGTGAAAAGGGGGTACAATGGCTACAACTTGCTAAACCTCATATTTTGACTTGATAAGATGCGCTGGACACCGCCCTGGCCACGGAGTAGTGATCTCGAATGCAAGTCGCCTGCCGGGATCAAGTGACACACCAGCCGCTACAGTGGCAACCGGCATGAGCGTTTTGGAGCAGAAGCTGTCACGGTAACCAGCAAGCCAGCCGGCCACCGGGCAAGAAGCTCTCGTGCATTCGTTGTGGCGAGAAAAGTCACTTGTCGCCGGAATGCCCGCACAAGAACACAACACGTTTTAAGTGCAACAAACGTGGACATTTAGCAAGCCAGTGCTTCGGGAACAAGACTCCTGGCCATCAAGGCAAGTTTCAGTCGAACATGGTGGTTGAAGGAGAACCTGGAAGCTTCTATCTGTCCACTGTTCAGAGCCCGAAGGACGTGCGTAGCACCGCGCACACTACCAGACTCAACTGGGGGTGGAGTAGAGCTCCAAATGCAAGTGGACACCGGATCCCCTGTGTGCGTGATTGCAGAAGAGAACTATCGGCGTAAGGCACATTTTTGGCTGAAGCTGGAGCCAACAGACAAAACTTTATATTGTTACACTGGGAAACGGCCTCTACTGGGAGTTTCGAAGCTGGTGGTGAACAACCCAACTGGTGAAACGGAAGGGGAGCTGTATGTGACAGTGTTCCCGCTCATACCTCTGTGGTCACGACGTCATTCAGATTCTTGGACCGAACAGCGTCACCTTTGTGCGGGTGGACAGTTCCGCTCGAGAAGCAGTGACAAAGCTGAAGAGGGAATTCAGCGACTTGTTCCAATGTGGTACTGGTTTGATGAAGGGCGGCCACCAGTGCACATCAACTTGAAGAAAGGGGTAAACCAGAAATTCTTCAAAACATGCTCTCTACCTTATGCCGTACGTGACAAAGTGGCTAGGGAGTTGGACTGGCTGTGTGAAGAAGGTATCCTATCACCGGTCACCCACAGTAAATGGGCCACAACAGTGGTACCTGTGCTCAAAGGGGATAGCAGTTTGAGGTTGTGTGGTGACTTCAAGGTCACTTTGCACACAGCATGCGAAGAAGACCGGTACCCACTGCCTAAAGTGGAGGACATGTTCGCCAATTTGAAACATGGCTATTGGTTCACGAACTTGGACTTACGGGAAGCAGACTGCCATGTGTCATTAGATGAAGAGTCGAAGAAGGAAGCAGAGCTAAATACTTACAAGGGACTGTTTTCGTACAACCTTAAGGATTAGCATCTTAAGGACAACCTTAAGGAATAGCAAGGCCTTAAGGAATAGCATCAGCGCCTGCAATTTTTTAGAGGAAAATGGAGTCAGTGCTCAAGGACATTCCAGGTACTCGGATGTTCCTGGGTTACATTTCGGTGGCTGAACGCCAGCATGCGTTTGGCATTACCCTACGGAAGGTGTTGTTAGCCCCCTGTGACAATAGTATTAAACTCGGGGAGGAGAAATGCATTTTTGGTGAAGGAGTGAACTACCTGGGGCACTGAGTAGACAGAAAATGTCTGCATCCCTGTGAAAGAAAAGAAAATAGAGGCCGAAGGCACCTGAGCCACGCAGCGTCTAGAAACTTCGTTCATTTTTGCGCTTCATATCTTAGTATCGGAGTTTCTTACCAAATATGTCCACTATGCTTTTTTCACTCCATAAGATTTTGAGGAAAGTCTCAAAATGGAAATGGGGCCAAGAATAAATGTCTTCATTCAGGGTGATCAGGCAAGCACTGCAAAGATCAAACCTACTGGTCCACTTTGACCCAAACAAGCAAGTCATCTTGGATGTGACGCATCACCCGAAGAAGTGGGAGCAGTACTTTCACACGTCATTGATGGGGTGAAACGGCCCATGGCGTTTCGCTCAAGAACACTAGCAAACACAGCAATAAACTACTCTCAACTTGAACAGGAAGCCTTGGCACTTGTTTTTGCAGTCACGAAGTTCCGGGACTACCTGCTAGGTCACTTGTTTGTCCTGAAAACAGATCATGAGCCATTGGTGGGGTTATTTAAAGAAACCACGGCAGTACCTGCAGTGGCAGCAGCCAGAATCCTGAGATTGGGTCTTATCCCGGAAGCGCATCAGTACACCATTAAATATAGACCAGGACAGCAGAATGGAAATGCGGTTGCCCTCAGTAGACTTCCTGCAGAAGAAGCTGACGACACAACTGTCAGAGAAGTACTATCAACAAATCTTCTGGGCAGCAGCCCACTGTCACATCAGCAACTTGAGAAGCTGACCAAAAAAGACCCTGTGTTAATGGAAGTTTGCCACCGAATTGAACAAGGAAGGCCAATTAAGGTTAAAGATAGCAAGTTGCAACCTTTCTGGCGGCTACGAAAGGAACTCGCAGTGGACAATGGACTGATCTGCCGCGGTGATCGTGTGGTGATTCCTCAGCAAGCAAGCAGGGCGTTTCTGCTAGAACTACATGACGCACATCTCGGAATCAACTCTACAAAATCTCTGGTTAGGACTCTTGTAGTGGCCTGGCAAAGGGTTGGAGGTGGAACAACTCTTGAATGTATGCAGTGTTGTCAGCAAGCTGCAGCAATTCCTGTATCTAAGGACACATTTGAGCTGGCCAGCCACAATGCAGCCATGGACCCGCATTCATGTTGACTATGCAGGCCCAGTGGAAGGCAAGATGATCCTGGTGATTGTGGACAGCCATTCCAGTGGGTGGAAGCCATTCCAACTCCATCAGCTACGAGCAGCCGCGACCGTAGAACACTTAGTGTTCGTGCATTTTGGCCTGTCTGTATGCCTGGTGATGGACATTGGAACGTCATTCACCGGAGTCGAATTCCAAATTTTCGTACGACAAAATGGCATACGGCGCATTCGTATAGCACCTTACAAACCACAATCAAATGGTTTGGCCGAAAGAGGTGTACGTTCCGTGAAAGAAGGTCTGAAATGTATGACTCGGGTAAGCCTTACCACAAGATTCGCCAGATGGTTGCGCATTCACCACAGAACACCATCGAGGCAAAGGACACCTTCACCAGCAGAACTAATGCTTTCGTTCACACCAGGAACAAAGCTGTATTTGACCATAAGGGTCACAGAAGTGCCATTGCCAGGAAAGAAAAATGGCTACCACAAAGGTGATCTAGTCTTCTGTAAAAAACTTTGGTACTGGTGAACCACGATGATGACCAAACTTTATTACTCCCAAAAGAGGGGACCGGCCGAGAGGCCAGTTACGTTGCTTAGAGGAGGTCAGCGGGGATCCCTTGGGACACCGCGGCCTCCAATGCGCGTGAGATATCCGGCGTTGCTGTCCCAAGTCAGTGGCTACCGGGAGGGTAGGCCGGTTCGCTTCTTGGTAGTGAAACCTCGAAGAGGGATTCTTAGACGACATCTGGATCAGATACGCCGGAGGCACACAGCATACGCAACAAGTTCTAAGGTGGAATCAAATGAAGGCCTACCAGAGGAATGCTTCCCCGAATGACAGCGAGAAGAACCGATACCAAATAAATGCTTCAGCTCCAGCAGAAGGGCTACCACAGCAGCACCCACCAGTTCTTAAAAACCGATCGCAGCGCTCTCGCCGACCTCCAAATCGATTAGACCATTAGGGGATGTTTTCGTGTAAGTAGAGGGGGGCGGGGGTGGCGTCTAGCATCATTGTTGACGTGAATGGACATAATGCACTGGCAACCCTGAGCGCGGAGGGGGCGCTTTCGTTACAGTGTTCTAGAACACTGTACTTTCGTAAACGGTGTGGTTTTGGGGGGGTTTTGTCTACCCGCGTATCCGCCATGCGCGCGGTTTTAAACAGTCAATAAATGTTTGTTACAACGTAACAGGGTGATATGATGGCGAGTGCGTGTGACGCCCTTCATCATTAGCATGGGCGTTTGCACGGAAAGGAATCGCAAAGAGGGAAGGGGAGGTGGCCTCGCCCTCTTATGCAACTTCTTTTCACTGCCTTCTGATTGCGAGAGCCTCGGAGAAAGCGGGTGAACCCCCCCCCCCCCCCCCCCCCGACAGAAGGCTGCGCTCGCCTATGCTCAGAAGCGACATGTTTTGCAGCACTCGGAGATATTAACACAAAACACATCCATGTGCTTCTCTCTGCTCCAGCGTGCAAGCCCAACATGGCTGTCGCTTGGGGGATCGTGCAAGCGGCGTGCCAGCAGCCGCCACCGGTGTGCCCGTCACTTCAAACTGCGTAGTATTATAGTGTACTAGAAGATGTACACTATAGTAGTATTTTCGGCTGCAGCCACCATGTTGTCAATGCTTTGCTGAGAAGATCATTGACTCTAGCATGTAATATATCTGCACTGCGCGTTGAGAAACACGTGTGCGGCGTATTTTCGAAGGGAAAGAACTTTAGAACGCGGGACACAAGGTCTGCTGCGGTGTGAAGGAATGCACGTACAGCTTTGTGAACGCTGCCCGTGCCACGGCCGGGGAAGACCGAGCGGCCGTGCTCGTGCAAAGCAGGAAACCTCGCCTTTGACTGCACGGCGTGCGCACAGCGGCATCCAACAAATTTCACGATTCTTGTAGCTGAGCAAGCAATAAAGAGTAAACCATTGCTATTACGACTCGCAGTACCTGTCCGACAACGGTAGTTCGCTACCGAATCCAGAATAACCGTAAAAAAATTGTTTAGCGACAAAATATAAAGCACTAGTAAACCGTCAACAGGTGTTCTGTGGCCAACGTGAGGCCGACTGAACGATGCCATGGGCTGGCCACAGAACACCTACCAGTGGGCTGGCTGCATGGAGGAAGGTGTCAGGTGTTCTGTGAGGTGTCTGCACAGGTGTCTGGCTGCGACAGTTATGACGGTTGCCGTGTGGCGGCGCCACAATCTGTAAAAGTTGCACCGAAAAACGCTGTTTTTTCATGTACGTGGGGTTTAATTACAAAAGTGATTATGTTGCCTGGCGCCGTAAAGTGGCTGCCGCGCATCTGTACGTCCAAGCTTGTAGCGTTCTTAAAGTTAATTGCTGCTCATGTTTCATTATGAGCCTGTATCTAAAATAGTAAAGAACACTTTGCACATCGCTTAGTCATATCGAGCCGGAACGATGCACTGGCCCGTTAGTCTTTTTATGCTGCTCCGTTTTCACCGGCATAGTATCGAAATTTGACCCGCACGTGTGCTAGGTCCTCGATAGAGTGCACTTGCAGCGGGCGATGACGCCGGTGATCGCGATAATTTTATTTGTGTGCGCATACCAATTCGTATGCCGAGGCGACGCCGATTCTGGACATCGCAGCCGGGATCGTCGCACAGGCGTTTGTGGCCACATGGGTTTCACGCTATGGCTGCCCACTGCGCATAATGACCGATCGTGGACGACAATTCCAGAGCAACCTATTCTCTGCACTGACAAGGCTTCTGGGAACACGGCTCCAGTACACCACGGCTTACCATCCAGCGAGCAATGGAATGCTGGAGCGGCTACACTGTCAACTGAATGCATCTTTAACGGCCAAATTGGATAGAGAGCATTGGGTGGAGAAGCTCCCTCTCGTTCTTCTGGGCCTGCGTACGGCGATAAAAGAAGACCTCGGATTCTGTGCAGCAGAGATGCTGTACGGCTCTACAATCCGACTACCGGGAGAATTCTTCGATGAGAAACCAAGCGCTACGCCGACGCCTTCAGAACATATGAAAAGGCTACATTCCTGGTTGGAGCACCTGCAACCCAGCGCGCCATGCGTCAGCCGCAACCAAAGAGTGTTTTCTTTCTCAGACATGAATGAGGCAACCCATGTGTTCGTGCGACGTGACACAGTGACTCCGGCGTACGACGGGCCCTTCCGTGTTCTTTCGCGGTCGCACAAAACTGTGACCATTCGTGTTCGCGACAGAGAGGACGTCGTTTCTCTCGATCGCGTGAAACCGGCTCACCTCATGGACTCGCACATTTGCTCGTTTTTTTTTTTTCCCAGGCTCCGCGGTGTAGGGGGGGGGGGGGGGGGGGGCCCTCTTGTAGCGGGCGATGACGCCGGTGATCGCGATAATTTTGTGTGCGCATACCAATTCATATGCCGAGGCGCACGGCGCAGACGCGGCCAACAGTGCCTCACGTTATCTCCGGAGGGCCGCGGAAGATACGCAGCCGCGCCCCTTTTGGTTGTCGCTTTCGAAGCCTGTTTTTCTTGGAAAATAAACTAGTCTTGTCCCAAACTTCAAGAAGTGTAGGTGCCTTCTTTTCGCGCCTCCGTGGGGCGAGTACGCTACACACTTAAATGCAAAGGTGAAAAATGAAACACGCCTGTAAATGGCGCAAAATATCAGGGTGCAGAGAATTGTACAATGTGTGATTGGACAGGGGCCAACATATATTTGCGCGAAGATAAACAAAGATGAGGTGTTGATCAAAAATATAGAATATGCATAAAAAGAACAAATGAAAAATGGCGTACTTCAGAGGTTCTGGAAGTGCAATGGTTAAAAATGTTTGGCGATAGCTGATGGGCAACAACTGTAGTGCTCGCGTATGACAAATGATGGTCACGCGCGTCGCTGCGCTTATCGGTTCTAGTTAGTGCACAAGGACCATAACATGTATAACACAAATCGAAGTAATAATGATTTGTGTAGCATGATTTGCTAGATTATATGTTCGCCATACAGCCATGGTCGAATGAAGTACTCATGAAGTTAGGCCTAACATCTACGCGCTATTTATTTCCATATTGTTTCCGCCATTACGCATAATTGCAGCGTGATCCTAGCGTGGATCCTAGCGTGCACACACTCGTGATCGGCCCACGTGTCCTGGCCCCGCTTGGACGCGTGGAAGGATTGTGACTCTGCCGCACTTCCGTGTCCCCGCTGCGAACCGCCCCCACCCCTGCCACGCAGCCGGATTGTTCTGCTGGTGCGTCAGCACTATAATTCGTTTCACAAGGTCGCCGAAGGAATAGTTATACCGACACGCTAAGAGTTGAGCTAATGAGACAGATCGGCCCTTTGATTCTAGAGTGCTTCAATAACGAATGTCCCCACTAACTTAGTCAAAGATTGCGGCCTTCTGCACCTTAACAAGAACAAAAGAAAAACTATTCGTAAAATAAAAAGTGTTTGGCAGCGGTGGGATTCGAACCCACGCCTTTATCAGACTGGTGCCTAAAACCAGCGCCTTAGACCGCTCGGCCACGCTACCACGAGATCGCGAGGCCCAACACACGAGACGGTATCGAGCTGACAGAATTATTTCGACGACGCAATTGAATTAACAAATTTTTTGAGCGGACGCATCGATTGCCAGCCGACTGAACACGCGCAGAAAGAAACACTCACTAGTGGCTGTGCAATGGGCACCAGCGAAACCGACTACATGGGAAATAAAAACTCAATATGTAATCAAAACCGGTCGTCGTCTGCTGCGAAACCACGCAGCAGACGAATTTTCGCGTGGGGAACTTGACTGGGGACGGCGCCGCCGGTATCCAAAGGGGTAGCGACAACTTTTTCAGCGAGAAAAGTTTACTCGCTTTCATGTAGATGAGTTTATGTGTTTGTATTCGTGCGTGTATAAAGGCAAATTCAAAATAATTTTCTTTTTTGGGAGGGGGGGGGGGGGGAATGAGAGGAGAGAGATTTGAACTGAACCTGGGCGGCGCCAGCATTACTCGGATAAGTTTAGCTCCATTTAGACGAACACAGAAATCGCGCTAAACCTATCCCCAACCCTCCCCTATATTCACTGTTGGGTTATATCTACTGTTGAGAGATAGCTCAGCAACCATTAACGAGAAAGTACCCTCCCACATACGTAATAATAGCTGTAGAATCAACATTCCGACGCCCTCAAGGGTGGGAGCGATGAACTTCAGAAGTTTTGCCTCTTTTCCCACACAGCACTGCCCTTAAAGCTCAGCGATCTTTGCATTATCACCATCTACGTGACATTGTAACAACACCATGCCCCATAATGTGTTTTGTTAAGCAAACAAGTGCGACTCTTGTGTTCCATTAGACAAGTACACGATGGTACGGAATGGCTCAGTAACAATTAAAATAAGAAAAGAAAGCACATGTCGAATTCAGTTCTATTTGCTCTAAACTTGACTCACGAGTATCATGTGATGCAGCGCACACATACAGTGCGTTTTGGTAATGCTTCAGGCAAGTTTTTGCTCACGTGTCGAACAGATTGTCACACAAACCACAAAAACTAAGAAAGTTGTTTAAAAACATTTATTCAATAGATATAAAACAGAGTATGCAGTGAAAAACTAGTTTTCACACAATATTCAGCCAGGACTTTTTCTTTTTTGCCATATTTCTGCCAGCTGTGCCATGAACATTCGAAACCCAATGCTGTACAGCTTAGACTGTCACAGTATCATGCAAACAAACTGCATATGTAGCGATCAGGTTATACCTTTAAGCTAACGAACTATGAACAGAGGCATTTGTACACTTACTTCATAGGAGAATATTGACTCGGAGCCTTCTTCTGAAACAGCACCCACTTTGTGGCGGCTTTTGTACTCTACATTGATGAAGCAATCATCAAGTGAGCTTTGACGAAATGTTTGGCAGACTGTACTTTAAGCCCTACGTACTTGACACACGATGAAAGACAACAATTCAAAAACATACACACGTTGGTTTTATTACAAAGAAAAATAATCTTGCTTGCCCACGTGCCAGGCAATGCGAGGTTTCGAGGCACGCGCCCCGAAAGTGACCACTGCGCGAGTAAACACCCGCAACATACCCTGTGGTTGAAAAGCGCGTTGGCGAGTCAAAACCTTTGTTTCAGTTCTCAACTGTTCCACATTGATAGACTCGACAAAATGGATTGTGGTTCTGTGAACGATACAGATTTCAAATGTCTCCTGCAGTAGAGCTGGTTCACTTCTTGAAAAGCGCTTGGAGCACATTTGCTCGCAGCACTTTCGGAACGACTCGTATAGTGAGGGAAACCCTTGTGCCCCTCTGAAGCAACATGCCTCGCTTCACAGAGCAGGCATCTAGGTTCTTTAAGGAGTCGTCGATGACATCTTCTGTCCTGGCGTCGATGCCGTGGAGGTAGTCGGTGTACATGGCGCCGCTTGTTATCAACAGGCTCCGCCGTTCCAGCAGGAGGGACCCTATGTGGAAATTCTTCTCCATGCCCTGCGAAGACATTACAATCTCAAACATTGCGTACCATCACTTGTCAGTGAGAGTTATTAAATACGGCCTGAACTATCTTTTACACAAAACATTACCTTGAAACGAAGTCATCCTTCTCAGTGACCCAAAACAGATACCATTACGAACAAAGCAGTGAAGTTTTGCGTGCAAAGATGGTATATAAACTAGGCCCACCACGAAAGTTTATCTTAGGGTCAAATAAGGGTGCAAACAAGCCAGTGGTCTACCAGGAAGATTCGTGGACAGCGGGTGCCCCAGTTTGGACAGCAATCAACGAGATTAATAAATACTAAAGGCCAGTTTCCTTCCCAACGACATGTTGACATTACCGGTTCTATTTTAACAAGAACACTAATGGTTACTCATAGCTTCCATGGTCGTCTAGTTGTCAAGGCGCTTGACTGCTAAACCAAAGGTTGCAGGGTCAAATCCAAATTGTAGCGGCCAAATGTCGATGGTGGAGAAATGCTAGAGCTTCGTGCACTGATATTTAGTAGCATGCTATTGCACTACACGTGGTCAAAGTTTCTGGAGCCCTCCACTACGACAACCCTCATAATTGTGTCAAGGTTTTCGGATGTAAAACACCAAACCAACACCAAACACCAAATAATGGTTAGGCTGATGAGAAATGGTTATATAGGCGGTAAGTGTCGGCACCTCTGCGTCGTCGGCTACCTCACAGGTGATGCTCTTTCGTGGCTTGTAGAAGTCGATGACAGTGCTCGAATCGAGAGTGATGTTAGTCACGACTGGGTAGTACAGAGGGCCATCTTCATGAGGCTGCGATGGAAAGACATAAAAAAGGAACATCAACAGAACCATCCTTCAATCACAGGAAATATTGCCTATGAATAACACAATATGTCTGAAGCTCGATTAGCTCAACTTCACATGCATTCACGTAATGTAAATGTGTCCACGCTGTAACTGCAATTGCCTGAAAGAATACTTACAAGCGACAGCGGCTGTCTGTACTTTGTTCTAACCTCAGAAAATGGGGCAGCTCTGCCCACAGCGATTGATGTTTCTCCCACAGAAAATTTACACACATGCTCCGTCCAACAGCACTTACTCATTTTCATGACGTCAAGCGCATTGAACCGTTTCTGGTATGAGCGTTTCTGGCAGTTCACTTCACCATAAAGACACACGCTCTTGCTTTTTAGGTCAGAAACTTGAAAGTCCTGATAAATCTTGTTAGGGATTCCGACACAGCTACTCAGCCAAATGCACTGTTTTGGGTAGTAAAGACAAGCCTTTAACTCATTATAGGCATATTATTTATATCAGTGGAGAAAAAGTACCTATTGTTCGACCGGAAACCATCTAGCACAGCTGCATTTCACAAGCAAAGGGCAGGCACATCGCAGTTCTGTAGGTGCGGCTGCCATTGTTCCTTCTCAGGCTGTGACCAGACAACACGGCACAAAATGTTGCTAGCTACAGATGACAGTAGCACTACTGAAGAATGTCAGAAACTGTGAAAGTGGCTTGACGATCATTTATAAAGCTCACCAGTATTCCTTCGCCAGGCTTGTACTCGTTGACGAGGACATGATTGGGCGACTTCTCGCCAAACACTCCCAAGCTGGCAACTTTGGCGCATATGTCCTTCAGCCACTGCGCACCAAGATTAAGCATCCAGAAAATATTAATGCAATGACCAAGAACACCTGTGTGTCGTGCACATGTACCCAAAGCAGGTGCCTAGCCAGGCATTTTTGGGTGTGGGGGGGGGGGGGGGGCAGTGTGTTAATCCACCCTTCAAGTATGTTCATGCATGTTTATATTGCAGATACAAAATTTAAGGACTTCGGAAAGTGGCAGGGAAAAATTGAACTCCCCTGGACCTGCCGATGGCATAAAGCAAGGGCTGTACTAAGCACACATGTAAGTTAGCAACACGTGATTACTTTCTTGGACTTCACGGCATCAACTGCACACAAGCTGCATAAGCCTGCTGTGGTATGTATGCAACGTCACGAACGCTGGATTGACACATACAGCTTAAGTCTCCAGGGAGGAATAGATGTTCAGGCGGCGTAAATTGCAGTGTAATTTTTTACAGCAAAAGCTGTTATGAGACCAAAACTAGTGTCACACGCGGCGCCGTAGTTGTCCGCTACCGCCGGTGTCCGTAACCACTATCGTGAAATAAGAAAAAAAAAAGAAAACCTAGTACCAATCACACAGTGGTGCTCGAACCCGGGTCTGCTGCGTGCCAGCCCAGTATTCTACCACTGAGCCACGCCAGTGCTTGGGACTTGTTCGCAAGCTTGCCTTAGGCAGTCTTGATGTCGGGAAAGGAATCGCATCAATATGGGTAATAAAGCATTTTAGAACAGCAAAAGAAGATCGAGGCGTCACACAATGTGAATAGCGTAACGAGTGAGTCATGCGATGCTCCACCCATTACAAATGCTTGTTTATTTAATCACCTATTAACTGTGGCGCATACTCACTCCAGGCATAATTCCTCATCGTCACCAGCCACTGCACGAACAAATGGCACAAAATTCCTTGCAAGTGTTTAGGAAATACAACACTTCTCAGAAGAATGACGAAAAATAGCATGAAGAATGCTGGCCTACAACCCAAAAATTATTATAAATGCCATAATGGGTATCAACCAAGTAAGCTTGCAGCAGTTACCCAATGAGTGTTTGGAAAAGGCTCTGAAAGGCCGCTCTTCTAGCTTTTGCTGTGACTGTGCTGCGCCTTTCGCGCAGGCCAGTTTTTTTTTTTTTTTACGCTGGCTTGTCCTATTGTACAATTGTTATTGATATGTGGGGTTTAACGTCCCAAAACCACCATATGATTATGAGAGACGCCGAGACCAATTGTTAGAGGAAGTGAAAAGGTTCGCTTTGTCAAAGATATCCTAATGTTCTTGTGTAATTAATCATTCTTTGTGTTTTACATCCCACAACTACTTTACGATTATGAGATGCGCTGTAGTGCAGTATTGTGATAATTATGTCTACCTGATGAACATGCACCAAAATCTATTCCCACATGCCTCTGTCCTTTTACCTCCACCTAAATGCGGCTGCCGTGGCCTGGATTTGATTCCGCGACCTAACCAAAGTTGTCGATTCTCGCCAACGAAACGCGCAAAGCGTCAGGTGTTTCAGTTACCTTATCGCGTGTTCAGTGAATTCGTCATCGCGGTTTTTAGCTTCTTGCAATATTAGCAAAAAAGTTACTTGCGGTAGAGCTTCCGGAACCATGCCTTTTGGATGTGGCAGCCCACCTGCGAAAGGAATATTACCGTTAAGTCCAAACGTAAATTGTACGCTCATTCGCTCTAGCACCCACCCCAGTTCTGGAGTCGCCTGTGAGCGAGCTGAACCCACTTCGGCTTAGGTGCATCGTAGACTTTGTCGTGAAGGCACTTCTCTTCAAAATCCGTGATGAAATTCGGGACGTAGTAGACACTGTCGGGAAGCTGAAAACAAAGAACATCCGAAAGAGATCTTGTTTAGACGTAGCAGCCACTAGATCACCGCCATGCCGATCCCGCTAACATCCTAAAGAGACCTCGTATAAACGCACGTACTAGATGTGATATGTGGGGTTTAACGTCCCAAAACCACCATATGATTATGAGAGACGCCGTAGCGGAGGGCTCCGGAAATTTCGATTACGCCACTAGATCGCCGCCATGCCAATCGCGCCGGCGAAGTTTAGAACGTGGATTCCGTAAACATGTTATGCGCTTCTCACGTTTCAATCAACAGGCATACGCAACACGATTGCGTAACAATCTCACCGACGCTACTCGAAATTTGTCCAGATCGCCGGCAGCGCAGCACATGGGGGCCGCCATGCTTGGCGAGACGAAGCGACTTTTGTCTTCGAAATTGGCTATAACAAGTCACGTGAACGCAATCAGCCAATCGACGCCTTGCTTTGGCGTGTGCGTGTTTCGGTTTTTGCCCGCTTGATGTGTGTTTTTTGTTGGGCTCGCGAGAACGACCATGATGTCCTGAACAACAATCGGCGCTTTTCTTTGGACACGGATAGCTTAGAACTTACCGGTACGTCGCATGGCCGTCCTCAGCTGACCGCTTGATACGATGCAAAGTGACTTGAAATGGGACTCGGCTAGAAGACCACTGCGAGCTGCGTCTTTCGTGTCCTTCTTGTCTCTGTGTCGTCGTTTTGTTCTCGCGCTATAACTATCGTCTAAAGTCCAAGCGTGCGTGTGGTGTGTGAAGTAGCCGTGCGGCATTTGCCTCTCGTGGTCAAGTTTTGTGTGCCGATAAACCACCGAGACCCATCACTAGCTGTGTTGTGTGTGTTTGCAGATTTTGGCATATAGTCACCGTCAAGATGGTTGTGAAAAGACTCGGCGGCGAAGCGCCGCAACCGAGACTTCGTCGGCACCACTTCCTGGAAAACGTGCAAACCAAGACGTTCACTCCCTTGGAATACCAGGTATTATACACGCTCGACTGGTGCGTGCATCGTTTAGTGTGCACCTCTCTGCGTCCTGTAAGGGCTCGGAGAAATTTTCTTTCTCGCCTAAAGTTGCGGTGACACGCTCGCAAACCTGCGCCGTTTTGAACGACAGGCACATTCCAAACTTCTCATCTTTCGGACATCATGCTGGTATCTCGGAGCACTGCGCAAAGCTCAGTCTTCCTCGGGATGTTTTCGTATCAGCCTCTGCAGGGGAGCCATCGGTCCTTGTCTCGTTTACGTACAATCTTAGCCGTGTAGCTGCTATTACGGTCCTGTTATCAGCTTGTGGTTTTACATGCGGCCTCTCTGCTGGCTTGCAAAACTATGCGCGTTGTCACTCTGTGGTGGTCGTACACCTGACAGCAAAACAATGTTTCCAAATACCAGGTTCCTGACTGTTCGATAATGCGTTGTCTTCGGATGCCGTGACATCTTCAGTTTTATTTCGTATCCATACGTTGGACAGATGACGGGGACAGAGATTGAAAGCTTCAAATTGGCTTGACTAGGCACGTGTCTCTTATTAGCAATAACATACACGACTCCAACACGTCAAGATATGTATCTACAGTTGATGCAGCATAAGAGTAAGGATTATGAAACAAAAATTATTTTAATAAACACTTAGCAGTTTTACGAAGCAAAGTGGTTTTATGCAAAGTTTACACAAGGTCATTCACAACAGTGTAAAAATGACATATATGCGAAATCCACTTGCAGAGGAAAAAATGCATAGCCACAGTATAGTCACTTTTCACTTAAGGAATATGAGAATGGAATGTGCTGTTGAGCTGAGTGGATGCAACGAGGTTGTGAAAAGGAAAGTCGCTGCTGTAGTTATAGCGTGACAAAGAAACCCTTCCATGACATCGCCGCTTAGACACCGTGGTGTTTTGAAGTTTTTAAACACGTGCTCACTCAGTATGTAGACACATTAGTGCTCGTCAAATAAGTGTGCTCGGCAGATGTTGATCATTTTAAAGAGTCACTAGTGGTTTTGGAGAACATATTGGTAACTTCAGAAAGACATTTTTTAGAAAGCTGCTTACATAGTTCCGGAATATAATCGCCGTTGACAGTGACTCACTCTTGTAGTACTGGAGTAGTGATAAGCAAAGTTTCCATAGCACGGGCAATAGCTCTCTTGAGAAGCAGTGCTATGGAATGGAGGTTATCATCAGTTATCAGTATTGTGACCCCTTGAGCTGTGTTGTGTGGGCTTCTAATCTTTTTGCGATGAGAAACAGTCAAGGCAAGCAATAAAGAGGGGCTCTGTTGAACCGCATGTTCATACTTCATGTGCCTTCCAATATAGTAAGGGGGCTATTGATTGCACGTCTTGTGTGCGGATTTTAGTTCAGCTTTGCCAGAAACTTGCCTTTTTCTTTAATGAAACCGTGCATTCTAGGCTGTTTGCTACAAATGTGTAGTCACACTGTGAAAGCTAAAACGAGTTGATGCAAAGAAACATGCTCACATGTACGTGCTGATGCATAATCTAACAACTCTTTGACTAACATGCCATGGGATACTGCATATGTTTGCGTGAAGGTGGCAGTTGATAGGCAACAGACAGATAGGAGAGAAAGGTGTGAAATTCGGCCACGATGCCTATAACATTTGGTATAAAGACCCAACCACATTTGGGTACAGTTTCAGAAGGCAGTGGCTCTTTCCCGCGAAAAGTGGATGCACATGTGTGGGCACGCACCAGGCTTGCGTCATAAACTAGAGATTCAGTGACCCTGACGTAGACACGAGCCGGACTGTTCATAAGTTGCAGAGGCAACCAGCTGCCAAACTTTGGCTGTCTGGGTGGGGCCTGACCTGCCTTCTTAACTTGTGTCCAACTATAGACTTCAGTGAACCTTTAATTGCTTAGTATGCACTCATGGGCTTGTTGGCAAGCCATGATTTTCACAGCAGCAGTGCACAAGACACAGTGATGCACACATAAAATGACGCAAACAAAAGCATTGTACTGCAGCTGTTACAGTACAGTGCTTGTCTTTTGCATCAGTTTATGTGTGCGTGATTGTGGTCTGTTGCACCCTGCCTCTTCGAAAACCTTTCGTTAGTTTTTGGGGTTTTAGCATTAGTAAACAGCTAGTTTTTTTTATTTATTCATCACAATTGAGAAATAATACAACGAAGAGCTCATGACTTCCTCTAGTAAAACAACTTTCTAGACTTCTCCGTTGCCCACACTTGTTTGGCTCTAGCACAGAGCAAATGCAATGCCTATGCAATCCCACATTTGGGCAACTTCCAGGTGGAACTGCTGGACACTGCAAAGCACCAGAATTCCATCGTTTTTCTCTCATCCGGCAAGACGTTCATGGTGGTCATGCTGGTCAAGGAACTGGCCTACCAAGTCCGACCGAGCTTCGAAGACGGTGGCAAGCGAGTGCTGATTCTTGTCCCATCAGGTGAGGAAACCGCTGGCATTCTCGTGCACGATGATCACGAAAGCTCGATCTTGGAGGGAGTTTCTCGCCAAATTCGAGTACTGCACATCAACCAGTGTGGCATGCAGATCAGGCTTTGGTCTTGTTGCTTACTTGTGAGGTGTGATACGTCCTTGCGTTGTGGAAGATATCTCAAAGTTCAGACAGAGAAGAGAGTGCCTCTCTTTCTCAAGAAAGCCGCCCCTCGAGCGAGAGTCGCTGTTGTGGCTATCTAATGGCTACGGTGCACGACTGCTCGCGAGACCCTATTCCAGCAATGCGGGCAGCAATTCTGTGGATGCGAAATGCGAGAGGTCCATGTTGCTTGCATTTAGCTGCTGCGATAAAAACCCTCAGGTGGTCACATTTTTTGGAGTCCTTCACTACAGAGTCTATCTTAATAATACTGTGCTTTTGGTACATAAAACCTTGACATTAAAAATAATTCGACCGAAAATTGAAATCACACGCATGAGAACTGCTTGAGATATCGCTGACATTGACTCGTTACACTACGCAGAGTGCACAACATTCAACCAATCAGTCAAATATTTATTCACAAACAAATATATATCGAAGTGCATATACAAAAGGGGGTCCCATAGCACGTGGCTGACAGTGGGGCTCTCTATTGTCACTGGAAACATGCTGTACGGCTCAAAACATCAACGTGGAATATGAGTAGTGGAGTTCCTGTTTCTGGAAGTTCACCAGTCAATGCAGAAGCTGAGATCTGTTAACCCTCGCCACCACATCCATCGTGCTGGCACGGTAATGGGATGGTAACGGTCAAATTATCCAATAATTAACTACACTAAAAAAATATTTCCGTGAAAGTGTTCTTGAATGTCGCTTTACAACTTCTAGTCTAACAGTTAAAATTGCTGTGTGGCTTGTTGAGTGGCCTTTAAAAAGAGTACTGATACGATTTCGAGACACTGCAAAAGGGACATGTCACATTTTCTTGGTATGCTATGTCAGTGCTCTCTACTTGCTTGAATCTAACCGCAACGCACGCTATCGTGATGAGCAAACACAGTTTCACTGAGTTTACGAACTCTGCGTGCAGCTTAAATCACAGAAATTGTTGCCGGGGGTCGTTTGATCACAGTTTGACAATAGTTGTTGACATGCACAAGGACCAGATGACAGATCTGCCACTAATACGTCACAAGTTGCTCTCCGTCTCTGATGTCGCACAGCAATGACACGTCACTCCTCAACCCCTCAATATTGAAAACGAAAGCGTTTTCTTAAGGTAGTGGTAGTAAAAAATATATATTCAGTGCATTCCCTGGCACCACGGTACTCTTTTTAGCCTTCTAGATACTAGCGTTTTTTTTTTTTTTTTTGGAGCAACAATATTTGAAATTCGTGTCAGTACTCCTCTAAGTCTATTCGTATTAGCTGTATTCAAAGTACTGTACAATGCTCACAGATTGAAAGGCGGAATCAAGACATTTAGTATAATGACTCGTATGCGTAGTATCTCAATATGATCTTGTCATGTTGCTATGAATTTTGCCGCTGAAGGTAATGTTGGCTGTAATTGTAATTTTCGTGTCGAAATTGCACTGATATGACATGAGCTAAAAGCAAAAGTATGTGCATTACCTTTGTGTTTCGTTGGGCAAGTTCTGTAAAGCGAAATTTCATTAACAGCACAGCTGTTCGAGCTTGGAGTAAGGCCGGTTTTGTACACAGAAAACTCTGAAGGTATGTGCCAAGCAGCTCCTTGCATAACCATGTACATTACAGTGCAGTAAGTCGGTGGGAAAGGGAATTAAGAGTGATTAGAAAGCAAAAAAAGAGAGAGAGGGTAACAGAGAAAGGAGATTATGCAGAAAGAGATGAAAGAAAGAAGAAGATGAAAGAATTCACTGCGTTTCCCAAGTGGTGGTGCTGGCTTGCCAGCTCCGCTGTTTACTCGGACTTTGCAGGCATGCAACTGACCGGAATTTTTTTACAGTGAAAGCTGTTATGAGATCACAACTCGGGTCACGCGCCACCATAGTTGTCCGCCGCCGCCAGTGTCTGTAACCACATTGCATGAAATTAGAAAAAAAAAAACCTAGCGCCATGACACAGTGGGGCTCAAACCCGGGTCAGCTGGGTGCCAGCCCAGTATTCTACGACTGAGCCACTCCAGTTCTTGGCACTTTTTGGCAGACTTGCCTTAGGCAGGCTTGATGTCGAGAAAGCAATCGCATTAATACGACTTTCGCGTTTTGAAACAGCGAAAGTACAAGCAGTCGTCATTCAGTGCAAATAGCATAACGAGTGGGTTGTCCAATGCTCCAACCCATTACAAAAGCTTTTTTTATTCAGCTATCAACTGTGGCGCATACGCACCTCAGGCGTAATTTCTTATCATTGTTAGCCACTGCATGAACAATTGCCTCAAAATTCCTCGCAATAATTTAACGGATACCACACTTCTCAGAGGAATGACGAAAAATAGCATAGCAAATGCCCTCACGCTACCAAAAATTTTATTAATTATTCCGTAGTGGGTATTAAGCAAGAGTGCTTGCAGTAGTTACCCAATGAGCATTTAGAAAAGGCTCTGAAAGGCCGCTCTTATAGCTTTCACTGTGACTGTGTTGCGCCTTGCGCGCCAGCCTGCTGTTTTTTAGGAATATTTTTTGTAATAACTTGATCATCTTTATAAGTATATTTTAGGCGTAGCCTTGTTTTAAAAGCTTTCAGAAATTTACATATTGCAGAAGATAGTTGCAGAGAAAGGTAAAAGAGGGTGTGAATTTCCAAATAACTGTACCGGCTGACGTGTGTAACTGCTATAGTTTGTTTCGTGCAGCCGAGTCTGGCATCCGGCACCAGAAGATGATGGAGGACTACACCGATCTAAAGTCCATTTTAATCGGTGATCCCGCCGTCGGCAAGGACGAAAGGCCTGTTGACTTCCCCAAACTCTTTCGTGACCACCATGTGCTCGTGATGACTGCCGGCTCATTTAACCGCCACTGGGTCGAGGCAGATGCAGACATCTCTGAAGAGCTCGTTGACCATTTGAACCTCATCGTCTTCGACGAGTGCAACGAAGCTCTGCGCCACATCGAGTTTGAGCCCGTGCTGGGCTTCATCATGGACTACGTGATGGAGGGGCGACTGAGCGTGCTGGGGCTTGCAGCGCCACTCGCGACGAAGAAGCGGCAGCGGCCATCCTTGCTTGAGGCCGAGATCCTCGAGCTCGAGGACGGCTTCCAGAGCGTCGCCTGCACCTCGAGTGAGTTGACGGTCGTAAGCAAGTACGGCAGCCGGCCCCGAGAAGTCGTCGTCGAGTACGCTGCGTACGGATGTGCAAGCGGCGACGGGGAGTCCACGGATAATCTCAAGACGGCGCTGCGACTGCTGGACGAAGCGATGGAGTTTTTAGGTGGCACGGAAGGCCAGCTGGACGAGTGGGCCAGGGCATCTCTGCGGCAGTTTCAGCGCTATTTGGTCGAGCTGTGCTACACGCTTGTCACTCTGGGGCCGTGGTGTGCCCGTGAGGTGGCGGACCTCTTCCTCAAGGTGAATTGCACCTTCAAGTGATTGCCATTTTGTGCATGGTTTGCGTTCCTTGCCTGCTTGAGTTATGTAAAAGGATGTCTTCAGATAACTTAACATTGGTGTGGGAAAATGCGTGTGGGTGGATCCATTTGCATGCTGCTATTGGCTGAAAAGTGGTGTATACACTCTCAGTGTGGTGCTTATGTTGTACTAAAAAGGCACAACTGAGAAGCAATGATGTGAAACTAATCACAGTTGTCTGTTCATTTCGATGATGTCTCTTTAAGCCAAATTAATATCCTTTTGTTGATGAATATGGACTACACTGCATTCTAAATGAGGCCAAATAGCTGACTGAAAGAGTTCTTCAACTTTTTGTGCTCATACTTGCTGAAGTATTAAAGACTCGAGCTGTCACGCTACTTATGTTAAATTGTCGATTCGTCGTGCATAATAGCACAACTAGGGAGCCGATCTTCCTTGTTTACTGGGTTGATCAAATTCCGCAGTAAGTTTCCTGTTGGAAGTGAACACATTCTGTCATGTATTGATATTGCCAAGACCTTTCATAAAGCTTCGCAGTCAAATCATTTAGGTTGAATTAAACACTGAAAAAGGTCCGAAGGTCAACAAAATTGCTCGCCCCGTATCATTGCTGCACTCGCAGGAGGTTTCACAAGTGGTGGACAGCCTGGGTCCCGCCGTGAATTGGTCGCGCATGGCGCTCCTTCTAGTACACACGGTGATCCAGCAGGTTGCCAAGCTCACCACGCCCTTGGCCGCGGACCTCGAGCCCAGCGACGCTGCCCACCAGCCGGCCAAATTCCGACACCTGCTGCAGATACTGCGGGAGTACAGGCCTTCACAGCCACAGCAGCAGCAAGGTGGGTGTTGCTGCCAATTACTTATTGTTCGAACATAATCACACTATTGCAACCAGGACATTTAACATGAGGCTGAATTCGTCTACCCTGTGCTATCACTCACAACCGTCATAGTTGTAGTACAGTAGAATCTCGATGATACAAGTATGGTTGATGACAATTTCGTGATGACATGAATTTCAAGCTTGCTTCAAATGAACTACGTTATATACAATATGCCATGATTCAGTGTTATACAAATGATTTTCTCAACAACCACGGATTGTACGAACACGCGATTGACCGCTGCACGCGAGCTGTGCAACGTGGTTTGTCTGTGAGCGAAGGCGAAGACGTGGTTTTGTGGCCGCTTTCATGCTTTTGTGGCCATTTCGACTGGCGCAGACGGTGTTTTGTGGCCGCTTTCAGGTTCTCGCTCGAATTCTCTTGGACTGTTCTTTTTTTCCGTGTCGACGTTGTGGTGCGTTTTCCTGGCCGCTTAAGCGGCGAAGCGAGTGAATTTGCAATAAATTTTGCCACTTTTCTTCCCTTTTATGTCAAGGGTGATCATTCCTGATAGAGCCGGCAGCATCAGTAAGGAAATCGCGGCAATTTATTGAGGGACGGTGAAAGTAGGAAAGTTCGAAAGAACATCATGGGCTTTTTTGTAGCAACAAGTAGCTGACCCCAATAAAGTTCTTGTTCATATTCATGATCAGCTTTAACTTGTTTTTGGTTCATACGAATTTGGGAGAATACGAATATTTTGCGTGCTCCCTTCAAATTCGTATCATCGAGATTATACCGTAGTAGTTGTAGTAGTAGTAGTAGTGTTGGTGGTGACTACTGTGGCAACAGCAGTAGTAGATGTGATGTGACCAGTACAAAGCAAGGCAATACATCTGGGCACGTAAAATGGTCGTTTGGATAACAGGGAGCGCGCATTTAGTAGTATTCCAGTTACGGTGGCAGCAAATGATAGGACGCGAGGCATTCGCTGAAAAGCCATTACTCGAGTCTGCGGGTCACGTGATCCCACTTTTCCCAATGAAGTGAAGGCACACGTACTGCTAATGTAGCGACAAATTTGTGATACCACTTGATCTCATTAGCCAACCGAATTCACTCGCATGCTTACAGCTTCGCTCTCTGACTGTTTTCAAGGCCTGGGACTGCTTGGATAAGCTCTTCGTAACCTTGTATTGGGGCGCGAGGGAGCTTACTAGGAAGGGGAAGACTGTGTTTATACCAAGAGAGGCGAGGGCTTGCGGCAAGAGATGAGAGCTAAGGCAGAAGATGTTGAGGACATGCTGTGAGATGCGAGGAGGGGAGAAAGTTGAAGCGTGAACTTTGAAAAAACGTGCGAAGATAGGGTGACGGCGAGTTGCAGTGGAGTAAAAGGTGGCGTGTCAGTGCCAGAGTTCAGGAGTTAGCATGTTCAAGATGACGCACATTTCATTTCACATTATGCTGATGAAGAAGCTACCCGACGTGAACGTCACGAAGAGCTGAATAGGGAACACGCATGTAATCTCCAGGTGGTAGAAACATTTATTGCCACTGTGTAGCGTGGGGGCCGAGCCCCCTCATGGCACGTGGGTGCACCCTCGCAGTGAGGAGGCACCCTTACAAAGCAAAGGAAAGCCCTTGAAGTGCGATCCTCTTCATGGCCTTCTCCAAGCGAATCTTGATATTCGCACAAGAGAGGCCGAAGCTAAGTGCCAACGAATGGAAGACTTCAAAGATGTAGAACTACACCATAGCGGTACACAAATAACAGAAATAAGCTTCGCTGTTTCGACAGTGTTCGCGAAGTGCAGCTGGCTGACTTTTTTATTTTTAGCCTGCTCAGACTCATAGACAGCTCATAGACATAGTCGCATCTGAGTGAGGTTAAATTCTCACTATGGCTCCCAGCAGGTGCAATACTCATGAAGAATCCACTTTGTACACAGCCTAAGTAAAGGAAAAAGCTGGTTTTAAGTGTTGGTCTTGGGCTGCTTTTTTTTTTTTTTTTGCTGTATTTGTGCTTGTGTGCGAGCGTCTTGCTGTAAATCAGATGACTGCTAAGCTATTGAAAGATATGAAATACAGTAAAACCTTGTTGATTCAAGGTCACTGGGACCGTGAGAATTCTTCGAATTAAGCGGGTTTTCGAATTAACAGAACATACAAAATGTGGAATGCAAGGAACTTGAAATCAGGGCTGGTCATTTGCTGTGCTGGCTAGTTTGTGACTCTAAGGGTCATATTTTCCAGCAATACCTGGTCACAGTTTTGCAGCAAACAAGGGGGAATTCAGGGCATTACTGCTGTCACCGCAGAAAAAAAAAAAGTGACCAACTAAAATTTCTGTTTGCGAAAAACAAGACATCTTCACTGCAACACAGTAGTGACACGCGGGCAGCATGGCGCCTGCTCTTCGCTGCGTCAGCACGTCATGATGCGATCATTCGTTCTTTTTTTCTCGTACAATAAAGAATTTAATGATGGACAGTGTGATGAAATTCGCGGTGTGTTTTGGCTGTAAAACATCACCATTGAAGCTTTCGACCAGAGTTTTCAAAGTAGGCGTTGCTGGCAAGAACTCCGCGAGCTGTGCAAGTGCGCGAATTGCTGTAGTAACCGGCACTCGGAGGTTCGCTTACATCCTGGATTTTTCCAGACTGTCCTTTATTAATTTTTTTAAATTCCCAGAAAGAATGGATAAATCGTGACGTGCTGACATTGCGAGAAGCATGTGGCATACTGCCTGCGCGTCACTGGTGTATTGCAGTGAAGCACGTCTTGTTTTCTACAGGTGCACATTTTAGTTGATCATGAGACCGTTATTTTTTTAAGACGATAGTCTTTCTTAAGGACCTTCGATGTAAAAGTTTTGGCTGCCTGTCTGTCTGTACATTCGTCTATTTGTCCGCCCTTAACGGTATTTTATACGGCACCAATGTGGCCAAACGATACTCCATACAGCCGACCCCATCAGCAGCGCCCATCAATAGTGCCCAAGATTCAGCGTTCATACTTGTGTGATCGTCAATCAAAAAGCAATTATTGCGCATATCTCGGGCACCATAACAACACGTCAATATTCTGTATGTGTGTCTCTTACAAGAAAAGGCATACATAAGTGATTCTATTGACCATAGCGTTTATCACGTTGCACTGACCATGCAACGTTTGCACGAAAAGGTAAGTGTTTCCAATGCATTTGTAAGACGACACGGTGGTGGCACCTACCCATCGCCTTGGGTTCTGCACCTTATCACCTCTGAGATGGGCACTGCAGGGCGTGTGCGCTTCGTTTTCCAAAATAACTGCCAGATAGCGCTCACGTTTCTGTGCGCTCGGCGGGTTTTTCACGTACTGCGCTGCTGCTGGCACCATCGAAATCTGAAACTGGCAACAAGCTTCGCCTAAATAGTTACAGCAGGCTCACATTAAATGGAACCTGATGGGCCTGTACACGCACAGCCGCACCGCACTTGCTGGGACCCCTCCTGCACTCAAGCTAAGGGTGAAAGCGCCCTTTCACTCTCCTCTTGCTCGCAGCAGGTGTTTCGGAACATGCAGTGTGGCTGTGCCTCCGCTTGCTCGCGGCAAGTGTTTTGGCACTTATGGTGCGGCTGTACAGGTAGCACATGTACATGCCTGAAGAGACCAAGAAAATGTGCACCATTCAACAGAAGCTAGGCTTTTTAGCTCTCTGCTTGTGTGCAGCAGATGTCTCGCCACGTGCAGTGCTGCTGTGCAGAAAGTGCGTGTACAGGCCAGAAAGGGCCAGGAAAATAGGTTCCGTTTAACGGGCGTTATGCTTACTGAGAGTTGACCAGGAGGGCGAAATGCAAGAACAAAACCAGTCTTGTCAGAAGCAATTGTTCCATTTAAGCAGCAGTTCCTTTCAGGAAGTTTCTATCTACTGAGAGTCTATCGTAGTTCAGTTCATCGATCATTGAGCTGCTAACGAAATGAGCAGCATTACCAACATGCCCATTTGTTCACTCTTGGCGATTTGTTTATTTGTTGCTGGTCTGAGCAGAATTGGGAGGAAATGTTTAGCTAAATCTGTCAGTTCATTTCTTTCAGTGTTTTGTCATTCAGCCTCAACCTTTGAGGTGAGACTCCTGCGAGTGTTCCTATAAAATCCCTTCGCTGCTACGTTATCACTTTCAGTGTTTAAAGGGGCCCTGCAACACTTTTTGAGCGTGGTCAGAAAATGCTGCTGATTGGTAATTGAGGCTTCCGAGAACACGCGAGCCAAATGTTATCGCGCAGCATGCAGCCCTGAACTTGCAATAAATTCTCAAAGCCAGCTAAACACTGCTTTTTCTTCTCTCGACAAATCACGGAAGAAGCTCAAAAATAATTGGTCACAGCCATTGTATCAGCCGTTCGCTGATTCGAGCATGGCGCGCTCGTTCGTTACAGTGATTGCCGCTAGGGGCTGCGACTTGCCCAAACGTGCACGCGCGATCGCACTGAAAAGCCGCGTATGTTCGTCTCTCCCTGTGCCATCCCTCCCTGCTTAGCTTCCAGCACTTCCATCGGGACGAGAGGAAAGAGAATGCAATTGCAGCGTCAAAATTTTGTAACTCTGCTTGTATTGGACGAATTCTAAAAATTTTTGCGGCAGTGCATTTCTGAGGCAATAAGCTTGTTTAGTGAATGCATTCCATGGCTACTTGAAAAAGTGTTGCAGGGCCTTTAACTGTGAGTTCAACTGAACTTTTTCCTTTCACCGCCATTTGTTGTTTTTTATTACAGGTACCATTGCCAACTCACACATTGTTCAGGAAAACTGCGTGGCTGTGCAAAATTCTGCCAATGAGCTTGATTTGTCAACTCAGGAGTCGAACATGCCAGCAGTGGTGGATTCTACGATCCAGCCCACAACATCTCCAGTTTTGCCCAGTGATGTGAACGGTGTTGTGCGATGCTCTGATGACTCTGAAGCTCTGTCTGGATCGTCGCCAGATAAGAAAGTGCCCATGATCGATGGTACCGCGCCGTCGGCTGCAGTATGTTCAGGAAGCGTTGCGTTGTCTACTGCTTCCGTCGGTGTGCCAGCAACGCGTCCGTCGAACGCCGTGGGTGTGTCGTCTCGCCCTGCGGGCCATCGGGCCGACCTTGTCGATGACCCGAACGCGCTGTGCGGCATTGTGTTTGTGCGGCAGAGGATCACCGCCTACATCCTCAGCATGTGGCTGACAAAGCTGGCGACCCGCTTCCCGAACGAGTACGGCTTCATCACCCCGAACTTTTTGGTGGGGCGGACGACTCCGCCTGCCCTCGGAGACGGGAGCTCAAATCGCAGTGGTCAGCAGAGTTTGCCAAACCTGCTGACCACACCGCTTGGACTTCAGCGGCAGGAGGAAGTCCTCCAGAAGTTTCGGTCGCGGGAATGCAATCTGCTGGTGGCTACGAGTGTCGTGCAAGAAGGGATCGAGGTCAGTGTCGATGGGCATTGTTTTCTTTCTGTTTGGAATGCAACTAAGCTACTGCAAAGCTTTTGAAGACACTCTAAGAATCCACTCTTTAAAGACCCTTTTGAAGAACTATGGGAGCCTGCAGCATTTATGCTATGTTGTACGAAACACCATTAGAGCGGCACATAGGGTTCCATACAATAATACCTAGAGAGGAATCTGGCGCTGCGATCGTGTACCTTTATGGGAAATATGGGAAGTGCAGGCTTCCGATTGGATAAGGTTAGCTATCTACGAACTTTTTTCTACAGTTTCAGTTTCGTTTCTTGTGCAGCACAGGTAGTGGGGTGCGATAAAAAAGGCTGCGGCGTTGGAGCTTTTCAAGTTGTATTATTTCAATAAATAAATAATACATACTTTCTAGAGAAAAACAAGCATGTTTGTTTTCAAGTGTTGTAAAAAATAATTAATTCTTGTTGCCAAATCTGGAATGCTTACCCTGTAGGTTGACTTTGCCTAGGTTTCACTTTTGCCGCCTGGTCACGAAAAATTTTTGCAATAAAGTTGGTGTACAAATAATTGAAGCAAGTTTAAATTTCAGTTTATATCACTTCATTTCACACTCGGAAAAGAAGCATCGTGAATTTCAAGAACGTAATCCATTCAAAGCGGATACGAAGCCTGTACTTCCCATTATTCCCATGGGGGTACAAGCGCCGCTGAAGGAGCCCACGTAGACACTAGCGCCAGATTCCCCGTTAGGTATTATTCTATGAAACTCATTGGTGTGGCACATCCGACTCCCAACTGCACAGAAACACAGAAAACTCACATGCCGTTGGGGACTGTGTTTAAGGGGGGATGTGCCAATGGGAATTGTAAATTTGTTCAAAATGTTCAGTTTTTCAATTAATCTTTCTGTAATTCTGAGACCATGTTTTACATCATAGTGTGATTTTAGACCAAAATAAGTAGTAGAAGTTGAGAAACAAGCATTTTACTGGTTGGCTGTCGTCAAAAGTTATGTGAAAATTGGGCATAGCAAAGTGCAAGTTTGAAGCTTTCCCTATGCACAGTGCCATCATACTGGCGTCATCGTAAAGAGGGCAGATTGAAGCTCAAGATAGCATCAATGTTGCATTTCTCCAATAAAAAATAAAGCCAGCTTCCTTCAGAGTTTTGTTTTATCAGCTTCTAGCTCCAATTTCTTTGAGCTCGATTTTCTCAGCTTTCATTTTTTGAGCAGTTGCTGTCAGTCATCCCTGTGCCATTTCACAACAAATTAGGTTATAGCCATTCCGTTTTCTGCACTTCAATTGTGAGACATTGGTGAGTGCCGTAAGGCTGTCCATATTTGTGTGCACATCGTACAGACTTTTGTAATTGGCTTTTTGTAAAAGTTGTTGGTAAGACAATATGTCCAGGACATTAAAAAAAATATTTGTGTGCTAACTTAAATATTAAAAGTAAACCAATAGCATTATGGCACAGAGTGAACCCTTGTGAATATCCTTATGAAACAATTTTGACGAACTTGTGTCTAATTAGCTAATTAATTTTGGAATAACCGTGAGAGTCTATCAAGTGTTGTAACTCAAAAGTTATATTAGATGGCTTGAAACCGATCTCAGTTGCGATATCAGCACAACAAGTGACATCTGCATCCCGGATTTCATCTCTCTGGCTTCATAAATAAGAAAGATAATTTTCATTGCCACGCCTCCCCTTAATTAACCTCCATCACCGTTCTTATTGAATTTATCGGCTGCAACTGTGTGCCTAATGAATCGACTCGACAAGCTACTTAGTAAACAAGGGAGATAAATATTGTTCAAGTACCCTTTCAAAGTGAATTCAAATTAAAATGTTAGCACCTGTACTAAATTTTTGCATGAAGGAGCTCCTAGATTAGGCGAAAAGTTGTGCATGCCTTGCATTTGTGTTTTCATGCACGCTTGTTTCACTATTTGCACGCGACTGGGCTTCAGTCGTACTTACTCATGCTGCCACTCTCTGCGGGCCATGCCTAAATGCATGGAAACCTTTGCGATTGCTTCAGAGCGCTACGATGAGAGTGTGCACACGCTGTGCCCAGTTGAACTTATTTTAGAACTAATTCTAGCACCAGCAAAAGCGCTGGAGCTTTCTATAGGCATCTATAAAAGGCATCGCTGAGGCATCTATAAAAGCTGACGTGTTTCACCAAGTGTTGTATTATCGATGCCCAATGACTGTGCTCGCCACTGTCATCGTATTGTGACTTCATTTTCTGGGCACAGGCATACCAAATGTAGTGTTTTATCTGGGCTTTCTTGGGTTCCAAGTCTCCAGCCGTCACAACCACGTGGAAATGATTATGCGTAAAGCAAGAGAGCAGTTCTGAAACTGTCCATCCAGTGGGCTTGTCATTTGACAAGGTCCATTCAATTGGTAGTCAAGAGGGTGGCAAGTCGTGACGTCGTTGCTCTCCTAACTACGCCGACGCACCGCACCTGCATAGCACAATCCCAGTGTTTGAATAAGGTGGATGAAATGTACAATCGCGGATCACGTAAACAAACTTGGCAAGTCTGTCCTTGCATGTGAGCTTGTCCCCGATACTTGAGAACAATGTAGGGAATGTGTGCCAATCTTCACAGGTACGTTGAACGAGTGGCAGCATTAAACCTGATTTGAGGGCTAGTGTGATCGCAGAGTTGGAGTTTATGCATGACCTCCGACATTAGAGCAGCAAAAAAAACATATCTCTTGAGGATGGGTTCATTGCAATGAAATGCATTCTGTCCCTCTAATTTGTGCCGAGAATTGTGAAAGCTCTGTGATGTCAAAATAACATCGTGGAAAAGAAAACGGGAAACCGGGTTCACACTGAACTCTAGCCAGTCAGTAGCAGTCGAAATGGACATTTTGTGAGATGAACATATCGAGCATAGCTCCTCAGTATGAGGTGTGCTGGAAACAAAAAGAAAAAGAAAAAAAAGGTGAGAGTGAGGTAACGTGCCAGTCCGTCGGTGCGAGTGGACGAAACCTCAACGCATCAATTCGTGGCTGTGAGCGTGCTGTGATTTGCCAACCGTTTCTTTCACAGGTGCCCCGTTGCAACCTGGTGGTGCGTTTCGATCCACCCGAGAATTTCCGGGCGTACATCCAGTCCAAGGGCAAGGCCAAGGCCGCCGGATCCCGATACTTCGTGCTGGTGCCGCACGACGAAAGCAGCCGCTTTCTGGGCGACCTGCATGATTACCGCACCACCGAACAGGTCGGCCTGTTGAGATGTGTCGAATGTTGCTGCGAGCTTGTTGCCACCTGTTGCATGTTGCCGGTTCACGCTGAGATTACTTTATCACGCGAGACTATTTCGCTTGGGTGCTTTGAAGTCTGCAACTATTAGTAACTGTAGCCCTGTCAATTTCTGTATATGTTTACCAGTACACTACTTTTGCGTGCGGTTGTCATTTGTGTTCTTGCATATACGCTGTTTCGCTTACGTATACCATATTGCTCCTCCCGCTTGGGACTAAATTAGGTCTGCTGCATGTGTAGTTGCAGCAGGCTGTTAGGGAATGGAGCACTCCTAAACAGTGTAGCTGCTTAAACGGTACAGTTTCCTCTAAGATTATTGGTTTTATGCCTGAAGACTGTAACCCTGTTCATTTCTTAATAAATGGAACACTTTGTAAATGGAACACATATACTTTTTTGAGGTTTGATTTAAGAGAATCTACTGTTAATTTTCAATATTGATAGTGAGATAAATAATCGTTGCCTCACATGCAAATTTGAAAGGGCACAGATATGTCGAGCCAGTAATGGAGTCGCCACAAGCTTACACCTTGATTACCCATAGCTTTCCGGCAACCTGTCTTGGAAGCTGTTAGTCTGTAAGAAAATGTTGTTTAACTGGCTAGACATGGCTTTCACTTTTTATTGTAATCTTTGAAAGCTACAGATAAACATGTTGTTTCTCCTGATGATTGTAAGCTGTTCCAGCTGCATATAGGGGGGTACCAGGGGAATTTATTACACTAAGTGCTCGTTAATTTGACATTCGTGAATTTGGGAAATCACATAATTTGGAGGTGCCCTCTGGTCTCGACCAGGGTGTAAATTGTTCAATGACATCAAACTTTGGTTGACTCAGCTACATTTGGCCGCTACCCAGCTAGCTCGGACAATTCTCAAAGTGCGCCAAGCACGTAGTGCCGCATATATGGGACGCGAAGCAGCGAAGACGATGTTCGCGGATTACAGCTGAAGTGGTTGCGGACTTTCAGTAATAAGTAGTCATTATCCACAATCACTTTGGCACGTAATAAGGCATCAATTCACAGCATTTTATGGCTTAGGACAAGAGGGTCTTAATGTGAACAAAGTGAACATTTTGAATGAAGTTGCAGGAAGTATGAAAAATGTGTCTTTTTCTCTGCTCTTATGCAAAATGTTTATTAGATTTACATATTCCTCAAGAAAATTAAATGGAATTGATATAATAGACAATTAATTATGGATTTTTTATACTTTAAGTAATTCTGCATTTGGTTAATTACGACAGTTTCATAAAATACAAATTAACAAGCTTTTATCATACAGTAGATCCCCTTTAACAGAGCCTCAAAAAACAAGAAAATGTGTTTTGTCAGGAGTTATGTTTACTGAGAGGTGATCTAGGGTGGAGAATCCAAGTAGGAAACCAATTGGATGGAGGCAGTTCTTTTTAAGCAACAAATTTTCGTTTGCTGAGAGTCTACCGTAATAATAAAAGGAAAAGGGCTGTTTAGTGAAACTGTGCTGTCACAATACCTCGATTTAGACAAGTTGTTTCTTCTTGACTGGGCACACAAAACAGTGCAAAGGACGCAGACAAAGTGGACCCAAAGCGACGGGGCGTCTGATATTCATTTCATTTTTTCCATTGTGGCATTTTCAAAAGCTCTGTAGAGCGAATTCGGTCTTTCGTAATTACGAAGCTTTAATGCCTGAAGCCTGGAGGTTTTCCTAATGTGCTAGGCCATTTTGTACTCATCACAATAGCTTAAACAGGCAAGGTTTTGTTCTGTGAAGCTTAAGAGCGCAGGTTGGTTTTTCTGGCTACAGTCAGCACATTTTGATGGGGCCGAAGTCCAAGAACACTCGTGTACTTACATTTAGGTGCTTATTAAAAATTAACCGTATGTTATCAAAATTAGTCTGTACTCCCCTTCCTACCTGATACAGTAAACCCTCGTTACAATGAAGTTGCTTTATTCGAATCATCACTTTTATCGAAGTCTCACGTAGTCCCGGCCCCTATAAGTGTATTTTAGACCGGATTACTCGAAGCATGCTAATAGCTTGCTCCGCTTAGAGCGAAGTAACAAGTTGTGGATCCGTACTCACGGCTGCGCTAAGAGCGGGCGAGCTACTGCTGGCGCTTTTTTCATCCACGTCCTGCGCTGAGCGAGTGGTGTGCGCGCTAGCGTCGCCAGGCTAAAGCGTGTCAGTGCAGAGACGTGCAGATGGTGTGAGAGCCTTTGCGGTGCGTATTTCACCCATTCTCCTCTGCACCCACTCTGGTACGAAGGCCGCTGCCGGACACTCTCGCTTACATGCCGGCTGCTCACCACTACGCCGGTAGTGTCACGTGACCAGTACGGAGCCTTGGGGCGGCTGGGTTTTTTAAAGACAATAGTCTTTCTTGGAGACCTTCGACACTAAAATTTTGATCTGTCTGTCTGTCTGTCTGTCTGTCTGTCTGTCTACCTGCGATACAGTAGTGGTGCAGGCTCTTCTCACAATCTGTCTGTCTGTCTGTCTGTGCATTTGTCTGTTTATACACTTTAACTATGTCTTCAAAGGAATTAAAGTGACCAGATGATACCCCAAACGACCGACCCCATCTGCAGCGCCCACCAATGTTGCTCAAGATTCAGCGTTCAAACTTGTGCGATTGTCAATTAAAAAGCAATTATTGCTCACATATCTGAGGCACCATAACAACACGTATAAATTCTGTATGTGTGTCTTTTACTAGAAAAGGTATACATAGGTAATGCTAAGGATTGTTGCGTATATCAGGCTGCGCTGATCATGCAACTCTTGCACGAAAAGGTGAGTGTTTCCAACGCTTTGCTAAGACAACACGGTGGTGGCACCTACTCGTCGCCTTGCGTTCCACACCTTATCACCTCTGAGACGGGCGCGCATGGCCATCTCAGAGTCACGTGCTTCGTTTTCCAAGAAAACTTCCATATAGCACTCATGTCTCACGTGTTGACGTGACTGGATGCGCTCGTTCGCCTCCGCTGCACGCTCGAGCGCCTCCAGAATAGCATTTACCGATTTCTCGCGCTGAACATCAAATGTTTTGTTCACTCTCTCCACACGCAAGACTATCGTCTTTCGACGACATTTGCAAGTTAACATGCAGATACGAGGCCAATTTTTTTTAATCTGTGTTTGGAAGACACACGTGCGCATGTGTTGTGCTAGGATTGTGTGAACCCGTGATGTTATTGGTGCGCATCGTGTGCTTTTAGTGACCGTCAAGTGAAAATGGCACCACCGGCGCTTGCACGGAAGTGTCTAGCATTGGAGCAGAAAGTTCAACTGATAAGTGAGGTGGAAAAGAAAGGTCAGCAGAAGTCTGAAATCGCAAGAGCAAGACGATTCGGAATACCGATGTCAACATTATCGACTGTTCTGAATAATAAGGATGCCGTAGTACTAGGCGGCTTCGAGAAAAGTTTCTCGGCCAAACGAAAGTGCAACCGTGATTCATTCTATGTATTTTGAAGTGGAAAGAGCTCTTCTGAAATGGCTGAAAAACACTAGAAGTGCAAACCATCTTGTGAATCGGCCTGCATTTACTGCAAAAGCCGAAGCCCTAGCCACCCAAATGGGCAAGCAAGATTTTAGGTGCACAGCGGCTGGTTTTGAACGTAAGAAGATACGGCACGGCATGTCTGCAAAATTTATTGTTGGTGAAAGTGCAGCCGTGGACCGCGATGTCACGGACGTATGGTGCAAGCGTCGGCTGAGTGTCCTACTTCAGCTGTACGCAGATAGAGACGAGGGGGCATCCTCTTACAAACTTTTGCCGAAGTGCACGTGCACTACACCAGACGGAACTTCACGAGAATGTAAAGAAAGCAAAAAACACTCCTGCCTACAGTGCAGTTCGGTGCTAACAGGACGGGGGAGCACAACCTTCCTTTGCTGATACTGGAGAAGGCGGCAAGGCCCCGGTTGACTAGCCGGCCGAAATAGTCTACTTGCTTGGAGGTCCCGACGAGGAAGATGAGCTGCTAGACGAACAGCCTCGTGAAATATCAACAGTGGCGAACACAGGAGAGCCTCTGTCTGTCGCGAATTAGAGTGGAGTGCGCGGGCGGCGACCAAGATGTTATAATTTGCCTGAACAATCTGCAACAGGCACTCTTCGTGCCCAGCAGAAGCACCTGCCAAAGCCAGCTGACTGTCCTTTTTTTGTGTAAATAAAGGTTTTTCTCACTGTATACCACTTCTGGGAAGTTGTCATGGCTGATTTAGCTGTACTTGCTGAGCTGTTATGACATAGTCGCGTATATCGAACCTACCGCTTATATCTAACTTTTCGCCGTCCCGCCGACTTCCTTACAACAGGGCTTTACTGGACGTTTAAATGTAATGTGAAACCACAATTGACGAAAGAGAGAGCCATACACAAAGCACCACTTCCTACAATGTTTGTTCAGAAAGCACCGCAGTGTAGATGAACCACATGCTGTCACAAATTGTCAACACACAGTCCCATTGTGTTTGGCAACTTTTTTGATAATATTGAAAATGATTCCATGTTAACACACTTATCACCTGCTTTGATCTGCTCTTAGACCTGCTCTTAGTCTCGGTGATTAACCTTACACATTTGCCGTCGCTTACAGCCACAATAGAGCAGGCGCGGAGATCCTGGCTACATTGACAATCTCGACTATGAACTGCCATGTGACCTTCACTGCCATTTCTGATGTTGGGTTTTCTAAGTCGGTCATTCAGGCGTTGCTCAGTTTGTCCTGTGTGCTTCCTATCGCACGACAAAACAGTGTGACAGTTGGTGTACCTGTTTTAACGTGACTTCGAATTCATTACCGCCAAAGGAGTTGTTACTCTTGAATGCGACTGTGCATTGACGATTTGCGACAGCATGTGGTCTGTATATGCTGTGGCCCTCTCTAAATAAACAATGTGGCAAGTGGCACTTCACGTGTGTGTACACTCCCTTTTGTCCATTGCCGTCATCGTGCTTTACCTTTCAAAATATGGTGACCCAACACGCAGTCTTCCACATTTAAGCCTCGTGTGGTTTTCTTTGTGCGTATACATATTGGGTGACTTGTTGGCCTTGTTGGTGTAGCCTGTTAAAAAAAAGTACCTAAGCGCGGCACCGAACTGATGAGGTCGAGACAGAGAGAGAGTGCACAAGCGCTACATGTGTGTTTCCTCTATCCCGTCCTCGTCAATTCCGTGTCGCGCTTACTTTTTTGTACGTACTGGGGTTTTGGTATCTACACTTGCTGAATTATGCGTTAATTTTATGTGTTCATTTTTTTAATTTGTAGTCTGTTATCTTTATTTGATGCTGAAAATATTAGGAATCATCTTAATGTGTGGCACGACTCGAATCACCGCAGATCCTCTTGGAACGCAGCCACGTAGAGGATACCACGATCGACGAAGAAGTCGATGCAGCCTACACGGACAGCCTGAAGCCAGCCTACAAGCCGCTGGAAGCCGAAGACGCTCCCAGGGTCAGCATGTCCACTGCCATTGCCTTGGTCAACCGGTGAGTCACTTGAAGAGTCTTTGGTGGTTCTTTTTTTTTTTTTTGCACCACTTTCTTCATTCTTAAAATGAGTGACTCCTCTCTCTATTTTAATTGTTGTGGAGCTGAAAATCTTTCTTGTTAAAAAGACTATAACAATTTTGCTTTAAGTGATGAATATCTGGCTGGAACTTGGCCATATTCCAGTCGGTTATTGAAACTTGAGATGAATTGAAGTTTTATGTAGTTGAATTAGTGAACTGGAAATCTTCCAGCTGGGAAGGTTCAGAAATCCAGCTAGATATTAAAATTCTTTCATCTGGTTATTCACCTTGGCCAGTGGTGAGTAGAATGTTGGAACTTTCATTCAGATTGACTTTTCAGCTATTCTACCATAACAGATATCTCACTCTCTTTCCCTCTCTCAAACATAGCCACAGCTAAGCAGAAATCCTTTGAATATTTCTCACGCCTTATAAACCTGTGGCGCATTTAGGATCTTTGGTGCATTCATTTGGGGCTCAGGTTACGATATGAATCCCAAGAGTACCGCAAAATGCTGCTTAAATGGAACGACTTTCTCCAGCACGATTGGTTTCATTCTTGGATTCTCCACATGTGTTCATCTGTCAGTAAACAGAACTCCTGTTAAACAAAACACATTTTCTTGGTCCCTACCTTCCTCAGTTTCAAGTTATAGGCCCTTCGCACTTACAAGCTGCCTTTGTAAGCTTTTTAAAAAGATGATAAACCACAGACCTTTACATTTCCTTGAAAAACACAATCTACTCGACCTATTCCAGTGCGGGTTTCAAGAGGGTAGATCTACCACCGACCACCTGGTGCATATTGAGGCTGAGATCTGAGACACTTTCATCCACAAACAATACTTCCTCTCTGTGTTCCTCGATATCGAGCAGGCTTATGACACAACATGGCGTTTTGGCATATTAAGAGACCTGTCTCACCTGGGTGTGCACGGTAGAATGCTTCCCATAATCGAGAGTTACTTGTCCAATCGGACATTCCGTGTCCATGTGTGCAGTGTTCTCTCCCAAAAATTTGTTCAAGAAACGGGAGTACCGCAAGGTGGTGTACTTAGTTGTACACTTTTTATTATCAAAATGAATTCCTCGCACCTGTCCATCCCCCGCAATATGTTCTATTGTACATATGTCGATGACGTCCAGCTTGGCTTTAAGTCATGCAGCCTGGCAATGTGTGAGTGGCAGGTTCAGCTAGGTTTAAACAAGGTCTCCACGTGGGCAGAGGAAAACGGATTCCGACTGAACCCACAAAAAAGCACGTGTGTCTTGTTCTCCCAAAAGAGAGGCATGCGCTCAGAACCTGACATTCAACTGAACGGTCTCAACGTCTGCCTGTTAATGCCGAGCATAAATTCTTAGGCCTAATCTTGGACAACAAGTTGACCTTCATACTGCACATCAAGTATTTAAAAAAAGTGTTGTCACGTATTCCGTCGGGTAGTGACAGGCAATGTCTCATGAATTTGTATAGAAGCCTCATTCGCACCCACTTAGATTATGGGGCCATTGTTTATCAGTCTGCAACTCAAAGTGCTTTGAGGATGCTGGACCCCGTGCACCATTTGGGCATCCACCTTTCTACGGGTTGCTAGCTCTGTAGAAAGCCTTTACACAGAGTCAAATGAGTGGTCGCTTCATCTGCAGAGAACTTACATGCTTTATATTTCCTTAAAGTGAAGGCAGACAAGAAGCACCCCTCATACTCCACTATTAATGATTTGTCGAGCTCCATTCTGTTTCAAAACAGGTCTCCAATGAGGCAGCCCTACTCAGTTCGCCTGAAGGGTCTAGCTGAGGAAACTGGTGTGTCACTTGAACACAGTTTAATGGCTCCTGTAGCATACCCGCCACCGTGGCATTGGCAGACTGTAGACTGCAATGTGTCTTTCCAAGAAGTTACAAAACACACGCCCATCGCCCTTATCCAAACGTACTTCCTGGAACTTCAACACAAATACACACGTCCTGAGTTCTTTACAGATGCCTCCAAGTCTAACTCCTCTGTGTCCTACGCTGCTGTCGGCCCATCCTTTTCGGATGCTGGCCCTCTACATCCAGATACAAGTATATTCACAGCGGAAGCTCACGCGATACTCACGACCGCTAAACACATTAAACAATTACAACTACAAAAAGCAGTTATTTACACGGACTCTCTCAATGTTGTAAAAGCTCTGCAAACTCTTAAAAAAACAAAAAAACCTGACCTCGTCTCACTTCACTTTATTTATGCACACTCTACACACTCTACACACTCAAACATGTCGTAGTGTGCTGGGCGCCAGGGCACCGTGAGATCCAAGGCAGCATGATGGCGGATCACCTTGCTGCATCCGTCCACGAAAGCACTGCCACTACGCCCATATCAATCCCGGCCCTTGATCTTAAACCGTCTCTCAAACGAAAGCTTAGGGACTACTGGCAGAGCAAGTGAAATAGACACACACAGAACAAGCTACACGTTATTAAGCCACACTCTGGTCATTGGCCGCCATTATCAAAATCACGTCGTACAAAGGTAACACTAACGAGGCTCAGTATAGTACATGCATACACGACAAACTCATATCTTTTGTCCGGTGGCGATCCATCATTGTGCGACAGATGTGGTGAAGCACTAACAGTTTTTCATGTTTTAATCCAGTGGGAACAATTAGACCCTCTAAAAAGACAACACTTTCTATCACCCTATCGACAACATATACCATTACACCCTGCAATGTTCGTCGGTAGGGAACCACTTTTCATTCATAAATCTGTGCTAGCTTTTTTAAGAGATATCCGCTTCTATCATGTAATACACCCAGGCATTGCGCATTGCGTATCGCGACCTCTCAAGAGAGGTTGCTGCTGTGGTGGCTACATTGAAAAGCACTCGCCTCACGGCCCTTGGACACAAGGGCGCTGATGAGGCACTTGTGCTATTGCCAAATATTTTTACACATGCTTTTATTATCAGAACCTTTTGTCACCCATTTTTACTATATATATTACGTCACTTTTATTATTTTATTACAGCCGAACCCGGGTATATCGAACTCGCCAAAAACGTTTATTACTTCGATATATGGCATAATTCGATATAGGCCCGGTATAGGTTTTGACACAAAGGCACATAACAAACTAGAAGAAAAGTAATTTAATAATATGGAGGCTTGCTTGCATGCCCTACTGTGGAACAAAATAGTCTGGGATTTTTTTCTGTGTCAACGACTTCACTGGCTGCGACAGCACGCATGCCTCCACATTGTCCAACGAGTCGGAGCAGCTGAGGCAGCAAACCTTCCACATTCAAGCAATAGCGCCGGACCAACACAAGTGCACTAATCACTTTGGAGGATGTAGGCAATGGGCCGTCGTCGATTTCCATATTGCTGTCGCTTTGGCTCGTGGTCGGCACGACGTCTGCAATGTAATCCTCATCCTGTTATTGGCCCATGATGGGGACATGATCGTCCGCACTGACGAACTCGTCGAATGTCGATCCGTCGATAGCACCCGGGAACTCTGCCAGCTCGTTCCAAACTTCGGCGGAAACACCTGCGGTGTCTTCAGTGCTGTCAGAATTTGGGGTGTCATCACCAGGCATGCGGAAGCCGGCATGCCTAAAGCAGTTCTGGATCATCTCTTTCTTGACATCTGCCCACGATCTACTCAACATAGAAATAGCTCCGAGCAAGTCGATCTTAAGCTCCCTGCCAACACGAAGGTTCTGCAGCAGCCTCTCCACCAGGCGCTTCCGATAGCCGGCTTTCATTGCGCGTATAACGCCTTGATCCAGTGGTTGCTGTACAGACGTAGTGTTCGGGGGCAAAAAACGCAGCTCGATGTTGCTGAAGGTGGTACTGCAGTGGTGCGATGAACCATTGTCCACGAGCAGGCACACCTTATGATTTTCGCCTACCAAATCATCATTCCACGACGATAGCCATCTGCTGAAAAGCTCCCCGGTCATCCACACTTTTGAGTTTGCTCGGTAGGTAACTGGAAGTGACAGCGCATTTCGAAAACACCGCGGTGCCGTGCTTTTCCCGATAACCAGAGCTCGAAGCTTTTTCGATCCGTCTAATTTAGCTGCCAACAGCACGGACACATGAGCTTTGTTTGCCTTGCCGCTGCTTGTTTTGTCGCCACGACACGCAAGTGTCTTGTTTGGCAACATTTGCCAAAGTAGAGCGGTTTCATCCGCATTGAAGATATCTTGGGCTCTATATCTTGCTGCGATATCTCGCCAGTTTTCCTCGAGCCATTTTTCTACGCTGTCCAGGTCCGCCGCTCTGCTTTCACCTGTAACAGCTTTGCCAACGATGTCGTGTTTGTTCTTTGAACCGCTGAAGCCAGCCTGAACCACCTTGGAAATCATTCCTGCCAAGCAGAAAAGCAAGGTCCTTGGCTTTCTGCTCGATCATAGGGCCGGACACCAGGATGTTTCGCGACCGAACGTCCACAAACCACTTGTAAACGGCCGCTTCAACATCTTCGTACACAGCAGCGCGCTCATGTCGGGCGCCACGGGCACCTGGCCTTTTGTCCGACTTGGCCTTGATGTCTGCCTTGTTCTTCAGGATAGTACTCAAGGTGCTCCTTGGAATTTTGTACGCGGCGGCGACGTCGGACTTCTTTTCACCGCGCTCAACCTGATTGATAATTTCGAGTTTCGCGGCGAACAGCAACTTTGCTTCTTTGCGCAAGCCATGATGACAGCGCGCCAACAGGCAACACCACAGATCACGCTGAATCGGCAGCAGCAGGCGCACAAGCATAAAGAAAGAAAAAAATGGCGCTCACTTCTACCGTTTCCGTGCCTCGGAGAAAGCACGATGGCCTCTGATTGGCTGTAAGCGCTGCGAGCGGGCCAGGATCATTTCTTGGAGGGGGGTGTTCGCCCTTGCACAACCGGGTCTAACCAACTTTTTCTAGGGTGGCGCCGGCAGTTTTTCCCGCCATCGCGAGGGAAAGCCAACTTGCTGGGGCACTTTTGAGGCACATGGAGTTTCATATATCGGTTTTCGTTGCTATTTTCGTTTGATAAAACAGTAACTTTTGCTATATATTCTGAATGTAAACTTACCGTGTTTAGGAATTGTTTGATATATGGGATATTTTAATATAAACGGGTTCGATGTAGTCGGGCTCGACTGTGCTTCTATATTTTACCCACTGTAGTCTGAGAAATTTTAAGGCTCTTATACAGCCACCGAACATATTCATTGTTCACATCTCGTCTTATGACCTAACGCTCTTTGGCCATCAAGTGTACTTTGCGCCACAAAACACCGCACATCATCATCATCATTTCCTTGGTCCCTTCATGTTCTGTTTAGCGAGAGTCGACTGTACAACCAAAAAACAAACTGGCCGTGCCTTTTGGGACTCCTAATTAATTTTTTTATGCAAGGAATGAAGCTGACCGAGTGCAAAATAATTAAATGTTCAACTGCATGTTAATTGACATTAATTACTAAAACTCCTGCAAGACCGCACATTCCTTCATTTACTTCCCTGTAATGTAATACTGAGTGTCTTGGAATCATGCCGTGCGGGTTTGACACATCTGCAGACAGTGCATCATAATTCGCGCCTGAAGGGGATAGACACTGGTGCCTAATTTCCCTCTAGTGTTATACGGCTGAACCCCTTTATAAGAGACCTGCACCAGGAGCAATTCTTGTCTTTTATATGAGGTGTCTCCTATCAGCAGGGCACCTCGTATGCATTTTCTTGTCAATCCCTGTTTTGATGTGGGTGCTCTGGTGTTTCTTTTACCCCGTTGCCTCCTACATCAGTGTCTCTCATAAAGGAGTTTGACTATGTTTTGAAATTCCACGCTTTCGCCATGGTGCTTAAAGAGCCTTCAATGTTTTTTCTCTTCGGTTCTTCTCCAGATACTGCGCCAAGCTGCCTAGCGACACGTTCACGAGGTTAACGCCCATCAGCAGCATGGCGGAGGTCGAGACAGAAGGCTCGGAAGAGACCCTGTACAGCTGTTCGCTGCGGCTGCCCATCAATTCTCCCCTGAGGCGATGCATCGTGGTGAGTCCAGGGGCGCAGCATGCCCCGTTGCCTTCTAGTGAATGGTGGCCAGCTGAAAGGGGAGGCACAGACATCAAAGAGTGCACTGATTCATCAATATTCTAGGTCACCAGCGAGGAAACTTTTATGAAACGAGAAATAACGACGATAACATAAGCGGAGTTTGAACTTATCTCATGAGCCCTTTAGCTGTCAGGTGTTTCTGGTCGTGACATCCTGTTGGACGCTTGCCTCGCGTCGCTGTAGCATATGCACCACATTTACTCGTATGTAGCGCAAGTTTTTTCTCAAGATTCTTGGTGCCTGAAGTCGACCCTCGCTTCGCTATGCAATATCGGAATTGAAGTTGTTGTGAAACTGCAATGATGCACCCAATTCTAGATAGACTACGGCTTTGGTCATTGCACGATTCATGTTGGCAACATGTGCAGTGGTCTCGGTGGCTTTGGTTGCTTTCGGGTGTTTTGACTTTCCTTCGACTCCCCTTGTGATGGGAACGTGTCGCTCTCAATACGACAGCCGTTCGAAGAGCGTTATTTTGAGAGCTGTAGAAATCAGCTGCTGCTCGAAGTCTCGATGTGAGTGAAGGCGACCATCTACGAGTCGCATGTCCAGCAGGAGCTCCTTTTCAGGTGGAAGCACGACACACATGGTGTCTGTGGCTCTCATCGCGGCTGCCCTTTTGAATTGGAGTCACTGATTTCATCTGTCACTGATTGCAATCGCCTCATGATGGTAGGTGTTTAACTGAAGCAGTTTAGTGCGAGCAATCTCACTCGGGAGATGGGTAACCCGCGAACACAAAAGTTCAACACATCGTGTGGGTTGGTGCGAATTACCGCTTTTGAAACATTCTATGAAAAGTGAGTGCGCTTTTTATGGCCCTGCTGCCCTATTGTTACTTTGGAGGCCTTATTATTTTTTTTTCTGGACGCAACAAAAAGCTGACCTTCCTTTTTGGGTTTTACTTTTTATCCTTGGACACAATGAAAAAAACACTGCCCACGTAACAATTGAGTACATACAGTACTCTGTTTTGTTCTAACAATATTTTTTTTTAATTTGTTCAAGGTAACGAGGGCATCGCATGACTTCCAGTCCAGCAAAACATTGCAGTGAACTTATATTTACGTGTCTATTTTGTATTAGGAGGCAGCTAAGCAACTGTGTGAAATACTAATTTCTTTAAAAATAAGCTAACTTTTCACTATTGACCCTTTGTTTTTGTTTATAGCTGTGGTCAGCACCTAGTGCTGCTCTTCCACTCAACACAAAAAGGTCTCGGAGCATTTTCCATTCCTTTTCAAGTAATTTTGCCATTGCACCAGCTTATGTGTGGTACATTTGTGTGTTCTACTTGTTTCATAGATAGCCTTGTGTAGCCTTGCGTTTCTGTGCTAAATATTGTTTGTTCTAGTCCGATGGACAAACATCCTTTTTTTTTACTTATATATATTGATTTCTGATGTTTTGCTTTTTTTTTTTTCATTTCTTGCACTAGGGGTTGCTGCTGTTGGGGGCAGACAACTCGTGCATGCTTTCCTCATGCTAAATCACTCGTCATGACATTTCTAAATGCTTAGGCATTAGAAACTTGTGCTAAAAGCCAGCAAGGCCAAGCCTGTTTGTCGTGTAGCAAACCTTTGTTTGTTGAACTGACAGGGGGACCCAATGCCAAGCAAGCTTCTGGCGAAGCAGGCAGCGGCGCTCAGGACGTGCGAAGAGCTGCACAAAATGGGTGAGCTGTGCCGTCTCGTTCAGTGTGATCGGATGTGCTTCGTTCGGTTTTGATAACCTTTAGCCGCTGCATGTTGCTGACAAATACCGAATAAGTTTTCTGACTAATCGTCGCTAACAAACAACCCGGTGCAGGTGAACTTGACGACAACCTGGTTCCACAAGGCAAGGAGGCCATGCGAATGGCTCTGGACCAAGGGTCGGCTGGCCGCTTTCCCGTGGAAGACATCCAGCCTGGCGGTCCACGGCCCGGAACCACAAAACGACGGCAGTACTATGACAAAAAGGTTGGCACCTGCGATGCATTTTCAGGTCTCGTGAAGGGGTTCGAGCCGATAACGATCGAACAGAGGAATTAGGAGGAAATAAGTTACCTCAGAGCTTGTCATGACCTTGAGCGCATGATGAAATTTGATTGGTGCTCTTCTGTTGCAATTCCTGTGAGTGAGTGTGAATGCTGGCTGACCGTGTAGCGCTGCATTGGCACGCGGTGGCACCCCCATCTGATCCATGCGTTGTTCTTTATTTATGTTGGCTACTGGCCGATAGTGTGCCATCTGCTGTTTGATGTCACATAGGCGGTGCCAGCAGTTCCGATGAGAGTGCCACTCAGGCCTCTATACTTGAGGGGGGTGCCTGAGAAAATGACAATGTTGCGCTTCACATTTAAATACATCATTTGCCTGAGATGTTCTTAGTAGTGTATGCTATCCATAGGTTATGTTTTCTCATCAAGACATGGCTAAGTCAAGTCATGACTAAAGGTTCTTAACACTCCTAGTCAAGGAATTGAGTTGAATGTATTACTGCTTAGATAAATGTTTCTTAAAAATTGTCCTGACCACCCCTCGTGCTTAGAAAAAAAGAATATGCCTGGTGTCTAATGCAGACGCGCTTAGCCAAATTGTGCATTTGTGCGCGGCAGTTAGAGTTCACAATAGGGGAGGGAAGCTGTCACTTTCTTAGACGCTCTCTCTTCATGAAGGAAGTCGTAGTCGCGCTACTTCAAAGGCTGTCATTCAGCAGATGTTTCATCGCACTACATATTGGTGCTTTTGGTCTATAGATTGTTACAGAGGTGTTTCAGTGCCATCGTGGACTCTTGAGGGTCCGCTTAGAATCAGGGTCGGCCTAGAGTTGAGTAAATACGGTACACTGCAGAAACACTAACACATGCGTATTGCAATCACACCTGGAGAGAGCTGTTGTGTTTTGTGATACACACACTCCAAGTCATGACAGGCGTATCGTTTGCATCATTTGTCTTTGCTAGTTATCCCTGTCCATGTAGCTTTCAGCGTCCTTGTCGAGATAAAAGCCCTTGCGCAACACTAAACTTAGAGAGCGGCGCCCTAGCTGCCAAATCATCATATTGGTTTACTCTTTTTGCACAAAACTGCTAATAGTAGTGGACACGTTGTGAAAAAACACGCACAAAACACTGCAGCACAAAAGACTGTTTTCACACTAATGTGTTCGTTATGTATCTTTTTCTCACCGTGTTTCGTAGTTTGGCGCAACGGAATTCTATCATGTTTAACCAACTGGCACACTTTTTTCATAAGTGCATTACACTGGTTACGTTGTTCCTGCCACGCTAGGTGTCCGAGGTGCTGAAAGGCAAGCGAGTGTGCGAGAGCGATGAGTTCCACCTCTACGCCTTCACCATGAAGCTCACCTGCCCTATCCCCGAGGAGCAGAACACACGTGGCCGCAAGATCCACGACCCGGCCGACACCGCCCGTGGCTTCGGACTCGTCACCTCCAGGCGGATCCCGCTTGTACGTCTAGATTGCACAACTTGAAACATTTTTTAGACTCGGCGTGTCGCTGGAGTCGGCTTTTGGCAAGTGGTCTGTCTTTGAGGCAGCAGCTGCCTTGAAGAAAACAAAACCGCTTGCCGAAAGGACAACCAGCGACTGCATAGTCTTCAAGAATTGTTTTGCAACTTTCAGCTTCCCCTGAAGTTTTTTTTCTCATTTAGTTTGTCTGATTGTCACTTACTCTTGGAATACCTGTAGCAATGTCTTGTGGCACCTGCTTTGAGTTGCATGACTCCTCTGAGCTCATCATAATCGAAAACGGTCCAGCGGTGTGTTTTTTATTGTCTTTAAAGCTGAGCTGTTATGGTCAGTGCTTTCCTTGTATTGTAAAAAGGAAATTATGATAATCGTGATCTGGCGCATGCTTTCTTTATCCTCTTTTCACTTTCGTCTTCTTCCTATTCTGCTTCGCTGTCAGAACATATGTGCCATTTTGTCCCGCGTGAGATGCAATTACTCTGATGGGCAAGAGAATGAGTACAGAGAGAAAAAGATAAAAACAAAAAGAGAAAAAAAGGGGGGAAGAAACTCTTGGGAAACTGTTCCTCTGTGAGGTGAGATTCGAACACATGTACCCGCGATCCAAAGGCAAGCGTTATAACCACTCGTTCACCCAGGCACTGTAGCAGAGCCATGCATAGTGTAGTATAGCAAGGTGGTGGGAAATGGAAATGAGAGGTGTGGGGAGGAGGGGAATACAAGTATAGAGGAAGGCATAGAAAGAAATGGAGAAATAGAAAGGCAGAGAAAAAAGCAAGAAAATATTTTCAGAAGGCGAGAGAACTACATAAAGAAAGACACGGTAACAAAGAGGAAGAGACTAGTAGAGAGAAATAGAAATATAAAAGGCAAACAAAGAATAAAGAAATAGAGAGTAAAGATATAGAAAGAACTAGGCCCAAGAAAAGATAGCAAAAAAAGAGGGCAAGTTTAGCTATATACGGTATACAGTCGAGCCCACATATAACGGCCCCACTTAAAACGAACTTTGGCTTAAAATGAGCAATATCCGCGTGACCATGAAAATATAAGTTGTTTTCGTCTCCAAGCGTCGCCAATCAGATACAGCGAATGAAGTCGGTGCCGACTTCCCAGGAAACCACTTTCGACCACCGATTCAGGCATAGGCGAGGTGCCCATTGTTAAACATCGACCCTGCCTCCGTGCCCCTCTAGTTTCCACTCTCCTCTGCTCTTTGTTAGAACCCCCCTCTACACTGAGCACCCCGCATCGCCAGACACGGCTCGTGTTTTCACACTGCCGTCCATCTTTCGAAGACCAGTCAGCCATCTTCCCCGTTTTTGATTGCTGCTAGCTGTCGTTGACGTCGCCGGCCTGGAGTGACCAGACCATTTGCCAGCATCGTCTGTATCCAATCGTCTGTGTCTTGTCTTAGCGTATCATTCAAATGCATGCACGTACGCTACTTCACCCACTCTGATAATTCGGGATTCGTTTTGTGTTTAGGACCTGTTCTCGCTGACTTCGCGCTCAGATCATATGCCCTCCGCACGCATCCGGAAATGTAACAATAGCTGTTAATTTGCGCAGAACAATTCATGAAATATCGAAGTCGGTGAGGCCACGCAAACTCGCCGACGCAACAAAACGATTCTTTGACCATGGCCGCCAATTCTTTGAACACCGCCGCGCGCGCAAATCCAGGCGGCGGTGCTTAGACCTTGTTTTTCTACGCGCGAGTTGCGCGTTTCACGGACCTTTCAAGCAAGCTGCCCAACCTGCCTCCTTCCTGCGTGTTTTCGTTTTCAAGGTCGCCTTCCCGCTGCATCCTCCCCTCTCTTCACCCTAACGCAACTCCTTGCACTTCTCTCGCATATTTGCTCTCCCCTCTTGATCATAACTTCTTTGCCCGTTTCCAACGCTCCACGACGCCAGCCACGCTGGCTCGAGTTAGTTTTGTTTTCCGACTAGAAACGGGCCCAGAGCTGTACCACACCTTCTGGCATGTGTGTCGCGTGTGCGCGTTTTGCTCGCTCTCGATGTGTGTGCGGTCAGGATGGCAGACGGAAGGCCTTGTACAATGCTTTTTTTCTGCCACTCAACAAAACGTCGAAAGTGTGACCGCATGGCTTGGGCGTAATCCACGCGTTAGTTGCTGCGTTGCAAAGGGCTTGTTCATAGCTGTTAACCACATGACAGCCAACTTGCCGCTTCGGGCGTCTCGGTATTCAGCTGGGGAGATGGCAAATATTTTGTGGGCGGCGATGACGGCTTCATATGCATGAAACTGTTTTCGCGAGGCCGACTTCATCGACGTCGGGCTTGATGCCGATCCTGAAGCTTCTGAGCAGGATCACTCCGGCAGCGATTTGTGGCATCGCGTCGTCGACTGACCTGGGAGAGTGGGTGGGACATCTGTTTCGATGGTTTAATTAGAGCCGATGATTATGCCGACACCGCGTAGCTGTGCACGGATCAGGGCATTGTGAATTAAGTACGCGGCAAGAACGATTTGGAGGAATCGGATTACAGAACGACGAAACTTTGGAGCCAGTGCCTCTGCAGCTTATGTCACGGGCCTCGGCAAAGAGCACGCTGCCGTTTGAATAAACCCCAGACCGCTCTTATCACTTCTGCTCTTCGAAACACATGCATCACGGGCTTTTTTTGCAAAAATTGTGTTTGCAAAAAAAAAAATCGTTTTTGCAAAATTGTGCAATTGTGTTTTCACTCGCAAATTTTTAAAAAGCTGTGTTTCATTTACTACGAACTTCGGGATACAGCGAACGAATGCTGCATCAGATTTAGGTTCGTTATAAGCGGGCTCGACTGTAGTATAGTAAGGGGAAAGAGAGAGGAGAGAAGGTAAAAGCCTAGACCAGCCAGGTGCCCACCAGCTCTGCTGTGGCCCAGCCTTGCTTGACTTAGTCCAAGCTGCACGAATTTTTTTCATTTATTTGTTATTTTTTCATTTAGCGTGTTGATAGAAGGGTGCTGTTCTTTTCAAGTACGCATGCAAGTTAGTATGTTACATCAATGCCTCCTAGAAAGAATATGCCTGGAACGTCGCTCTCTTCTCAATTGGAGCTTCCTGCAAGCACGCAATCTCGGAGGCCATGCCTCCTGCTGCATGTTGCGACCGGCCACTGCGTGAGACTGTTCGCCTCCGTACCACTTAGTCATTACCGTAGCACTCTGTCACGTGACATCACGGCTCCTCGGAAGTAACTGTGAGAGCACTGCTGTGATCGCAGGGGTGGCCACCAGAGGCGCTCTACGTACCGGAGGAGGAGGGTAAAATTCAAGGGTAGGGGGCAGCACGTTCGCAGCTCACGTTCCAGGCATAGTTTTTATAGGAGACATTGGTCACATGCTAAGAAAGGTGAAAGAAGGCTAAAGAAAATCCATAAACACGTATTAAACTACTAGTTACCGCTGGAAGCCGCTTGGTGCATTCTGTTAACGATAGTTTGAATAGAACTATAATCAATGCAAATAAAATTGCTGGTCTGCATTTCAGTGCATGAAGCTGCGTAACATTAATTATCTGTACAATGTGATTAGCATTGCACAGGTATTCTTAACCATGGCACAGCAATGAATGTATCGTGAGTGGCTCTAACAATAGTGCTTAGCACTTTCTTCCAATTGGATTCGGGGTGGGTTGTTTGTGCAAAAGTACAGGGCTTATTTGAAAGTACACATCTCCCCCCCCCCTCATTTGGCAGATCTGCAGCTTCCCAGTATTCACGCGCTCAGGAGAGGTGACGGTCGAGCTGGAACACGTGAGCTCGGACATTGGCCAGCTGACGTTGAACCAGGTTCGGGACCTCACGACCTTCCACCGGTACACGTTCACGAATGTGCTGCGGCTCGAGAAGTATCCGATGACCTTCAACCCCGACGGCGATGCCTGCTCATTCCTGGTGGTGCCAATCAACGCAGGTGAGGAGCTAGCTGATTGCGTGTATTTGAAGCATCGTGGTGGCGAAGTGGCCAAGTACATTGCTCTGCTACGCACAAGCGTGAGCTTGATACCTGGACGGGATAGTTGCATTTCAACAGGAAGAAAATACGAAAGCACTAGGGATCGGCACATATTCAAGTCAAGCACTTTGAAAATTTGAACGAGTGTAAAGTGTTCGTATTCACTCCAACTCAAACCTAAACGATTCGAAGTTTGAAAGTATTTGAAATGAACATATAAGTAGGCATATGGGTACTAAACTGCATGTAATTCCCGCTGCTTCCTTTCCATAAAAGCTGGTTTCAGCCGCAGCGTTGGGGTGTATGCTATGAAACCAACTTTCCAGGGAATATCAGCACTGCCATAAAGTCGCATTTTAATGTTAAATGAATGTATTGCCCTCACATCGATTGATACTTTTTCAAGTTTAAAGTTTGTTGTATGTCCTTATGTGTGCCTAGTGTAGTATTTCTTAAAATAAACTGTATTTTACTGATTATCACTAGCATCCTACCGAAATCCAGATCTTTCTGCTATTCAAATTAACTTCCACTTCATTTGAGCCAAAAAAATGACATTTGTACCTGCCTTGTCCCAATTTTAAAACGTATTGTGCAGGCTAGTTGGTTCATGATAAATATGCTAACTTTTTTTTACATTGCATGATACATATACTATTCGAAGTATTCAATTTGAAATTATTTTAACAAATCACTGTTTCCTCCGAATCTAACATTTACAATTTACACATCACTATAAAATACTCCTGTACTTAAATTTAAGGTCTTGCTTGTTGAACACTGCATGGTAGTTGTTTATCTAGAATCTCCTACTGCGGCATGCCTCGTAATTTTATCACTGTTCTGACTCATAAAAGCTTGCAAGTGTTGCCATAGTTAAATATTGCGCCATTGATTTGACAATCAACTTCACTGAATGATTAGGCCGCAGGTGAATTCGGTCTCGTAAAACAGTGCAGGCAAATGCTTCACTTAAGCACCAACTTTGTCGAAAGCTCGAAGGAATGTACAGTATGTATCACTTACAACGTTACCGCTTATAGTGCAGAACCGGTCACAATGCGGCCTTTTCCAACTCCCGTTCATCCTTCCATAAAACCCCTTGTTTACGCATACCGCTTATTGATGAGGGACCGGTTATGATGCGGTTGGCGGAAAAAGCTTCACGACAATTCCGGTAGCGAGAGTGCGTCTGAATGGAGGCGCGCTGGATGCGCTGCAGAGGAGCGAGCAATGAGCTCATTACGGAGAAAAAGGGGGTGTTGTGAGAACAAACAAAGAGCAGAGGAAAGGAAAAGAAATGAGAAAAAAAAAAGACTGCAGCATGCTGCGCGGGCTGCCCAAGTAAGGGAGGAGGGTGGCTGCCTCAACGACAGATAAGCCTATGCACCAAGCACATGCAATCCCTTCATTATCATCTGCGCCTAACTGTTTCCCTTGGGGAAAAGCATCGTTGTTATTGGGCTTGCTACAGATACCGCATTTGCTACCTCCTCCGTAAGTTGTAAACCTTTTACGGCTTAGTGTCACGATCTTTCGCCTTTGCTGCCTGTGGGCTGTCTTACGTAAGCTTGGCGGGTTTTCGTTGCGGGTTGAACGCGAACTTCGTATCGCGCACGCTGTTTTAAATGTGAATGCATTTCTTAGTCGGGCTATGTCAGGCATCCGGCAGCAGCGTCCACGCGCTGGCAGGTGTTATCTCCTTGCTCTCACTCCCTCGCCTATTGCAACAGCTGCGGGCGTGCGCACTTATCCTCGCCCCTAGCAACCGGAGTATGGGGTGCGAAAGAGTGTAGGAGTGGGTAGGTCCAGTGTTTCGCCGCTCCTTCTCTCGCCAGTCCGCTCTCTCTCCTCTCTACGTCCCACTCTCCCGTCCGCTCGCACCTCACTCTCGACCGTTCGCTGGCTGGGCACCTCTCAAGAACATCCGGAAATATGTGCTCAAGATGCCGCTGTGAAACGCCAACGCCGAGCCAAAAATGCTGGCGCTCCACTTTTCCATCCGTCCGTTCGCTCTTCACTGTCGACCGTTTGCTGGCTGGGCCCCTCTCAAGGTGATGGCAGATATCGGTGAAGGCAAATGTTTGGCCGCAACAGTACCCTCTCTCGGCGCAAGAAATGCATTCGCATTTCTTCACGATTCCCTTCGGGGAGGTGGGGGCGTTTTTTTTTTGGTTCAGTGCTTGAGTGCGATCTTTTCGATGCTGTGTCTTCATGTCTTGGACAAACTTCCCGCGACAACATACCGAACGGTAGTCTAAACCTAATCGACGACGTTTGTGTTTTGGTAGCAGTCATGTGCAATCTAAGTTGCGGGTTGGTACGGAATCAACGAAACTCTTTGCGGTGGCTGCACTTGACGGGAAGGGATACGTATTGTTAATGAAAAAAAGGGTGGTATGTGTAGCTCTCAAATGGTGGTTCGCGATTATATTGCGACGTCTTGAAATATGGTGCGCGCTCGTGAAATCGAATCGACTGGCGTCTTTCAGAGCGTGAAATTCCTAACGCGATTCGCCATTTTGTGTAATGCACATAATAGAAGCGGTCTTAGAAGCAGTCGGCAAATTTTCGGCGATGGGCATTTTCTCTTGTTAGGACCCCCCCCCCCCCCTCCTTACGATCTTTTTTGTTCATTTCGTTGGCAACACTGTCCTTGGACGTTGAATTTTTTTAACATTCGGAAATTTAAAAGGTTGTAATCATCACGCATAGCATGCTTCAATGCTCGGACATACCAGGCTGCTTGCTCAAGACGTTTTGTGCAATTGCAGCCCTTGAAAGAGGTTGTTTTGGTTATAGCACGGTACCTCTTATAGTGCGGATATTCGCGACTCCTATGACCTATGATATAGGTGGTCTATACTGTAGAATGTATTAATCGGCTGAGAAAAGACTATCCCAAAGTATAGTACACAGTTATTGAAGCAGATGCAAATTGGTCTATACTGTAGAATATATTACTCAGCTGAGACATTACCGTTCCAATGTATAGTGCACAGTTAGTGAAGTGGTAGCAAATGGCAATTTAAAATAAGAGACAAGCCTATTGTGTCTGAGGCAGCTAGTGCATAGCGCTGCATAGGTTTGAACACCACGCTATAGAACTACAAGGACGTGACTACTGCCGACCGCGTCAGAGCAAACAAAGCAGGCTATGTCTGTGAGCCAGTTGCAAAAGCAGAGATCACGTCCTGGGACAAGTCCAGCAAAGTGTTACCAGTTCGCAAACCATCTGTTCGTGTCAGCAAATAGCTTCAAGGAGAAGCTAGAACAGTTTCTTATGTGGAAAGTCGTTGCTAAAACACCATGTCATACACACAAGGCATGCTTAAAACCTTGGAGCTGAATGCGTTGTTGTCTAACAAACAGTCCTCCATGAGTACAACAATATGGCATATGTTGACGTCGAAGAAACTGTCTGTAAAACGAGTACAACTAAATAGCATACTTTTGAGTCAAACAATCGGCCCAGAAAATCAAAATATTTGTTGTCAGAACGCAATGCACTGTGATGAATTCGAGCGAAGTCACTGCTCTCTTCAACGTCGCTCGCAGTGAAGCCAACCGACGACAAGCCAGGCTCCACAACAATAGACTGGAAGTTCGTTGAGCGCATCTGCGAGGAAGAGAAGTTCATGCCGAGACGAGTGCCCGAAGAAGAGCGCGAGCTTTTTGTGTTCAAGGAGGAAGACTACCTTGACACTGTTGTAAGTGCTCGACCACCCCTTTCTTTTTGTCTCTGTGATCCAGGCTTGAGAAAGAAAGAAGCGGCTGTCATTGTTGATTAGGCATTTTTGTTTAACTATTCTATCACTGTGATATTGTATGAAATGATTGATGGGCACCTTGAGAAAGCTTTTCGTCCATAGTCATTACAACTTCAACTCATGTTTTATACTCTCAGTCAATACAAACAACTATCAAGATTTCTTTAGAACTATGCTATTATCTAAACTATGTTTTGAAGGTTTCTACCAAAGCATTTGTGGCAAGCCTGAATGCCTCTTAAGCGGTGTATTCTAAACATGGGTTTTTAGAGTTTGTGAGATTGATTGATTGATTGATTTATTGACTGTGATGTTTGGAAGAAACCACTACATCCAGCAAGGTATTAAAGGCATAAATATTTTGTCCCACCATTCTCCTAAGTCACAAAAAATGTACTCCCTGTGATTGGCCACTGTAGCTTTAATCGTCGTATTTGACATGCCTGTCACTTTCCTTAGTTTCTGTGAGGGCTGAAAATCAGCGGAAAAACTGCATTGTGTAGGAGAACTTGTGTGAAGGCCCAATATTGTACCCATTTTGAAGGCGTCACTGTGACAGACATATTGTCATGCATGTTATCATCATTATGAATTCTGCCATTCAGCCTAGCTGGAACGTATTCATCTTAACGTATTTGCGCAAGCATACAGATACAATGAAGGTGCTTGTCCTTGGGTATCTCTTCTTTGCTTCCTAGTGCTTGTGCGAATCCTTAAGATCTTCATTATCAGCCAGCACTTGAATGGTCAGTAGTGTTGGAATGCTGTTCTTCTATACTCTGTTTCAGAAGTTCTCTTCAGCACTGTGGAGGCTACGCGCCCCTCAGCCAATAGGAAGAGCGCTTAACCCCTCCACATGTATTTATTTGTGCCATGTCGTGTGCTCACCATATTCACGGTGTCTGCTTAATGAATCGTAGTTATTATGGCTAGTTTATCAGTTTAAAAATGCAGCAAAACTATTAAACAAGCAACTGCACCGAGAACTTGAAGGAGCATGAATTTGTTGCTCTGTAGAAGATCGGTAGAATCTCGTGACGGTGGATAACTTCATTTTGATGCTGTTTCTCTCCGACGCTGTTCGTGGCTCTCATATGTCTGTTGCTCCGTCGACGCGTTCCTTCGCGCCTTTCGCTGCAGCGCTCCTTTTCTCTCGTTTTTGTTTCCGCCGAAGGAAGACTACGTTTCACTGCACAAGCGAGGGGCGTTCTCCGTAGCTTTGGTAGTGGTGTACCAAAGTGGTGAAATCAAGAGTAGTCGTTCTCTGCTTCTTATCTCGATTTGAGCTCGTGGTGATGCTGATGCTCTTGCGAGAGCACCGTGTGCTTTCTTGTGGAGCTATAAGAGATCCAATTTTTATCTCGCCTAAGGGTCAGCTGGTTAATGGGCATTGGCATTAATCTGGTCAATAGGTGACTGGTAAAATGGGCAATCGCAGAGAACTGTCGGATACGATGGCTTCCAGTTCGACGCACCACACGGGTCAGCAGCGGCACGCGCGCATTTTTGTACTGCTCCATTGAAAAAAGCACCTCGCCGTGCAATGTCAGTGCACTAGAAGTTGTTTTTCTTTTGCCAACCGAGACTGTGATGATGACAAGCTACGAAAGCCATGAACGGTCAGGAAACTTTTTTATCGCACTAAAATGATCTGCAATGCTTTTAGGCTGCTCGGGGGTATACTGTCAGTTTGGCTAGCAGACCAGTCGGTATGCAAAACAGTTTTCCTTGTATGATACGGTACTGTAGATAAAAAGTCATTATTTTAATGATCTCAGGGGATTGGGATGGCTGTAGCAGTGTGCTAAGAGTTCATTTCGGGATCGCTGTTTTGGCCGTCATCGTCAGTCGATCGGCATGAAGCGCACCACTTATTGAGCGCGTTGAGATATTTTTTTTTCTGGCTTTCAGTGCGCTATAAGATGCATTTCTTAGTCAAAGGCAGATGCTTATTCGAAAACTGATCTTGGTCAAGCTGCACGGCACGGCGGCACATAAACAATACAGTCAGACCTAGACAGCGCCGAATAATTGAAACCCTGCGCTTGCTTAACGCACTTCTTCCTTTGGGTGCCGTCCTGGCGCACAGTTTGACCAAGATAAACGCAAATGGACTCGTCCAGCACTTCGTGTGAACTTGCCCTTGAGTGAAGCTTTTGCGTTTTTGTCATATATATGGGTGCAATGGCCGGCGCTAATCTCGTATGGCAGGTAGATGTCGCCCGCTCGTTCCCATATCTTTGCTAGGCGCGCATGTGCCTAGCAAATATTTATTTCTCAATATTTATCTCTCGCAATTTATTTCTCAATATTATATTGGCAGCAAATTCATGCGTAAGCTTCTTAATGTGGAATACACACGTATTTGTGATAAAATTGTTTTCGCACACTACGGCATCAACGTTCTGTACTCAAAGGCTACCTGTCGCTGTGGCTCTCTTCACAGTCGCGGCCCATCTCGTTTTTCTGTCTTCATTACATGGGAATTGATACCTGTGGTTGCCTTGCACGCTCGATTTGGAGCACCCAACAGCTGAACAATCGACCATGGTTTATCAGGACAAAGATAAACGGGCGACCGCGCGCGCGAATCCCGAACAATCTGAGGCTTGCGGCGAAGCGGTTTGCCGTCGTCTACTCTTTTCGAACCGGAAGCCGGTAGCAGACGGTGCATCCCACAATTCCTCGCTCTTTTACTGGTCACCTATTGGTGCCAGGCTTTCGGACACTCGTGGCAGCTTGAAAGTCACTGCACTGGCTGTTTGTAGTTGTGTGTATATGACTGCAACAGTAACTGTATTTCCACTCGATGTACAAAGCACGCATGCACCGCTTCAGAGTCTCCAAAAGACAGCCTTGTCAGTAAGTGAAAGGTGTTATACAGGCAGTTGGGGGTGTTTCAGCTTTGGGTGTTTTCCCGCGGCGGTGGTCCTGTGGCTAGGGTATTCAGCTGCTGACCTGCAGGTTGCGGGATCGAATCCCAACTGCGGGGGCTAAATTTTCGATGGAGGCAAAAATGCTGTGGGCCAGTGTGCTCAGATTTGGGAGCATGTTAAAGAACCTCAGGTGGTTGAAATTTTTGTAGTCCTTCACTATGGCGTCTCTCATAATCATGTGGTGGTTTTGAAACGTCAAACACCACGTATCATCAGCTTTGGGTGTTGTTGTGCTTAAACATTAGTGCTGAGGGCATCTTGTATTAAATCTCATTCACACTGGAGTCTTGCAGCAAATGTGTGACCACTCTTAAATAGTCACAAATGGTCACTTTGATCAGAGAGTGACCATTTCGGGTCACTCACTGGCTGCTCAATTTTTCACTCGTACGACTGCCAGTTGTGAAACTTTTGAACCAGTTGGATGGGCCGGAAAATGATGTTGCTGGTTTCGCAAGGTGCTGGTGGTGGGATCAGACGTGAACAACACCGACTCTGAGACTTTTTTGGGCGACGAGCAAGTCACTTTGGTTGCTGTGAACATAGGTCACTGGGAGTTGATTGCTGGCGATGATTCGTGATCGATGAATTTGTGAATAAGACTTAAGCCTACGACACTGCGCGGCTACTAATGAGAAATGTTTTCCCTCGTAACTCTCGTAGGTGACACCCTGGTACCGTAACTTGGACAAGCCCCAGTTCTTCTATGTGGCAGAGATCTGCCACGACCTGAATCCGCTCAGCGACTTTCCAGATGCGGGCTTCGATACGTTTGACGCATACTACAGGCAAGGTTTTACTCTCACAGTCTTTGCAATGGCGGGGCTGTTCACGAAGATTGAAAATTTCAAGTTCGAGGCAACAGTGTTGAAGACAGCAGTTGTATCTCCTACAGTTTGTGGACTTGGTTGGTTGTGGACTGATACTTAAACTAATTACCAGCAGCCACTGTGAGGTTGAGCCTTCAATTGCTGACTGTCAGCACCACTCTTCAAAAGATAGCTTTAATGTGTCATCTGGAAACTCAGAACAGCACCTGTGGTAATTCGATTGGGTGTGCACTGATGGAATATCTTGAATAATGTTTTTGTCTGAAACCGGAAATGCCAATGCATTAATATCTTAATGCTGATGCATTAAGATTGTCATTAAACGGATTGCCTGATAAAGTTAGTGCACCAACACGTTCAAAGTATAGCCACAGCAAAAGAATGAGGCTCGTGCCTCTGAACATCATTGCTCCTCATGCTATTTCACTACTTGATTTTGAGTATATAGCGAAACACTAATGTAAAAATTGTCTCGCTGCTACAATGGGCCAATGGATGGATGGATGCTTATAGTGGGTATTGGATACTATGGCGCTATTTCAGTGTTGGATGCAGCTTCATGATAGAGTTGAATGCCTTTATGACTTAGTGTAGTGGTTCTCAAATGGAAGTCCGTGGACCATGAGGGGTGCGCGAAGCCATTTCTATGATCCGTGAAACACTCACCCGCTTTTTTTGCATTTGTAATATTCTTTTTACATATGAAACTTTGTTAAAGCGTGACTGTGCCACATATTGATGAACTATCTAAATTGAAGTGGTGCAGCACATTTGTTTGGTGTTTTTGGTAGCAATAAAAGGCGCCTGTTTCACGCTCCAGTTGTGTACCTAGGTACCCCGCCTCCCCCCCTTTCTGTCCCCTTCACTGCAAGGGGTCCCCCATCCCTTCCACCAGTCAACAAGGGGTTCCCGACACATCCATGGCTGAGAACCACTGACTTTGTGCTTGGGAACTAGAAAACTCTTTGCTGTGAAGGTCACCTAAAGTACTTCCAAACTTAATAGGCCTTGTGCTCCGATGAGCTTGTGGGATTGTTCCATATATGCCTTGTGCCCCTTTGCACAGGGAAAAGTACCAGATTCGGGTCGTAGACGGTCATCAACCCCTGCTGGACGTGGACCACACGTCGGCGCGTCTCAACTTGCTGACGCCACGATACGTGAACCGCAAGGGGGTGACGCTGCCCACCTCATCGGAGCAGACCAAGCGGGCCAAGCGCGAGAGCCTGCAACAAAAGCAGATCCTCGTGCCCGAATTGTGCGCCATCCATCCGTTCCCTGCGTCCCTTTGGCGCAAAGCCGTTTGCCTACCGTGCATCCTCTACAGGTGGGTTGTCCAATGCCCCGTCCCACGTCTCGAACACCCGGGTCCGAACTGGGCTTTTTTATTGGAGGTTGTACTAGTATCGCAAATGACAAGTTGCGCTCAACCCTGCCTGTCGCGGGCTCACCAAGAACGAGTTCCTGTCAGCCTTTGGCTTTGGCTTCAGTTTTCAACTCTAGTGGGCAATAGATGGCAGCCTAAAGAAAAAAAAAAAAAAAGAGCACAAAGTCTTGCTTCTTTGGAGATTTTTCAGCATTGAAATGGTGATTGAAAAGTGTTGACGTTTCAGAAATTCAGGTGGCAGAGAAGGAGCCATTTTTTTTAGACGTTTATGTATGTAGTTGCACTGCTGAAGACTGTAAACCGGACTCTGATAACGTGGCAAGTGTTTCTGAAAGCCTCGGAGACTGAGTCTGGCTTTGCGAGTTCAAGACATGTTCAGGCGATGACAAGAGTTATAGTATGGCGATGACGACTCGGAAATATTGGGCTGTGTATGTACCAGTACCAAAGCAACATCTATTTGCATCGATTTCTAACAGTTAAAATAAATGCAGGCCATTTCACTACATTTTATCGCATTAATATTGCTAACTTGACAAAGAGCCCTGGCTAGGAGCAGCTTTTTTTGTGTGATTAGGGCCAATGACTAATCGGAAAACATATCCCTTGAAACAGAATGTGATCAAAATTGTGACAACTGCGAAACAAAATCTGGACATTTTCCACGATCTTTAGGAAATAGTATGGATGTTGACTAAGGTTAGAACATGCCCGAGAGAGCCTTTGTTTGGCACAGGCTGCTAAGTTAGAGTCACTACACTTGCAACACTATGATTGATAGCAGTGTACAAAAAACACCAAGTCTTGCTTTTTTGGAGAGCGTTGAGCCTGAAAAGGATGATTTAGAAATGGTGGCATGCATGAGAAATGCCGGTGGCAGTGAAAGAGCCATATCTCGAAGTTGAACCACGAGCAAAGGTCAAAGAAGAAAAGCTCATTGTCGGGCCACACTGTAGGATGAACTCCCTGCTTCTGGCCGAGCAGCTGCGGCTGACCGTGGCACGGGAGGTGCGCGTCGGACGCCTGGAGCTTCCGGAGGGCTTCAAGTGGCCAACCCTGGACTTTGGCTGGACCCTGGCGGAAGTTCTACAAAAGGCTCAGGAGGCAGCCAAGGCAGAGGAAGAGCGTGTCGCCGAGCTGATGGAGCGCACGGGTATCCAGCCCGTCTGCCTCTCGCCTCCGCCACCGGTGATCAACGCGTGGCGCCAGCCCCAGCCGTACCAACCACCTGTGTTCCAGCAGGTGAGCAAGGAGGCAGTTTCTTTGCCCCTTAACCTTCCCCAACTGTCCGAGGCGTACTTGCAGTGGTGGTCTACTGTTTAAGGTCTTTTACCGCTCACCCTCAAGTAGAAGAATAAGAATGGAATGGAGCACATTTGGCAAGCACTCTCAAATCATGACAGGTAGATTGCCACTATCCCTCAAGAGGAAAGTATATAACAGCTGCATCTTGCCGGTACTTAGCTATGGAGCAGAAACCTTGAGACTTACAAAGAGGGTTCAGCTTAAATTGAGGATGACGCAGCGAGCAATGGAAAGGAAAATGGTAGGTGTAACCTTGAGAGACAAGAAGAGAGCAGAGTGGATTAGGGAACAAACTGGGGTCAAGGATATCATAGTTGAAATCAAAAAGAGGAAATGGACATGGGCCGGGCATGTAGCACGTAGACAGGATAACCGCTGGTCATTAAAGGTAACTAACTCGATTCTCGTAGAAGGCAAGCGGGTTAGGGGGAGACAGAAGGTTAGGTGGACAGATGAGATTAGGAAGTTTGCCAGTATAAATTGGCAGCAGCAAGTAAAGGACCGAGTGGACTGGCGAAACATGGGAGAGTCCTTTGTCCTGCAGGGGACGTAGTCAGGCTGGTGATGATGATGATGACTGCTCACCCGAGAATCGTGCGATGGCCACATTTAACGGGAGGCAAAATGCTAGAGACCCATGTGCTTAGATTTAAGGTCAACCTCCTGGGGGTTGAAAGTTCCGAAGCTCTTCACTACAGTTGGCCTCATTAACTTCTAGGCTTTTAGGACGTCAAGTCCCAACAATTAATATATCATGTTTGAGAGGCAGTGCAGCCAGCCAATAAGCATTGTATGTGTGGTATTTTGTTCAGGTAGGATGACCAGTGGCCAGTTCAGGATGGCAGCTTGTCTTGGAGGGGGGGGGGGGGAGTAATTACAACAAGTGGTTGTTGTTTTAGGGGCGAAGCTCCTTAGGGCGTGGGCTGTGCGTCCCCTGTAGCCTGTATGTAGCCACCTCTAGTTTAGTTCTTGCAGTGTTCACTAGATGGCGGAACCGTCCCCTGTATGTAGCCACCTCTAGTTTAGTTCTTGCAGTGTTCACTAGATGGCGGTACCGTCTCCTGTATGTAGCCACCTCTCGTTTAGTTCTTGTAGTGTTTACTAGATAGTGGTACTTGTAGCTGATGATGAAAAGATGCAAGATGTTATAAACTAGAAAGCGCTACTTGTAGTTGATGAAAGACGCGAGATCTTATAAAATAGGAATGATGTCACATATGGCACGTGTCATTGGTTGAAGGCAATCGTTCGATTTAGTGCGGCGACGTACGCTAGGGGGAGCGATGTAATAAAATCGAGTGGGCAAAATGTACAGAGGATTCATGGTTTACCAGGTTTACCTCTGGAGCTTCGCCCACTCATCATCATTCACTTCGTGGATATGGCGGAATTTTTTTTAAGGCAGGGCAGGTGGGGGGCTTAGGGAGGGGGTTTGTTTCATGACGCCACCTTGCATAAGATTGACTGTTCAACAGACCACGTTCAACTTTCCCTTGTACTACCCCAAAATGTCAAACAAGAAGTCAGAATGAGAGACTGGTGATACTGCTGCCTTCAAATTTTTTATGCCAGCCGGGATTCTCGGCGCATAATTTGTCTATGCGTGGTTTGCTTAAAAACTTTAAGCTTGTCATTAGCTTTCTTTATGCGTTCACTGCGGAGTCAAACTTTTCACGAGTTTGATGCCTTGGTTTTGTTGCTTTTTCAATACATTCTATAACAAACTCGCTTCTGTCTAAGTATGCGTCTTGATTTGTGTCATGTTTATATTTCAGGACCAGGAGCTCGTCATCGACACTTTCGATCCCAGCAAAGTTCACATTCCCGACGACGACCAGTTGGCTGACGCCGAGGTCAGCGCACTGAACCTTGGCGGACCCAAAGGTCCAAACTTCGACTGGAAACCGCTGCCGAAACTCCCGGGGGAGCCCACACCTGTTCCGCGGATCCGCTACGGATCTCCGAGTAACTTTGAAGCCGAGGGCTGGGACTCTGAGTGGGACACAGACATGGAAGACAGCTCATATGTCTCCTTGGAAGTGCCAGGGTTGGGCTATATCTCGGCGCCAGGCAGCGTCAATATGCAGGGCTTGTCATTAGACCTGGCCTCGTGCCGTGACGACGACATCTGGGACAGCTTTGACGAAGACGAAGATGAGCCTGAACTCGACTTCCACTCGCGGCCCGAGTGGAACGAGTCTATGTCCGAGGCCGGCGGAAACGAAGATGAAACGGGGCAGTTGCTCAAGATCAGCGACAAGCCAGAGGACAAGGAAGATGAGAAAAGGCCTGAAGAACAGCTCGACTGGCTGTCTCACTGCAGCAAGGACCAGCGCAGCAAGTCCGCCGACACCGTCGTGGATGAGGTGGAGGATGAACAGGAGGTTGATCCATTTGTCGAAGAGAAGGTCGCAGCACTCAGATTGGAGTGTATTAAGAAACTAGAAGTCTGGAGGTGCAGCACAGAAGAAGCTAGTCTCGCGACTCAGAAAGGCATTTACCAGTCTTTCCGTAAGGTCTCAGAGGCCCTGAAGCTCATTGCAGAGTACGAAGACGACCGGCCCTTGAAAAAAGATGAACCTCTGACACTGGCGGTTCGCGGCAGCGGAGCGGCTGCTGGCGGAGCAGGAGCTTTGCTGACGCCGGAAGGCAGTGTGCTGCCGTTTGGCGAGCTTCTACCTCACAGGGACTCTGTTGAACGCGGTAGCGGAGATGCATCACAGGTTCGCTTTGATGAGCGGCCAGACCTCGACAGTCACTGCGGGCCGAGCCCCAGCATCCTGCTTCAGGCACTGACAATGTCCAATGCCAATGATGGCATCAACCTGGAACGTCTTGAAACGGTGGGCGACTCTTTTCTCAAGTACGCCGTGACGGCACACCTTTATTGCACATACCCGAGCGTGCACGAGGGAAAGCTGTCCCACCTGCGGAGCCGGCAAATCAGCAACCTCAACCTCTACCGACTCGGTCGAGCTCGCCGCCTCGGCGGCCTCATGGTCGCAACTAAGTTTGAGCCCAGCGACAACTGGCTTCCTCCCGGCTACACCGTGCCTCCAGGACTGGAACGGGCTCTTATAGAGTCTGGCCTTCCGGCAGGTCACTGGAACATTGCGGCTCTCGCCGGGCTCACCCAGATGGATGAGGCCCAGATCCGGCAGACCCTTGCCGAACGGTCCAACAAGGTCCGCAACCTTGACGAGGTTCTTGCGGATGAACAGGCCTTGGATAATGCACCCTACGTGCCATACAATCTTCTGACGCAGCACAGCATTCCCGACAAGAGTATTGCGGACTGCGTTGAAGCGCTTATCGGTGCTTACCTTGTGTCGTGCGGTCCTCACGCGACTCTCCTCTTCATGTCCTGGTTGGGGCTAGATGTGCTTCCACAGAACTGCACCGCGGAGACCCTCGCGAACTTCGGCGTCATGCTGTACGGTACGCTGGAGCCACCCCTCGTCGTGCCCGACGCGGGAACGCAGTTAGACGAGCTCCTCTCTGGTTACGACGCGTTTGAGGCACGCATCAATTACCGATTTCGGGACCGGGCCTACCTGCTGCAGGCCTTCACTCACGCGTCGTATCACTACAATCGGCTCACAGACTGTTATCAGCGGCTTGAATTCTTGGGTGATGCAGTGTTGGACTACTTGATAACCCGCCACCTCTATGATGACCCCCAGCGACACTCGCCCGGCACGTTGACCGATTTGAGGTCGGCGCTGGTGAACAACACCTTCTTTGCGTCGCTGGCGGTGAAATACGACTTTCATCGGTATTTTAAGAATGTGTCACCGGGCCTATTTGCAGTCATCCAGAGGTTTGTTGAGATGAAGAGACAGAACAATGGTCTTGGATACCATGAGGTAAGCCCTTTGACAACAAAGGTTTTTAGCTACAGAAAAAGCTTTCTGTTAGAAGTTTTGTATCTGACTTTGTTGTTATCATTGCGGGATTCTTTTCTTGCGCAAGTGGTTGGGTATAAGCACTTTCCTTCTTTTAGCCTCTGCAGCTGTGCTGCCATCCACTCTACACTACAACACAATGTATGGGGCCATAAACTTAATATAATTTTTTTTTTGTGATTTGTCTTTGTCTTAGTTGATAAGATAAGTACATGAAATGCAGAATGCACCAACTGCATGACTTTAAACATGTTGTCATGGTTATCCTAGTATTATTCGCCTATTGTTATTAAACATTTGTCGAACTTACATGAAACTTATGGCATGTAATCTCAATCAGTCAGTCAACCTTTATATTTCTTTATCTCTCATTACAATAGTGGGTACATTTGAAATACAATATTGTACTTGTACAGAGGTGTCAAAACTTCCCAGGCCAAGCTGCCATAGGAGTGCATAAGATAACGGCCTTGGAATTTTTGACCAGCCCTGCACATGGCGGATTAAGAAATACAACTAATAAATGTATGATGCGAAAATGAATGTGATGCCCACCAATTAGGCAAGTACGAAAGTTAGGAATGTTGAGCTGCGATTATTACATCATCTGTCCCAAAAAACAAGCCTCAAAATTTTGCTGGGTTGGGCTTTATGGTGACCTAATTGGGCAGTGTGCAGAATACCGTATTTACTCGCGTAATGAACGCACTCGCATCATGAACGCACTGCCAACTTCAGGCACCAAAATTTGGACCCCTCCCCCCTCACGTAATAAATGCACCCCTACATTCATCCGCTGCAGGCCCGCTAGCCGACACCTGGCACGTCCTCACCCGTTGGATATTTTCCGTTTTTAAATGCGAAGCATTTTTTAGCGAACTTTGGCGACATTGAGTGTATCTATCTGTCTGTCTGTCTATCTATCTATCTGTCTATCTATCTATCTATCTGTCTGTCTATGTATCCACCTACAACTTTTAGCTCTCCAGGCCGTTTTGATAATGGTATCAATACCAAACTTGGTATGACATAACATGACTGTTTGAAGAACATGTTTGACTAGTCATAACATGAAAATCTTGATACGTTTGTCATGAATGTCATGATTTACATTTCATGGTCCTGCAGCTCTTGCGGTGGTTTCGTTCACATGGCATGTTACAAAACTGGTATGGTATGACATGATTGCATGGCAAACACACGCGACACACCCTAACATGAAAATCATGACTTGCGTGTCATGTAACAACATGACTACATGCCACGCTCATGAAGCGCTCGCGGCCATTTTTCTAGCTTCACATGTACCGAATTCAGTATTACATGATGCGATCAGATGACATAGGTAAATGACACATCCAAACGTGATAATCACGACATGCGTGTTATGCCACAACATGACTACATGCCACACTCAAGATGCGCTCGCGTCCATTTCGCTAACTTCACATATGCCTAATTTGGTCTTACATGATGTCAATGGATGACGAAAATAGGTGATTGGTGCAAACATGATAATCATGAAAGGTGTGTAATGTGAGAACATGCCTACATGCCACAGTCAAGGCTCCAATACATTTCAACGTGGCGCGGTGTGCGGGCTCGCCGGCGTTCATTTCGTCACGGCACGCCGGCGTTGCCAAGCTAGGCGCCGGTCCTGCCATGTATACTCGCAGGCGCGCGCCACGCTGCGTTGCTTTGACGCATGTGCGTTTCAGTGCGCCCGGCGTCCCTCCGTCACAAAAAGGGGGAGACGCAGTGGTGTCTGGGTAACACATCGTCGTGTAATGCAGCATGTTGCATTTCGCGCCGGTTGCTGTCGGGCCGCGCCTCACGCCTGGCGTCAGACTATAGAGTGCTCGCGTTTTGCTAACGTTGCGTCGCTGTGCCCAGCGTGCGCGTGCATTAGTGCTACATAGGAGTATATTGGGCGCTTCATGATGCGCTCGCGACCGTTTTGCTTGCTCCACATATACAAAATTTGGTGTTACGTGACGTCAATCAATGGCGAAAGTATATGACTGGTGCAAACGTGATAATCCTGACATGCGTCTCATATAAGAACATGACAACATACCATGCTCATTGCGTGCTCGCGGCCGTTTCACTAGCTCTACATATACTAAATTTGGTATCACGTCACGTGAATAGATGACGAAGGTAAACGGCACATCCAAACATGATAATCATGACATGGAAGTCATGTAGGGCATTATATACCTCCACCTTGTATTGTTGTGCTGATTTTAAAGTGACATATCAACTTTTCTCATTTGTGCTTCGCATATCATCGATTCCCACTGTTTGTGGGATCTGCAAATTTTTTTATTACTCTGCAAACCCCCCTCAACCACCTCGCTCGCTTCTCCTTTTCCCCTTCGACCGTTGCCACGTGCCCTATTGCTTTTCTTTTTATCTGTAATAAACGCATCCCCTATTCTGGCTAACCGACACCTGGCGCCTCCTCACATGTTGGCTCTCTTCTGTTTTTTTATTACTTTGCCGACCCCCCTAAACCACCTTGGCTTGCTCCCTCCCCCCCCCCCCCCCCCATTCGCCCATTGACTCGTGCGCGTGCCTGTTACTTTTCTTTCCATCTGTGCCTGCCGCACGTCCCCATCCCCTCCCATCCTATCTGTGCACCAAAGGGGGGGTTCAGGAGGGATGGGAGTGTAGAGACATTGCAGCAGATAAGCACACAGCAGAGCAAAGGTCACCAAACTGCCTGCGCCAGCCAACCAACCAAAGTCAGTCGCTTCCTGTGACCCCCCCCCCTTCTTTTTTAGCATACTTTATTTTTTCTTCACTCTTAACTGTCCCTTCATTCCCTGTTCCCCTTAGAAGTGTGGCAGCTTGGGCTAGTTGGTGTGACATGACGATAGTTATAGCGCGGAAGACAGAATGACGACACAGAGACAAGAAGGACACGAAGGATATGAGCGCTCGTGTCCTTCTTGTCTCTTTGTGGTCGTTCTGTTCTCGCGCTATAACTGTCCTTCCTGTTCCCCGGTGAGTGCAGTTTGTGGGCGCCCCTCGAGATCACAAGCAGATACCACTGTTGCAGTTTAAGGATTGTGAGAAGAGAGTTTATTGCCTGTGCTGGGGGCCGGGGGGGGGGGGGGGGCAGCTTGCAGAAGATAGCGCCATAGACCACCGAAGATGAGTTAAGTGCAACAAGGAAGCTGTTTCCAAACGATGTACACGTATGTAAATTGTGAAAGGCTGAGCGACTTAACCTTTTTTCTTTGCATTACCGCATTTTTTTCTTCTCCTATAAAGGTTCTCATAACATTTAACCCCGCATAATAAACGCACCCCACAACTTTGCTCCGATTTTTAGAGAAAAAAAGTGCGTTCTTTATGCGAGTAAATGCGGTACATGGCCCGATTTGGGACTACGGATGTTGTGGGATGTCACTAAGAGTGTTGCGTGGCGCCACCTGCTGAACTTCATTTGGACAGTAGTTCTACAGTACGAAGTGGCACGCATGTTCAATGCACATGTGTCACACATTCTCTATTTCATTATTTTGTTCTTCTTTTGCCCCTCCCCGATGTAGTGTAGCAAATCTGGGGTGCCACCGGGTGAGAGTTGTACTGACAGCTTTTTCACAAAGGCCATGCAAATCTCTGCCATGCAAATCTCCTGCGTACAGAGACTGTTCTGGACTAGTGTAAAGCTCAGCAAATGCTGATAAAGTACTTCATTTCGATATTAAAGTCAATTTTCCAGTGGCAAACCTACCGACATCGACACTCACGTGACATCAGGCTACAGTACCAATCTGGTGAATTCATGCAGCAGTGCGGCTAGTTGTGAGGACAGAAAATGCCAAAACTTCCAAAATGGCCTTTGTGTTTCACTAAAGCATTGAAAATGACCACTTGTGCATCACCAATGGCGTCCCGGCGGGGAGCGGCGCTGTAAAAATCACGAATACTTTGCTGAAGCACTTGACAAGAAGCTCAGACCACGTTATGACATCATGGTACCATAAGAACTAAACTAACTATTAAAAACACACTGTCATTACTTTTTTAGCGTGCACTCGCTCTTAGTAAAAAACTTTCTAGACACCAGGGCTTGGCCTTTTATGCAGTGCGAAGAAACAATCAATGATAATTTTCTTGTCAGTGCTCTATTAACCTCCCTGCTTGTCTCTCTCTTTTGAAGAAAGAGTGGTCTTGAACGGCCACTTACTCTTGCCAACAGTCTCTGTGTATGTTCCTTTCGCCCATGTTGGTGCCCTGCTATTAGGCTTAGCCTCCACTTGCCGCTCTACTTCTTTCCAAAAGTTTGCACGTCCTACAGGCCAACCTCTCTCCGTGCAGGAGTACTACTTGGAGGAAGAGGAGTGCGAGGAGGCCGAGGAGGTGGAAGTGCCCAAGGCCCTCGGCGACATCTTTGAATCGGTGGCTGGCGCCATCTTCCTTGACTCCAACATGTCCCTGGACACAGTTTGGCAGGTGTACTATGCCATGATGAAGCCGGAGATAGGTATGTCTACTTCTGGTATCCGCAAACTCGTCTGCTGCAGTCAGTTGCCGAGAGCTACGCTAGTCTGTTCAAGCTGGCAACTCTCAACTAAGATGGTGTGCTGCCAAACTCAAGGGTATGGGTTTGATTCCCCGCCCTGATGGCAGCATTGCAAATTGGCTGAAGTCCAAGAACGTCCGTGTACTTGAACTTAGGTGCACATTGCGGAGAGGTGAGAGTTGAAAAGTGCAAGTTTTTTTTTTTTTTTCAAATTACATATTGTTTGTTTCTATTTGCTTTGACAAGTTTCGGTTCTCTACTTTCACAAAAAAAAATAACTAGATTGTAAATAAACTCAAAGTAGGTTTGTAATTAATCTCAAAGTAGATTGTAATTAAACTTGAAGAAGGTAGCTATCAAAAGCTGGAACGAGCTCATTGTCTAGAGTCCTCTGGAAATTGTCACATGGCAGCTTGCCATTGCATTTCACATGAAGCTTCATGCTCAAATTAACCCTGATTGCCCAGCTCTCATGATGGAAGAAATCATTTTGGAAAACTTATCTTTGCCGCATAGATGAGCTTTGACTTGCACCTCTAAAATGCGTTTTTTCCTCGATCCATTTTCGGGCGATTTCTTGAGATTAGACATATTTGTGGTACTTCTGATAGCCAGATCAGGATGAAATTCAGCCCAGATATTTCTTAACATGTGAAGGGTGCAAGTACGTATCTCCTTCAAAACTTGATATTGCCTGTATAATTACTACAAGGCTAAAGCAAGCAATCGGTATGGGCATATATTGTATTTGACATATTTGGCGAGAGTCTACTGTATTTGACATTTGTATTTAAGCATGCTTCACCTCGCTTCCTTTCATGCGTATCCTACTAAACACGCAGTTGTTTCTGCATAAAAGCACAACGAAAATGCTTTTTTTTTTTCCGCTTCTCCTTCCAGAGTACTTCAGCACGCATGTGCCAAAGTCACCAATCAGGGAACTTTTAGAGCTGGAACCTCAGACTGCCAAATTTGAGTGAGTACCACTAGTTCACGCTAGTTGGTCGGCAAGTAGGGCACTGGCTCGTGCTTCGTTTGTTTAGTCGAGGAGGCTGAACTTTGTGTCGTTGCGCCGAACCAAGAAAGATCTTGTGAAGGCATTATTATCAATCTTCAATTTAGAGCTTATTTTTCCGTTCATATAAATGTGAAATGCAGAAACAGTCCTTTTAGATCGTTGTGCTGTTTTTTACGTACAATATTTAGGTATACAGTAAAATCTCGTCAAGCGAAAATCCGTTTAAAGGAATCGCTGCCAAAACTTCAACTTCTCGTTTGTTTAGGTTTGTGCTGGGTTTGTGCGAAATAACTCTCTTCAATTCAAGTCAAAATATTTTTTGATCTTTCAAAATGTAAACCAACTTCCATTAAAGGTTTCAGGTGAGACCTATCGATAACTGTCTGTACATGCATCAAATTTTCCACAACATTATTCCAAGGCACTTGATACTCAATTGTAGCAAGAATCATGCCATAATGCTTCTATTTGCTTTTTTTGTAGTAATTAATGATAAAGACATTGTAGTTATATCTATTTATTCTGGTTAGTCGACACAACTAGCACAAACGTCTTGTGTAAAAATTGCCTCAGAGGTTTAAATAAAGCATTCTTGAGGTTTTGGTTAATGATAGTCTACCCTGCAGTTCTTTCCCAGCATTTAAAGGAACGGTATTCCTTTCCAGGCGCGCCGAGATGACCCTGAACGGCAAGGTCCGGATTCGAGTGGAGGTCTTTGGCAAGGGCCGTTTCGTCGGCGTTGGTCGCAACAAGCGCATCGCCAAGTGCACGGCCGCCAAGAGGGCGCTGCGAGCGCTCAAGCGCATGCGGCAAGAAAGCAGCAGTGCCGCAAACGTACACGCCCCATTCTAGGTCCTCGTCTGCTGGCTCGCTTCTAAATGCAACTCGCCTGCCGGCACCTTGCTTCGTTTTTCAGTTCCATGTCCCGCCTACATGCAACGTGACTGTCTTTTCAATTTCACCTTGGATCAGAGCGTGCATAGTTTTGCCTTTCACGAGCCCTTTTTTTGCTAATGCTCTATTCTTTGTCGAGCCGAATTTTTGGTGCTGAAAAGAAAAGGCAGAGCATGTTTGTCTGCTTGCGTATTTAGAAGACACCTTGTGTACATGAAGCGTCGTTCTTCAGAGTGGCTATCGTTCGTACAACACCGCGTAATGCGGATGCGACGCTGCAGATACTGCCTGTAGGCGAGGTTTGTGTTTGGAACACTAGGAAGCATTTATACACTTCGCGTTACGTATTGGTGATAGTTACACTCACACCTCAATATAACGAATTCAAATATAACGAATTATTGGTTGTAATGAAGTAAGCAACCACTAGCTTTGCTATAAATACAGTGCTACAAATAATCGTTTATAACGAATTTTCGAATATAACGAAGTATTTTCGTGGCATATGCGGCTTTGTTATGACGTTTGAGTGTATTTGTCAAGAAAGTGCTGCCAAAACTGAGTGCGCAAAAGCCAAAGTCTCGGCCGGGTCGCACGAATGCATATGCAAGTCGCCTGCCGAGAATGAAGATTTCCCCCCCCCCCCACCCCCCCAAAAAAAAAAATCCGATCATGCCTTAGCTATCAGGTGCTGACTAAATGAACTGAAGCGACACTTTTTCTTATGATTCCTTAGAACGAAAACTTTAGGATGTAAAAAAAAAAAAAATGAAAACCCATGATGTTTTTAGCTAGCTTGGGACTGTGTGTTGCCTGCGAGTTTTATCGTGCTTTTTCCTTAACATTTCACATTGTCTCTCTTTCTTAGCACGGTTTACCATTGCCAAATGTACACTCAATTACAAATGCACACTTATGCAGCAAGAAAAAAAATTATGTGATGCTTGAATGTATTTGTTGCTGTGAGTGCTGTCACCCCATCGTGGCCTGGATCTGTGTTTTCGCTACGACTGATAAGTAGCTCCTCCCTGTGGCAATGTTACTCCTTGCACATACACTGTTATGGTGAACAAAAATGAAGAGATGCAAATTTCTAGCTTGTGTTTGAAAATCGAATCTGGTCCACTGTGTACCTCTTGTCTGGGCTGTTTGCACAGCATCGTTTAGTGGTTGTGCACTCACGTCAGTTGCAATGAAATCTGCTAGTCATTTGTGTGGAAGCACAGTAATTAGCCAGAAAAATCCTTTATCTTGCACAGCAATGTTTGTAATGCATTCTGTTGTGTTCATAATTTCGCATTGAAGCAGCCAAGAGATCTGCTACGGAGCTCTTCGGTTCAGCGATGCGTAGCAGGACTGAATATCGAACCCCAAAAATTGATGTCTGCTCCAAATCATCCAGTGGAAGACAACCTTTTCACTAGCGGGAAAAAAAAAAAACTAGAAAAGAAAGGAACAGAAAAGCTTGATTCATGTCAGCCAAAGGAACGCATTTTTAGTCTCCTTTGTCTAGTCTTTCCGCAAGTTATTGTCAATTTTCTTTTAGTGTTGCAAGAAAAGTTGCTGCTATTGTTGTATTTTATCTGTATTGTGCTGACACAAAGACCTTATTGCAATGTCTGTATAGCTTAGATTGTCAGCTGGTGCCATCCATGACTGTCTAACTTGTCCTTGGTAGCAGGTTTCCAGTAACTGTGCCTGTTTTTCCTGCTTAATCTTTAAAAACATTTTTTTTTGTATGTCTGCATAAACATGGTGTGCAGATATTTCTATTTTTCACTCTTTTAACTTCGGTCAAGCTTTAGATGCAAAGCAGCTCTTTGACTAGCCTGTGTATCGCTGTCCCTCCGTCCGCACCGCTCCCCTTGTGGCAGGTGTTGGAGCTGTGCCAAGGAGCTCATGCCCTCCTAGCAGTGCGCGGTAACTTTTCTCTTTCCTCGCCTGCCACGCACTCACGCATGTCAGCTCTCTCGCTTCACCCTCTCCCAGCTCGCAGCGCTCCAGCCCCTTTTCACGTGGGCATCATCATACCCGGGCCCACCTCTCTCCATCTGTCGGCGAGAAGAGCGGCGAGCCGGCAAGTGCGCGCGCTACAACATGCCTTGAGAATCTTGCGGCGCTGACAATTTGGACAATGCGCCGCTGCTTGCCGCGCGATCGCGCCGACGGGCGGGACGCCGTTGCGGCATGCTTCCGGCTAGTGTGCGGGTGCCTCTTCCTTGACTGTCGTCGTGTTGCCAAGGTTAGCGAAGCCGATCGTATTCCGCGAATGCGACATCAACACCGACGAGGCGCGAGCCAGGGAAAGCCAAACCAAGTGTCGGCAGTGGAAGGCCAGCGACACCGACTAGGTGCGAGTCAAGAACATCTACTCGCGATCGCTAATACAGACGGCGCGTGGGTAACACCAACGAGAACGCGGGCCAAGGGAGCCGAGCGCAAGTGTCTTCAACGCGTCCCACCTCCCGTGTTTGTGTGTCAAACAAACGTTTACTCGAGTAAAGGCTACAGCGAGTTCGCTTCAAATTGTTCTTTCAACACCAACGTCGACGCCTGTTCAACGGGTCAGCACTGTTCGCACCAACTGCTGCTTTCGCATCCCATCAGGGTTCCCTTCGAGGAGGTGGTCATAGTTTTTTCTTTATTTCATTTATAAGAAACTGGCTACCTAGGCGTAGCTGAATTAAATGTTTATTTGGTCCTTGAGAATATCAAAGAGTAGCCCTATGGTATTTGCTTTCTTGCAAAAAAAAAAAAGAAGTTAGGAAGTTTCGAGTTTTCATTTCAGTGGCTGAATATAAACTTTTTTTTACCCCTTCCAGAAATTCTCAAAATTGATTAATTTGTGGGGTTTAACGTCCCAACCACCATTTGATTATGACAGACGCCGTAGTGGAGGGCTCCGGAAATTTGACCACCTGGGATTCTTTAACGTGCACCACAATCTGAGTACACGGGCCTACAACATTTCCGCCTCCATCGGAAACGCAGCCGCCGCAGCGGGAATCGAACCCGCGACCCTGCGGTTCAGCAGCCGAGTAACCTTAGCCACCTAGACCACCGCGGCGTGGCGAAATTCTCAACATAATACTTGGAATCTGTTGCACTCGCTATAACACTGTTTTCAAGCCAAAGTGATAAAAATTGAGTGTACCAATGCTGAAAAAGCTTTTCGGAAAATTGTAAGGTTATGAAAAAAAAAAAACTGGCAAAGAATAGAAACTAACAAAACTATTATTTGTTATGACATGAAAGGCTGTTGTGGCTAAAACATAATATTAGGATCCTTGCAAATTGTCGTGTTTACAGCATCTAAAAGTAATAACTAGGTAGGCTTTTGGCAATCCTTGTACCAAACAGCTGTGCGATTTGAAAAATTGGGTTATGCATTCACTAGGCTTGATTTCCGTGTACACTAAACTGGGAGATTGAAGGTATCAATTCTTTAAATCAAGATATTAATTTATTTCCAAAGTGTCGGAAACATCGTTCAAAGCTGATCAAGTTGGCAACAGAGACGAATATTGCATGAATACTACATCTTCAGCCCATGGGCACTCGCATGTTATCACTTAAGCCAAAGTCAAAACCAATCAAGTTGAATAATTGTAAACTGATATTGAAGTTCTTATGCATTTCAAATGTGCAGTAAAGTACGCATTTATATTTAGACATTTAACACAGAGATAAGTATGTTCCTTGCACTGCAGGGAAGTTTTAGACAAGGCATTTAATGTCTTTTTTTTTAACCCCTTTTCATAATAATGAATTGTGCATCAAAAAGAACACTCGCTCAATGTTTAGAAAGTATCAGGCATACATTTAAGATACAACACAGACGCTGTATTGTGTGTATTCACGTTTGTCTCAAGTTCCCTGAATGTTTGTTCTGTGCATGAAAACAATTATTTACACTGCTATTCACTTCTGCATTATTTCGGTCAAAGCCCCGTTTAAATTGTGTGGTGAAGTTAGCGAGCTGTAATGAGCCAGCTACTGCTAAGTTAGAAGACACAAGGCGTCCTCTTGCACTGTGCTACTCTTTTATTTTTGAAACTCTGTTGATAGAGTCTTGTGAAAGAGAAAGACAAAGAGGGTAACCTTTACAATGTGACTCTTGAGTCATTTGTCTTTAGTTGTGGTTGTACTTGTACATAGGTTTGCATGAGCTAAGAGTGTAATTGCGCAGGTTCTCTCGCTTCACATCGCCTTGCCTTGCCGTTTGGCATGAAAAAGAAAAAGCATGAACGAAATAAAGTGAGAACTTTTTCTATATATTTATTGGCTGTGTTTGTGTGGATTCATGCAGGCCTGTACCGTACCACAGAATATCAAATAGTGCCATTCGGAAAAGCGCTTTTCATCGGCCCTTTCGAAATATGTCGAGGCAACCACCTCGTGACGGAATGTAGAAAATTTAATGGTATTCAATATTTCACGGTACGGTATGGGGCAACTGTGCACTACTCGATTCGTACTTTCCATAGTAATGTAGTAGATTCGCTGGTTGTTCTGCTGCTGGTTACAATGTCAAGGATCCTCATTACCATCACCGATGGCCACATCGTTATGCAAGAAGAATGCAAGTGCATTTTTATGCAGAGTCACACTCTGTGGAAAAGATCGCTGGTGGGAGTGATTACACTGGATCTGTTCGTTGTGGCATCTCTTGACAGCCTGCATGTTTTACCTTGAGGCATTCAACTGTTCCACATCAAATTAAGGGGTTCTCCATCATACTTCGACTGCATCACTCGAGTTCGTGCTTGTGCGTCTCGAAAGAATGGACCTGTGCTCGATAAAGTGACAGACCAATGTTCAAACTCAAACGGCGTGCCGTTGAGCTTAATGCAATACTTGCCTCGAGCCAAGGTGCATAAGCTTAATATGAGTACGAGAAGTTCAAGACACAATTTGAAGCGTATGCTAATAAGATCTACATTGCAGGTTGCATTCTAACCAGCCACAGTAACATATGTTGCAGCGAGGCATATTTCGTATAGAAGTGCCCTGAAAGGGGCACAGGTGAACTTGGTGTGGTATTGATAGTGTTCACCAGCTTTATTTATTTTATCGATTGATGACTGTAGATATGTAGTCTGAGCGAGCAAGGGAGGAAACAGGTGGTACATACAACAGAAATCAAAAATAAGTGCATCAGTGAAGGACAATGTTCAACGAATGCAAGTTAACGGGCAGCATTCGTTTGAAGACGTGGTATATGTGAACACGGGTGCGCAAGTCTGGTTGTCTCTGAAACAATAGTAAACAAACAACCAGTTGCCTATCAATACCGTTTGAAAAAATGTTCCAGCTAAGCTCAAACTAGCAAACGAACTTTGTAGCGGGAACTTTGTCGCTCCTGTTTGAATTGTTTGTGGAGATGCATTACTGTCGATTGTGTGCATGTACAACTGGTAGCAAAAGTTCACCGGACACATGCCTCACTGCAAATGCGAATTTCCAATTTGCTAGTGCATTAGTTTTTTAACTGGGTGCCTGTATAAGTTGCAAGAAGTCAGAAGGCCTGGAACATTCAATTAGAAGCCATGTTCCCAGACGAGGTGGGAATATATCATTTACGAAAACTTCACAGCCCAAAATCTTTTGATGCAGGGTGTACGCTATAGCAACAACAAATGCTCAATACAGAAGGGCTTGGCAGTTTCTTTTATGAACATGTTTAGATGTCAGCAGTAGCAAGATGCCCGCATGGCTTCTCCAGGTTTACAAATTTTATGTGCAGGTATAAGTTTTAGCCAGGGTTGACTTGATACTTATACACAAACAATTATTTTTAAATTTTGATTGGCCATGTCACAACCAAACAGTGGAAACTAAACCAGTTGAAGTCTGGTTACTGTTCACTCAGTCTAAACTGTAATTCAATACTGTAACTCAAGTCTAAACTGTAATTCAAGAACAGGTTATATAAAAACTAAAGGTGTAGTTAAGGTATACAGCCAACAGAACAAATGCCCACAATATGCCAATCAGGTCGTTATGCTTTCATAACATTGGTAAATCTTAGTGCAAAGATTCAGGGCACGAGAAAGCAACACAAAGTCACAAAAACCCTATTCGTTGCCTTTTCGTGCTGTTTTTATAAAGATATTTATACCAGTATTATATGTAAGAAAGCGAGGGGTATTGCGACAGTTGTAAACAAGCATTAAAAATTGTACAGTAAATTTACATGGCTATTTAAAAAAGGGGCATTGAGAGACGCAAATCAAAGCACGCTAGGGCAATAAAAATCCAATGCCATCCAAGCATGCCACACCGGCCTTGAAACTTTAATCGAGGTTTTTATGAGCGCATCAGTAACAAGACGTGGTGTGCTTTGAGATCAGTTCGTGACTGCTGCTTATCAGACCACCACGTAACGCACTATGCGTTCGGGACCCCGTATCTCGCGTATCCTTCCGCAGTGTCGCATCACCACAACGAACTGGGTGACGACTCGACTGGACTCGAAGGCAGCACCGCCGCCACTTTTCCCGGTCAGGTCGGCGTCGACCACGAAGCTGAGCCTCTTGGTCTCGGCGGTCTCCTGCGTGTGGTAGGCGGCGACACGCTTCCACTGGGCCTCCTTCAGGCGGGACTTGGGGAGCGCCAAGAGTTCGTACTTGGACGCGATCGCCTTGTTGAAACCGTCGACGAGCTTGTTGATCGCGGCGAGCGTGAACCGACCCTTCATGTATTTTGGGACGCTGGAGAATTCCTCTTCGCTTAGGGGAGCGATGAGGTTCGTGACGTGCTTGGATCCAGCGGTAACCTGCTGGCGACAAGGCTTATCGCCGGCGGCCAGAGACGAACCTTGCGTAGCGATGCCGCTTGCTGAGACTTGGGCGGGAGACTCTCGACGAACGACCTTTGACACTCGGCGAGCTGCACTCTGACCTCCAAGTCGGTGAGAATCTTCGCTTCTCGTTCCTTCACCTCTTCGTACTGCTTGAACAATTCGTCGATACGCCGCTGGTGCTCGCTTGCGTCGACCAGCTTGGCACGCGCATTCTTCACGAAGTAAGCGTCGTCGGTCGATACCTTGCACAGGGAGACGCACAGCTTGAGAACCTCCAGGCTATGGTGCAAGCGGCGATGTATTCTTCCATGTTTCAAACGATCCGCTACGGCAGGACTCACTGAACTCAACGGCTGAGGCAGGGTGCGAGGTGAGCACTGGTTCGTATCAAACCGTTCCGCAGCTCGCGCGCCGATTCCAAGGTATATGTAAACCACAGAACACCTACCTGTTTAAACTGTGTAAACTGGTAGCGTAACTTCCATAGAAGGATGGATGGATGAATGGATGGATATGTTGTACTCTTTAGAGCGGGCGGTGGCTAGCGCCACCAAGCCGTAATACTTAACGAACCAAAAGATACATTTACTTTTTTTGCCCTTAAATAGTGAGGTTTAGGATTCGCACTTTGCAGTGAAGGGTCTATTTTCACTCCTGCTTTGACTTTAGCCACCAATCGGGCAACCTCCTTCTAGTTAATTCTACCCATTTAAAGTCTATTTTGCTCTGCCTGTCCCTAAACCCCAGTGCTTTGAAAAACTTTGCTCCATTATCCTGAACTATAGGGTGAAGCCCTTTACAGAACATTATCAAGTGTTCGGCAGTTTCCTCTTCCTCTCTACACACTGCATACCGGTGGCATACCGTGTCTACCCCTTCGTATTTGGCCCGATATGTCTGAGAGTGGAAGTCAATGCAATTTTTTTTTTCTGAAATCCAGTAGAAGCATGTATGAAAATATAATACTGATGGTTTGATACAAGTTTATAGGAAACAGTACAAGAAAACATTCTTCACCTTCTTTGTTTTATTCCGCGTAGCATGCTGTTCTAGCCCTCTAAGTAGAAAATGGACACGCGTGATGCTTTATTCTGGCTCTTTCCATTACAGCTCTGCTGCCCACAAGGCGTGTCTCCCACCGGGCCGTCAAACACGCCAATGTGTTAAATTGAAGAAACCTCCACTTTTATAATGGCTTAAACATAAGAATTGCATACTTGAGTCAAAATGCCTTTCCCAAACTGTAGAATTCTCTTGCAGTGGCTTGTCGGCCTTGGTATCACACGTGCCCACTTTTCTCAATCATCCTTGCGGGCAGGGTCGTGGTGTGTATCGTGGTGTTGTTTACCATCGCCACACACGCGTGTATCGATGGCGTTGTTTACCAAAACACTGCCGCGATGGCTGTCTTCATGTCATAAAAAAAAAAAAAATTGCTCGACAGCGTCGATGATTCCGACAACGGCGATCTGTACAGTAACAAAGGAGGTGTTGACGGGGTTTGTGTTTTAGTTGGTCGCCTGCTCGTTGTACGTGAAAATATCAGTCATGTTCCCACGTACAGGAACGCTGGCGGATGGTTCCATCAGTACATAATTTCAAGAGACTGTTCATGCAGACTGTCTAAAACGACGATTTAGCGTTTTGTATTCAATCCCGTTCTGTCGCCTTCTATTTGAGTGCATGCGGGACCATAGAGCAAGAAAAGTGAAAAATTCGTGTGATTCTTTGACCTAGAGAGCCACTTTTGTTCCCTTCGAATCATTATAAGATACGCAGGCTTCCTAGCTTGAATACATGTTTCAACTTAACAGTCTTTTTCAAGGCTTCCTGTCGCATCAGCTTCACGCTTTCGTAAAGACGAAGTGAGTGCACAGCTTGCGCCTCGAGCTACATCTTTATTACTTAACCTTTTTCTTTTTTTATGATTCTTAATGCTGTCAATGACGTTGGATTTTTCTGCTCGAGAAACACGTATAAAGAGACGTGCAGAGAAAACACCACTGCACCAGCGCCAGTACAGCAAAATCGAATAGACCTTATTTTAACGCAGGACTTGTAGCCGCCGTCGAAACCTGGCACAAAACACCACCACTGCGTTTTTTTTTTTGTTCTTCCCCGTCAACGGTATTCGTCAGAGCGGTTAAAAAATGGACGACATCCGCTGACACCATCTCCTTCAGGGAACCGGAAAGCGACAAAAACAACAACAACAAAAAAAAAAAAAACAGGCCGTACTTCCCTGAAAGCGACCGCTGACTTGCACTGCCCTGTACGAGACACGATAAACGTATGCTCACAGTGGGCATGTGATGACAACGGCGCCCCTGACTGACGCGCCAAATCCCCCCCCCTCCCCCTCGCCGCGATGACGCGAAGTGGGACCTCGCTAGTAGGAAGCCTTCATGAGCGTGCGTCTCCGTGTTTTTGGGTGGTGACAACTCCGATCATGGTTGCTTACAACTGGCTAAAACGGCCCCCATACTTGACGGGCCGCCATGTTGGTTCTGAGAGGTCACTCATTTACATTGACGGCAGCGTGGGTTTCATCGAAAAGAGGTTTTTTTTTATTGTATAGTGAGGGCTGAAGGCTGAAGGGTTGTTTTCTGAAGCTAGCCGTGGTTTTTTCAAACAGGAAAGATATGTTCGTGACTCGAGTTTGTATAAATAGTGTTAAAACAGTTCGTTTCTTCCACTTGGTAGACACACCGCATTGGCGGAGTGAGGTTATTTAGGGAGCCTATATTTGCGAGGGGGAGAACCTCGATGTCACTATGAATGGACTTCGATGTCTGCGCGCCATTAATGAAGCATATTCACCTTAGCACTGCAAATACCTCAAAGGCCTCTTAGTGCAAGGCTCGAAACCGCGCTGTTTATATTGCTACGGAGAGGAAGAAAAGGAAGAGGTGCGACTGACAGGCGCGCGACTGGGCCAATCAGCCATTGTGTCTCTTGCCTGTAGTTTTTACTCTGCAAATACATCTCGCTCAGAAGCAACCAACCTCGTAACATATTGGTGAGAGGTGCTGGGTAACCATCAGGCAACGGAGCTCCGCAGCGGACGTCGCATCGCCCTTCCAGCCATGGCCAATGCTCAGCCCTCCGCGTCAACGTCAGCGTCTCCGACGAACATGGCGTCGCAACCGTACGTTTTCACGCCTCTCAAGGATCCCGGTACATTCTGCGGAACCGATGGCGTCGACGTTGACGATTGGCTGGCCATGTTTGAACGAGTGAGTGTGCCGAACAGATGGGATCCCACACTTCAGTTGGCTAATGTGCTGTTCTATTTGAGAGGCACGGCCAAGGTGTGGTATGAGAACAATGAAGAAGAACTCACAAGCTGGGACCAATGCAAAGCAAAGATGCGGGAGGTGTTTGGCAAAACCGCCAGTCGGAAGATCGCCGCCAAAAAGGAATTGGCCTGCCGTGCCCAATCCCCTACGGAGTCATACCTCGCTTACATTCAAGACGTGCTGGCCCTCTGCCGAAAGGCCGAAAGCGACATGACAGAAGGTGACAAGGTGGGACATGTTCTGAAAGGGATTGCCGACGACGCGTTCAATCTCCTGATGTGCAAGGGCTGTTCCACCGTAGACGCGATCATCAAAGAGTGTCGTCAGTTCGAGCAAGTGAAAAGTCGCCGCATTCTACAAACATTCGCTCGACTCCCAAACACCGCTGCAACATCTACTTGCGAGGACCAGTCAACACCACAACGTGCATCGCCGCCGGGAGACCTTACACGCATTGTTCGTCGTGAACTGGAAGCTATGGCGCCCTCGGCGTTCTATTCGCGCAGTACCGATGCCACTCCTGTTACTGTTCCTCTTGTTCAAGCCATCGTGCGCCGGGAGCTTGAAAACATCGGAGTGCATTCCGTGTGCCATGTCACCGCGCCTAGAGTCAGCGAACGCCCTTTCGTGATGCCCTTCTCCGACCGACGGTCTTCTCCACGTACTCGCAACCCGGCTGAGTGGCGAACTGCAGATGACCGCCCTATATGTTTCAACTGCCACCGCGTTGGACATATTGCCCGTTACTGCCGCAACACATGGTCCTCGGCACATCGCGCAACGACCAATATGACCCGTTTCGACGATACCGCCCGCACCTTTCCACCTGCCGAAGAGCCCAATGCCATTGACCATTCTCGGAACACTTGGTACAGCCGCTCGCCTTCACCACGTGGGCACCAGTCTCGATCGCCGCAAACACGTCGCCCATCGTCCCGTTCGCCGCAGCCACGGCGCTTCTCGTCCCCCGTGGCTTCCGGCCGCGTTGTCTCGGAAAACTGAGAAATGCAGCCCCCGGAGGTGGTGCTGCATTGACGACTTCCGCAGCAAATCCTCTTTCCGTTCCCACCAGACGAAGTGTAATAGACGTTAAAGTAGACGGCGAACCTGTACAAGCACTTGTCGACACCGGCGCAAGCATTTCGGTCATGAGTTCAAGCCTACGCACACGTTTAAAGAAAGTTCTGACACCAGCGGCTGCACAAATGCTCCGTGTGGCCGATGGCGGCACGCCGATGGTTCTCGGTCTGTGCACTGCCCGCTTACGTATAAAGGACCACACTACTTCTGTCATTTTAGCCGTGATTGACCACTGCCCTTATGACATTATCCTAGGCCTGGACTTCTTGTCGAATCATTCTGCTCTGATCGATTGTGCTACAGGCGTTCTTCAGCTAGAGTTGCCTCAGATAGTCGCTGACCCCCCCACTGCCCCGCCGCGCCTGTGCTCTCTTCAGGATGTGCGGCTGTCAGCTCAGGCAGCCACCTTCGTCGTTTTGACCGCACAGCCCCAAGTTCCCGATGGTCAATATGTCCTCCTTCCTCTCGCCGACGTCCTCTTGAGCCGCAACATTGCCATTCCCCATACGCTTGTGA